TTACACGGTTTCGGCTGAGAAGCGGGAGCGGGGAGGCACACGCATATTTCTAGGACAGATAACTGAAGGAGAGCACTGCTCTCTGCGCGGCGGAGCTCATGGACCCGGACGGTCTCTGCGGACGCGGTGGGGGGGGGGGCAGTGGGAAGTTGAGAGTGGCTAGGCCCGGTGGCCCCACTTTCCTTAGAGGAAGGGGTGGCACCCGGGAGGAGAGCGGTGGACCCTGGGGTCTCAGGAGAGAGGAGGGCTCACTAGGGAGCAGCCCGGACTGCACCCGCCCAGCAGAGGCCAGAGGAGCTGACCTTGGTCCTGGGGGCGGGGGTCCGAGGCTGGGCGCCCAGGGTGATGGCTGCTCAGGGCCGGTCCCGGGTTAGGGCTCTGCTGGCCGGGTGGGCACCAGAAGGTCTGCGAGGGGTGGGGTCCCGGGGGGTGGCTGCTGCTGGCGGAGCTGGGGCAGAGGGGGGCGGGGACCTGCCTGGGACACCGGCCACCACCAGGCTCACTCAGCTCCCTGGCCTCCCTGCCTGTTTCTCGGTCACCCCAGGCCACGGGGGCGGGGAGGGTGCTTCGGGCACGCACCCCCTCCCGCCTGCCGGGGACTCTGCCCTGGTGCTGGTTTGCTGACAGCAGAGTGCGACTGCGGCGTCTGGCCCGTGTGGGCTGCCCCACCCAAGCGCTTGGGCGGTGCATCCGGGTCTCTGGCCGCCCTCCTCGGCCACTGAGTCAGCACCCTGCCCGGGAGGCACCCGCGGGTCCAAGGGTCCAGGGAGGGGGACTTCCGGGGAGCAGGCGCTGCTCCTGAGCGTTGTCCGGGCAGCTCAAGAACCGTCCTGGGCCCAGGCCCCCTCTGGGACTTGGGGGTTCCCGCCCGGGGGGCGTGAGTGGGCTGCCGTCCCCTGCTGGGGACCCCCGTCCTGGCTCCGGCTCTGCTGGGAGCTGGTGTTTTTCAGCCTCGTCCTGCCGGGGCCTGTGCGGGGCGGGCTGTCGGGGACAGGTCAGCCGCGGGGCTGTGTGGGCAGCCGCAGGAGAGGGAAAGGCAGGGAAAGGTGTAGGGCGAGGCCCTGAGTCACCTCCCTGCCGGCGGGGGGGGTGGGGACAGTGCTGAGCCCTCTTCCTGTCTCACCCCAGATCCGATCGCTGCCGGCTCACAGCTGAGTCACGGGTCGGGGGGGAACCTCTAGGTGAGGCTGGGGGCTGAGTAGCTCCTGCGTCACTTCCTGCGGGCACCCTGGGGTCCTGCAGGTAGCTCCCCTCACACCCAGCTTCCTGTGTCCCCAGAGCCCCAGGCTGCATGCAGCCTGCCACGGTGGGCGCCGGGGTTTCACCCGACCTGGGAAAATGGCCACAGCCTCAGACAGCCCGGCTCTCTCTGTCCGGGACTCACGACGCGCTGGTAGGGAACCCATGTGGCCCAACGAGGCTCCGTCTCTGATGATGCCCAGCGACTCTGACCCCAAGGTGTGTGCCGGCGACGCGCACGGCGCCAGCCCCCCTCCCTGTCACCTCTGCACAAACAGCGCCCCGGAGCGGGGCGCGCGCAAGCACGGACAGGCCCCGCGGTGGGGCTCACGCACACGCAGACGGGCGGGCAGGCCCGGGCAGGGCCGCGCAGACGCCTGTGCTGTGGCTCTGGAGGCGGTGACCCCAGGCGCTGGCCGCTCGGGCAGAGAACACCTCTCCCTCACTCAGAGCCCCTCGGGGCGAGCGGGGGACCTGGTCCCACACACGCGGCCCTTGACTGACACCTTCCCGCCGCTCTGTGATTGGCCTGAGACCCTCATGTGTGCGAGCAGCTGCGGGACCGGGCAGGCGCGGCTCCTCCTCCTCCCCGCCCGGCTCCTCGGCCCGCTGGCTGGGCTGGATTTTCCTGCAGGGCTCCGGGTTCTGTTTTTGAGCCGCGCGAGTGCTGGTCGTGTGCTAGACGCCGTGCCAGCGCGGCGGCGGGGCGGGGGCGGGGAGGGGGGCGTGTGCGCGGTTGTGTTGAGTAAGCACTTGGCGGACGCGGCTGATTCCGCGTGTTGTTATTTACATGCGTAATCTTGCTCCTTCTCATAACAAGCCCAGGAGGCGCGGTGCTATTATGCCCATTTTACAGATAAGGACAGTGAGGCCCCAAGATGTTACCTGGCTCGCCCTAGTGGTGGAGCCAGGATTTGAACCCAGGGCTCTGCCTCTAGAGTCTGCAGTCCTAATCTATCTCAGTGGGGAAGCCAGCCCTGGTGGCGCCCGCCGGGCAGGGGGAGAGCTCGTGGGGGCCACGGCCTTCAGGACACCATGGCTTTGAGTCTGAGGGGCGTGGGACAGGGGACTTGGGAGGGGTGTCCCCAGAATGGAGGGCGTGGTGCGAGGGGCCCCTCATGCAGCTCTGGGAGTGTTTCCGCCCGTTCTCCCAGTGCCACTGCAGGGGGCAGAGGGTGCACCATGGGCGTCCTGGCCACCCCTGCAGCCGCCTGACCCGTGGCAGGTTCCCACTCCCTTCCAGGCCTGAGTGGGGCCGAGCTGCCACCTGGACTTTAGCTTTCATCTCCGACCTTTGGCCTTTCCGTAGTGTCTGGGCAGATTCCAAGGACAGCTTCCTGCCCGGACACAGGTGCTCCTCTGCGGGAGGATAGGCACGGGCAAATTCGGACCCGCCCTTGCTTTTGGGAAACCGGAGGGAGGGACCGCCGTAGCCACCTGCCCCGGACTCAGTGGGTCCCCTTGGGGCTGCCCCGAGGGTCATGTTTATGCACCGTCCCGCAGGACGCACACGGGAACACCAGAGCCCAGGGAGACGACGTGCCCACTGGCGCTTCTCAAAGTGCGGTCCTTGGACCTTCTGCTCCGGAATCCCTTGCGAGCGTGTCCACCTGCACGTTCTTAGGCCCCGTCCCGGGTGGGCAGCCTCCTAGTCCAGCAGGCCCAGGATCTGGAGTTGAGATCTTCTGGGCGGTTCTGCGGCACCCTGCCGTTTGCAGACGGTGGGTTCAGGAAGCAGACCACCTGAGCCAGATTCCCCCCGCGGCCTCTTTTTTGCTGTGTGTCTTTGTGTCTGTTGCTTAACCTCTCTGAGCCTTGACGCCTTCATTTGTAAAGCGGGGAGGACAGGCATCTCTGCCTCCCGGCGTTGTTGTGGGCCTGCAAGGAGGTGGTCTCTACGACACGTTCAGTGCAGCACCTTCCCCAGGGGACCTGTGGTGGCCGTGGAGGGCTCCCTCTGGGGTGGCGGTTCTTCCCCGGAGCTGAGCTTGTGAGCACGGGCAGCCTGATGGGCAGCCAGCGTGTCGGGATGGTTTTGGTTGGGAGAAGCGGGAGGTGTGTGCTGGGAACATTCCTGGGGCCTCACGGTGTGTCCGTGGGAAGTGCGGAGGAGTTGGGAATCAGAGGCTAAAGACCCGAAGTCCGCCATGATTCCGGACTTAGGAGTCGAAAGGGGGCCTTAACTGCTCCGGCCACAGCTGCCCTGTGTGGTTGCGGCTGCAGACTTCGGGCTGTGGACGTCAGGGAGGGCTTTCCCCTGTGAATTCCCAGTGCAGCCCAGTTCCGACTCTGGACAGTGATAAGGATAAGGTGACTTCATTTCCCTTTTCTCTTTGGCTGCTGGGAGGCTCAGCATTAAAGGAGTGGGGACCTCTGCCCTGCTTGTGGGGCCCTTTCCTTCCTTTTTGGTTTCAGTGTTTTCTCCATAGATGTGTTTTTTTTTTCCCTCTCTGCTCTTGACTTTAGTGTTTATATTTTGTTACCTTCTTTCCTTTGTGTATCCTCACTCTCGTGGAACCGGGCTGGGGGTATGTAAAATCACTCACCGTGGAGACACACACACACACACACACACAGATCTTCACAGCTCTGTCGGCATGTAACCCTTTGCTTCCTCTGCTTCACGAGACCGTGTTCATCTGCGTGGTCACCATCCGCTGGCTGGTTAGGGGACACCTGAGCTCGGGCAGGGTGGCTGCCTTATGCTTGTTTTTCTTTTCATATCAGCTGCGTGGAATTTTCAAAACAATTTCTCTCCAAATCCGTTTGCCACCCAGAGCCCACCCGGGGCCCTAGTGGATGGGTGTGCGTGTTTATTCCTGTCTTCTTCTTGGTCCTCTCCTCGTGTCTGTGTGGTTGTAGGTTCAAGTTCCCGAGGTTGAGGTTCGTGATATGGACATTCTGTTTGTTTATTTTTTTGAAGACTTTATTTATTCCTTTTTAGAGAGAGAGGAAGGGAGGGAGGAAGAAAGGGAGAGAAACATCAATGTGTGGTTGCCTCTCCCACGCCCCCTACTGGGGGCCTGGCCCACAACCCAGGCATGTGCCTTGACTAGGAATCGAACTGGCGACCCTTTGGTTCCCAGGATGGTGCTCAATCCACTGAGCCACACCAGCCAGGGTGAACATCCTGTTTAATAACAGTGACTACTCTTCCGTGAGTGCCTGCCAAGTGGCGCTGAGGGCTGGAGACCACTGTCCGAATTTCAGTGCGGGTGGAAGTTTGTTCTCTGAGGGGCCCAGGGGTGGGCGGTGCTTCCAAGCCCCGCCCCCTGGGACCCACTGCCACTCAAAGGCGCGTGGGAGGGTCCTCTGCCTGCTCATGTTCTGAGCTGGGCTCCAAAACCATCCCTTTGTGGTTTACTTCGCTTCGTATTTCGACCGTGTCCTTTTTTTAATGTCACTTTGCTCGTTTTTCTGGGGCTTCCGCAAAAACACCCTTTTCACCAGCTGCTGGTGTCCTGTCCAGTGGTCGCCTTCTGTCCCCTGCGGTCGGACATTTAGGTCGCCTCGATGTTTCCTTACCATGCATGGTGCTGTGGTTAACGTTCTTTTCCGTTCATCTGTGTGCCTGCTTCTTGCACAATGTTTGCGAAGCGGGAATGCTGCGTCCCCCATAAGCCTGACCCCCCCCCAGTCCCCAGCCCCTCGCCACTCATCACTGCCTTGCTGACCTACCTTCACTCTGATTGGTCCATCCTAGAGGGTGGGTTCGTGGGGGAGGGGTGGCCCCCAAGTAATGTCGGTCTTCCTCTCCCCAGGCTCCGAAGAGCGGCCGCTCCTCAGATTCCAAGCCGACAATGTCTCCAACTACACGGCCCTGCTGCTGAGCGGCGACGGCAAGACGCTGTATGTGGGTGCCCGGGAGGCCCTCTTCGCGCTCAGCAGCAGCGCCAGCTTCCTGCCGGGCGGGAGGTACCAGGAGGTGAGAGACGAGGCCCGGGGCTGGGCAGGCTGGGCAGAGGGGCTGGCAGTGCGGACGGAGGGGGAGCAGGAGGACTGACCTCCTGGGCCCGGGGCTGAGGCGCACGGAACAGGGAAAGGAGTGAAGAGGGGGGGACCCTTCGTTCCCACCTGCACACTTACCTGCCCCCTCGCCCTCCCCAGCTGCTGTGGAGCGCAGACGCCCAGAGGAAACACCAGTGCAGCTTCAAGGGCAAGGACCCGCAGGTGAGCCGGCACCTGGGCTGCGACCTGGGCTGCAGGTGGGGTGCAGGGTGGACCTGAACCCGGGACGGAAGCAGGACCGGGAGCAGCAGACGCAGCCAGCTGTGCTGGGCAGGACCTCGGCTGCTGAGGTGGCCAGACCTGGCTTTGAATCTTGGACAAATAGATCGGCCTCTCTGAGCCTCAGTGTCCCCCGCCTGTGAAATGGGGCCAGTGGTGCCTGTGTCCCTGGACCGACCGTGAGGGGCGATTCCAGGAGCTGATAGGGGTGAGGCCGCTGGCACGAAATCAGTGCGGAATAAACGCCCGCTTCCAGCAGGAGCGGCGGTTGCGTGGGGGCGGGAGCTGTGTCCCTCTGCACAGGGCCCTGATCGGGCAGGTCCGACAGATCCTGGTTTGGTTTGGTCCCGACCCGTGGGGGCCGGTCCGATCCAGCCCGGGGCTCCTCTGGAGGACTCCCCGTCTTTCCCAGAAGCCTCCTGGCCCTGAGTCCAGTGGGCGGGGCGCCGGGCGGCTGAGGCGAAGGCAATCGAGCACCAGACTCGGGATCGAGCCCCGGGTTCGAGCCCTGGCCGCCCCAGACTTCTCTGGTTCCGCACGTAGTATTCGGCACTTGCTTTGGGCCCAGGAGGCATCGCTGTGATAAAGAAGCACGAACAATAGGCAAAAACCAGTGCATTTACAGGGTAGTCAGGTTACACGCTTCATTTAAAAAGCGGAGGGTGGAGTTGCAGCAGTGAAAGGGGAAGGTCTCGAGGGAGAAGGTTTGGGGGGCGGGGGGGACCAGCGGAATCTCGCTTGGCGACGCCGTGGGCAAAGGCCGCGTGTGAGTCTGGAGCCAGGGCTCCGGCTGCGTGTCTCCTCCTGCTCGGGGCGTGGCTTCTCCCCCAAGGGGGCTGGGAGGGGACCCCCGTTTGCGCTGCCTCTGAAGAGGACATTCTGACGAGACAGCCCAAAGGAGGCGTTCTCTGCCCTCACCCCAGACCGAGGAGAAGGCTGCCAGGCACAGAACTAGCGGAGCCCCAAGGTCCCCTCCAGCGCACAGGACACGTCTGTGGTCCCCGATGGGCTTCTGCTTCTGGATTCTGCGGGTTCCCCTGCCCCCCTGACTGCAGGCCTCACCCCAAGCCCTGGCCTTGGGTCTCGGCGGTGCCCCCTGGTGGCTGGCTTGGGCCTGACACCCTCTCCCTCTCTCCCCAGCGTGACTGTCAAAACTATATCAAGATCCTCCTGCCACTCAACAGCAGCCACCTGTTCGCCTGCGGCACGGGGGCCTTCAGCCCCCTGTGCACCTACATCGTGAGTGCCCTTAGCCTCCTCACCTCCTGCCCCGGGGGGCTGTTCTGACTAGGGCAGGGCCTGGTGAGGCCTCTTGGTGGCGGTGGGCTCCCAGCGTCCTCCAGCTCTGCCCATGTTTCTGCCCTGGGCATTGTGCCCTGGGCTCACCTCAGCAGAGGCTGCGGGTGGGGCCGCCAGCCTGGAGCTGGCCGAACGTGGGTTTGAGTCCTGGTGCTGCTCCTTCCTGGCTGGCGTCTTGCTAAGCTGCGTCGCCCCTCTGCCTCCGGGGACAGCGAGTGCCCGCCACAGAGGGTGCTGCCAGACAGGGCTCCCCCGCCCTGTGCTGGGGTGTGGAGGACGGCCCACCTGACCTCTCCCCGCACCCCCTCAGAGTTGTTTTTCCCAGCATCCCCCGCTTCCCTGCCGAGCCCTGGCGTGCCCCTGAGCCCCCCCATGTCCGCTCCCCTGCAGACGGTGGAGAACTTCACGCTGGCGCGGGACCAGGCGGGGAACGTCCTTCTGGAAGACGGCAAGGGCCGTTGTCCCTTTGACCCCAACTTCAAGTCCACGGCCCTCATGGTTGGTGAGTGCAGGCGGCGGCGGGAGGGCTCCGGTGAGGCTCCGTGGGTGTGAAGTGCAGCTGTGACCTTGGGCCGCCCTTGGCTTCTCCCATTTCCTGCTCCCTCCTCTGTGCTCCCCAAGCCAGGGGCAGGGCTGGGGTCACTGCGGGTCTGAGCGGGGGACGAGGGGGCTCTGCCCTGGGGCCTCGGGGCCGTTCCCATGGGGAATGTTTTTTTTTTATTATTTTTTTAAAGATTTTATTTATTTATTTTTAGAGAGGGAAGGGAGAGAGAGAGAGAGCGAGAGAGAGAGAAACATCAATGTGTGGTTGCTGGGGGTTCTGGCCTGCAACCCAGGAATGTACCCTGGCTGGGAATCGAACCTGGGACACTTTGGTTCCCAGCCTGCGCTCAATGCACTGAGCTACGCCAGCCAGGGCTCCATGGGGAATGTTTTCTTGGCAGACGGCGAGCTCTACACCGGAACGGTCAGCAACTTCCAGGGGAACGACCCGGCCATCTCGCGGAGCCGCAGCCGCCGCCCCACCAAGACCGAGAGCTCCCTCAACTGGCTGCAAGGTGAGCCCCTGCTGCTGCTGCTGCCCGCCGCGGGTGGGCTCCGGAGCCCTGGGGGGTGGGGCGCTGCCCGCCGTGGGGCCTGAGAACAGAGCCTCGCCTCCTGGGGGTTCCTGGGCTGACTCTTCGCTCCCCGTCGGCTCCCGCAGACCCGGCGTTCGTGGCCTCAGCCTACGTCCCCGAGAGCCTGGGCAGCGTGCAAGGGGACGACGACAAGATCTACTTCTTCTTCAGCGAGACCGGCAAGGAGTTCGAGTTCTTCGAGAACACCATCGTGTCCCGTGTGGCCCGCATCTGCAAGGTGAGGGGGGTGGGCCCCCCAGAGCCCCCCAAAGGCTCCTCGGGTCCAAGGTCAGGACACACCAGGAGGTTTGTGCTTCTGTGAGCTGCTTTCATCCTCCGGGAAGAACGACTCAGCTAATGGTCTTTCTCTCCTCTTAAGTCGGACGGAACACCCCTTACTGTTTTCTCTTATGTGAGAAGTGTGAGCTGCAGAACAGAACATCACATGCAGATATCCCGAGACAAAGAGGCAGTGTAGCATCGTGATTGAGAGCCTGGGCTCCGGCCCTGGGCTGGAGTGGGTCAGAGCATGGTCCCGGTGCGCCAAGGTCGTGGGTTCGATCCCCGGTCAGGGCACGTACAAGAACCAGCCAATGAATGCGTCCATAAGTGGAACAGCAGATCAGTGTTTTTCTTTCTCTGCTTTCTACTCTTTCTCTAAAACTGATTAAAAATAAATAAACGAGCCTGGACTCCAGAGCCGGGCTGCATGCCCTCAGCCCCTGCCCGTCCCATGAGAGCTTGGGGAAGTCCCGGGCCTGCTCAGGGACAGCGACAGCGACAGCTCCCTGGTCTGTGCAGTGGGAACGTGAACCAACCCTGCACCCCCCCCCGCCCCCCGGTTGTGGGGTTAAACTGGTCCCTGTAAACCTTTCAGGCACGGGGCGGGCAGCAAACTCACCGCCAGCTGTTATGTCAGCTGTATTCCTGCTTCCCTACCCTGCGCAGTGACCGCTGTGATCGTCGTAGGAGGCTCCTTGTTAATCCTTTCTTTTTTGCACACGTGTGAGTACACGTGTTTATAAGAAAACCGCCGGCAGACGAGAGCTGCGCCGTGAGCGCGGTTCTCGCTAGGGAAGCCTTGACCTCTCTCTCCCCCGCCCCCGCCCCCCCCCCAGGGCGACGAGGGCGGCGGGCGCATCCTGCAGCAGCGCTGGACGTCCTTCCTGAAGGCCCAGCTGCTGTGCTCGCGGCCCGAGGACGGCTTCCCCTTCAACGTGCTGCAGGACGTCTTCACGCTGAGCCCCGGCCCCCGGGACTGGCAGGACACCCTGTTCTATGGGGTCTTCACGTCCCAGTGGTAGGGCCCTGGGGACCCGGCCGCGGGGATGGGCGGGTGCTGCGGGGGAGGAGGAGGCCGGGCTCCCGGGCTCAGCGGCCCTTTCTCGCGCAGGCACGGAGGGACTGCGGAGGGCTCTGCCGTCTGCGTCTTCTCCATGAGGGACGTGCAGAGGGTCTTCAGCGGCCTCTACAAGGAGGTGAACCGGGAGACGCAGCAGTGGTACACGGTGACCTACCCGGCGCCCACGCCCCGGCCCGGCGCGGTGAGGACTGCTCCCGGCACCCGGGGTGGGGGTGCAGGGGTCGGGGACGGGGCGTCTCCAAGTCTGTTTTGAACGTGAGGACCAAAGTCCCGGCCTGCTTGTCCCACTGGGACAGATGTGACCGTGACTGTCGGAAGGCCTTCGAACCTTCTCCGGGCGGGCAGTGTGTCCCTGTCCCTTACGGCCCGCCTGTGTGACTGTTCACGCGTGCCTCCCCGATGGCGGCGACTCCTTATTTAGTTTCTGAGTGAGGAGTGTGGCTGGGCCATGGAGAGACAGTCCTTCCTCCTTTCCTTCCATCCTCGAGGAGCACACCCGGGGCAGGATACGGGTGTGTGGGGCACGTCTGGGCGCGGTTCAGCCGGCCGGTGCATCACCCGTCCCCGCCAGGACACCCGGGCAGAGAAAGGATGCTAACACAGCAGAAGTGCCGTCCTGCTGCTCCCCACCTAGGGGCGGGGCAGGAAGCAGCACAGCAGGGGAAAGTCCCAGCGGGGGCCCTTGGGTGCCCGCACCCTGGGCTCTGCCCTCCAGATCGACCCCTGGGCTCTGCAGACCCACGGCTTCCCGGGGGGGTGGGGGGCGGACACCCCTGCCCACCTCCGGAGAAGCCGTCCAGGAGGGGTCCGCGGGCCCACCCCAGCCCTCACGCTGCCGCCTCTTCCTCCAGTGCATCACCAACAGCACCCGGGAGAGGAGGATCAACTCGTCCCTGCAGCTGCCGGACCGCGTGCTGAACTTCCTCAAGGACCACTTCCTGATGGACGGGCAGGTCCGCAGCCGCCTGCTGCTGCTGCAGCCGCAGGCCCGCTACCAGCGCGTGGCCGTGCACCGAGTCCTCGGCCTGCACGGTGCCTATGACGTCCTCTTCCTGGGCACTGGTGAGTGCCCGCGGCGGGGCGGGTGCGGAGGACCCGGGGTGTGGCCGTGGGGGCGTGGGCAGCAGGTGGCGCCCCGGGCCTGAGTCCCGTCCTTGCCTTGCCGCAGGGGACGGCCGGCTGCACAAGGCGGTGAGCGTGGGCACCCGAGTGCACGTCGTCGAGGAACTGCAGGTCTTCCCTCCGGGCCAGCCGGTGCAGAACCTGCTCCTGGACACGGGCAGGGTAAGCGGGAGGAAGAGGCCGGTCAGCGCCCTTGGGGTGCCCCTCTGATGGACAAGTATCGGAAAGCAGGGTGTCGGGAGGCTGTGAGAGGAGGCCCTTGGGGAGCGGCTCTGATTGGGCACCTGAGCTGGGTGCGGCTGGGGGCGGTGGCCCTGGCTGCCCCTCACGCCGGCCTCTGCGCAGGGACTGCTGTACGCGGCCTCCCACCTGGGTGTGGTCCAGGTGCCCGTGGCCAACTGCAGCCTGTACTGGACCTGTGGGGACTGCGTCCTGGCCCGGGACCCCTACTGCGCCTGGAGCGGCTCCAAATGCCTGCACTTCAGCCTCTACCGCTCTGAGACGGCCTCCAGGTGAGAGCTTCTGAAGGCCCCGGCCCACCTGTCCCTCCCTGTGCCCTCGGCCTCGGAGCACTGGCCGGGGCCCTCAGCAGAGTCACTGCGCAGCTTCGGTTGCCACCACGGTCTTGGCGTTGTAATGTGACTCTGAACTTGCTCCTCTTCTGACCCTCAGAAGTGGTGTAGTCCAGACGGTAAATTGTGTGCCTTACCCACCTCCCCCGTAAGGCGGGGGCGTGATTCGGAAAATTAGGAAGTGCCACAGCTCTGCAAAGCTTGGCGGGAAAATCAGGATTCAAGTGTGAGCAGATCTGAATGACAGAAAGTGAGGGCTATGCAACATGGTCCATTAACGAACCCGTTGAAAGTCGTCTTCAACAGAACTTGGCCGGGTTATAAAATAAATGTTCAGGTAGAACACTTAGGAAACGGAGGTAAGCCCAATCAAAATAGAGCAACGGCTAATCCCACCTGGGTGTGTATCCTCCGTGAGTTTTCCTCACATGTGTAAAATTGAGTGCATTTCAAGCAGAAACGGGGCCTGCCACACTTGTGGTGTATCTTTGCTGCACGCAGAGGGCAGCTGTTGCCAGTTTTTTGTTGTTGTTGTTGTTTTAAATATTTGACTGAATTATTTTTAGGGAGAGGGGAAGGGAAGGAGAAAGGAGGAGAAACATCAATGTGTGGTTGCCTCTTTCATGGTCCCCCTCCGCTGGGGACCTGGCTCGCAGCCCAGGCACGTGCCCTGACTGGGAATTGAACCAGCAACCCTTTGGTTTGCAGCCTGTTCTCAATCCACGGAGCCACACCAGCTGGTGCCAGTTTTATAGATCACAAAACCAGATGAGGACGCACACGTGTACCCTGGGAGGGACGCACCAAAAATGCTGCTTGTCATGGTCGCTGGCTGCTGGATTGTGGGTGGTTTAAACAGTATTTTAAAATTATTTTTATTGACTGGTTGATTTTGAGAGAAACACTGACGTATTGTTTCACTTATTTATGCATTTCCTGGCTGATTCTTGTCTGTGCCCTGACCAGGGATTGAACCCGCAACCTTGGTGTACGGGGACAGTGCTCTAACCAACTCAGCTCCCTGGCCAGGGCCTACAGTATGTGTAGCCTTTGTGCTCGGCTGAGGGTTTCTCAGTTTTTCTGAGTGCACCAAGAACGACTTTTCTTCTTTATCGCACTGTATTAGACGCGTCAGTGCGTGTGCGTTGCTTTAAACGAGACAGCTGTGCGCGTACAGAGCCAGGCTCCCTTCCAGACTTTTTCTTTTCTTTTTTTTTTTAAGATTTTATTTATTTATTTTTAGAGAGGGAAGGGAGGGAGAAAGTGAGAGAGAGAGAAACATCAATGTGCGGTTGCTGGGGGCCGTGGCCTGCAACCCAGGCATGTGCCCTGGCTGGGAATTGAACCTGCGATGCTTTGGTTTGCAGCCCGCGCTCAATCCACTGAGCTACGCCAGCCAGGGCCAGACTTTTTCTAAAGGCTCGGACTGCTTTTGTAGTTCAGGGAAGTGTGGTAGTGACTTTTATTGGAAATACTTTGGAGACAGAGGGGCCCGCCTTGTACCCCCGCTGTGGGCCTGGCGGCCCCTGAGCCCTGTGCCCTGGCCCTCAGGGCCGCACCTCGGGTGGGGGTGCAGGCTCCTGGGGCGTTCCCAGCCTACTGCAGACTCTTCGGTCCGCAGGCCGTGGGTCCAGGACATCGAGGGGGCCGACGCCCACAACCTCTGCAACGCGTCCTCAACCAGGTCTCGGGTCGCTGTGCCAGCAGGTAAGGCACCTGTCAGAGGCTGGAGGGAAGCAGGGCCCAAGTTGCTTAGAAGGTTCCTGAATTCAGGCGCTGGGGGGTGTCAGTGCTTCTCCTCCCGTCCTCGTCCCTCTGGCTTGCGAGCAAGGTGCTGGGACGTGAGTCACAACCCCCCGAGTCCTCAGAGCTGCCACTGAGGCCTGAGGGGTGCAGCCTGGAGGGAGGTGGGTGAGCTGGGGCCGCGGCGGGTGCCAGGCCCCCCCCCCAACCCTGTGCCTCTCCCGCCCACAGACAAGCAGCCCTGTGCGCACGTCAGGTTCCAGCCCAACACGGTGAACACCCTGGACTGCCCGCTGCTCTCCAACCTGGCGACGCGGCTGTGGCTGCATAACGGTGTCCCCATCAATGGCTCCACCTCCTGCCGGGTGCTGCCCACCGGGGACCTGCTGCTGGTGGGCAGCCAGGAGGAGCTGGGCGAGTTCCAGTGCTGGTCCCTGGAGGGGAACTTCCGGCAGCTGGTGGCCAGGTACTGCCCTAAGGTGGGGGGCACGGTGGCAGGCCGCGGTGGGAAGGTGCCTCTCACGTCGCGGGTGAGCGCGCCGGCCCAGGGCAAGGCCAGCTGGGGCGCGGCCCGGTCCTACTGGACCGAGTTCCTGGTGATGAGCGCGCTCTTCGTGTTCGCCGTGGTGCTCCTGCTTCTGTTCGTGCTCTACCGGCACCGGGACGGCATGAAGCTCTTCCTGAAGCAGGGGGAGTGCGCCAGCGTGCACCCCAAGACCCGCCCTGTGGTGGTGCCCCCCGAGACCCGGCCGCTCAACGGCGTCGGTCCTCCGAGCACCCCGCTCGACCACCGGGGCTACCAGGCCCTGTCGGACAACGCCCCGGGGCCGCGGGTCTTCACCGAGTCGGAGAAGAGGCCGCTCAGCGTGCACGACAGCCTGGTGGAGGTGTCCCCCGTGTGCCCCCGGCCCCGGGTCCGCCTGGGCTCTGACATCCGGGACTCTGTGGTGTGACGGCTGACCCGTGGAGGAGCCCTCCCTGGCTCCGGGGGTCGTGAATACCCACAGGGCGCCGGCTGGACTCTGGTGCCCAGCCCCTCGGGGGCGGCGGGGCCCGCGGGCCTGCTGTGCAAGCACTGAGGCCCCTCCGACCCAGAAGCTGTGGCCCCGGAGGTCCCGGCTGAAGATGGGCAGGCCTGCCTGGATGGGCAGAACAGCGCTCCTGGTGTACACTGAGCCTTTGGTTTAGACAAACCACTGAAAATGTGAAACGAGGATGAGACCACGCAGGATGATGCCGCGGGTGCACAGCCGCCCCGGTTCCGCCCCCAGCCTCACGGGCCCACGGCTTCGTGGGAGCCTGGGGGACCCATCCGACGACGTGGTGGTGCGAGACGCGAGTTGGGAACCCCTCACCAGCTGGCCTGTTCTAGCCTCCGCCTTATTCGACTGCCGGGGGCTGCCTCGGGCTCCGTGGGTCCTGCCTGCCCGGCCGGCCCCGCTGTTACAGCCATCGCCCCGTCGCCTCAGGGACCGGAGGGCACGCTGGCACCGCAGCCCCCGCGGGGCCCCGGGCGTGAGCCCGCTCTGGAGCCTCCGGCCTGCATCAGGCCTTGGCCGCGTCGCCGGCGGGCTCAGCGGCAGCTCAGGAGAATTTATGACGATGCTCCCCTTTCCCTCGGAATCCTGGGAAGAGACAGTTGCCTGCCTTCCTCCGTCTGACCTGAAAACCTGTGTGACGCTGTCCCTTCTCCCACACCAGTCTTGTCTGGAGACCCAGCCCCCCCCCCCCACACACAGTTCGCCTGCCTCCACTGCCCAACTGCCCAGCACAAGGGCCCCAGTCTTTGTGGCTTTTATATATATTTTTTAAAAGAGATGCACTTTATGCTTGTTTTCTTGTTTCTTTTTGGTTTTTTAAAATAAAATCTAAAGAACTAAAGTTGAATCGCGGGCCTTCTTCTTAAAAGACTGTTGCTTCTTGAGGCTGGTCTGGTTTCCTGAATTCTGGGGGACTCTGCACCCCCGATTTCCAGGGGCTAGTGGGCCAGAGCCACCTCAGCCCTTACTCTGCTCTGGGGTCAGGGCACAGGTCAGGGTTTTTTGTTTAACTCCTTACTTTTTTTTTTTAATTCTTTAAATGCTCGCACGGTAAATGACTTTTTCCTTTGGTAAACAGTTCGGCAAAGGCTGACACGTGCAGAAATTCATGTAATGACCCCCCCCAGGATGCAGCGGACTCCGCCCCCCACGTGACCCCTCCCTGTTCATCGCCCCACCGGGACTTCCTGCTCGTCCCCGCGGTAGAGGCTCGGCCCCGTGGTCTCCTAGGAGTCCAGTGTTACACTGGCGTCTCCAGGATCACATGCAGGGTCAACATTTCTAAACCTTTATTCTTAGCGATCGGTAGAAACAAACAGAGCGACGACGGTGGCAGTGAGAAGGGGGAGGCCCTGACGCGGAGGGTCCTTCCCTGCCCGGGGCCGAGGCTTCACCGTGCCAGCTCGACCGGGCCCGCTCGGCCGGCCCTGGCAACACAGATGTGACCTTGGCCACGGCTCGGCCGTGGAGAAGTTCTGCTACGGGGTGCTGGGCAACAGGCTGGGCCTCCTGTCACAGGACGATTTTGAAGGAGCTGAGCGAGAGAAGAGGGGGTTGGATGTTCTGCTGCGGGAGGAGGCTGAGGACTAAACCCAAACCTAGCCACCGCTCCCCCAAGAGCCTTCGGGGTGCGCTGCGTCTCGCCTGTGTCGGTCCCTCTGGGGTACTCAGAGGGGGCAGGGCTTTCGCTGGGCACCGCCCCCATGGTCACAGATGCCACAGACGGGACCGCTGTCATACCTGGCGAAGTCCGGGGACCGGGAGATGACGTGCTGGAACTCGGAGAGGTTGATGGTCCCGTCCCGGTCGATGTCCGACTCTTCCAGGATCTGGGAGGGGGAGGGTGTCACGCCACGACCGTCCCTAGGCTCGGTGCCCCCTCCCCCACCCCCAGGCCGGCTGCTCACGTTGTCGATGAGCTGCTTCATCTCCGAAGCGCTGAGCCTCGTGTCCTCGCCCTCTCCCGTGAGGCAGTTTACCAGCTGGCTCAGGTCTTCTCTGTTCAAGGTCCCGTCATCGTCGAAATCTAGAGAGGCAGGCGCAGGGAGCCCAGAAGGACGCGGTCAGGATGAGGTCCAGCGACACCCCCCCCAACCCCCTGCTGCCCGCCAGCACCACGCAGAAGTCCCCGTGCGCCTCACCAAATATGCGGAAGGCATAGTGGGACTTGATGTCTGGCGTGGCCGTGTCACTGAACACGCTGAGGAGGTCCAGGAAGTCCTCAAAGCTCAGGCTGTCTCTGGTCGGGGACGTCGAGAAGACCCTGCAGATGCGCTCCTTGAAGGGGTTGGCCTGGGAAGAGAGCCTCTGTGAGGGCCACGGAACACAGCCTAGGCCAAGTTCAGACCCTCCAGGGGACTGGAGGGAACAGTTTGCAGGGCCCGCGCCGGGAGCGCAGGCTCATGGGGGACATGGCCAGCACTTTTTGGAAGGCCGGAGGGCTGGTGACCCAGCTGGGGCGGGGGCAGGAACGGCTACTGGGAGTCAGAGGTCAGCCCGCATGCAGGCCTAGGGGCAGAGAAGGAAGAGGAAGCCATCCTAAGCAAAAGGAACATCTAATTAAACATTTGCTGCGTGACATGCACTAGGCCAGGCCTCTTGCATAGACATTTGCACAGCAGCCCTGCAGAGGGGCAATCAGCCTCTGGAACAGGGTTTCTCAAACCTCAAGGTCGCCCAATGCTCCTTAAAGGACAAAGCTTCTTTTGAAACTCTAGGAATGTGTTCCTAGAATCCCAATCTGAAAAACACGGTTGAACTAATGCCACTGGGTGATACAGGTGAAGCCCTTGCCCCCAGGAAGTTAGGGCTAAACAGAGGAAAGACCAGAACGGGACTGGGACCGGTGACTGCAGGATCTCAAGAGGACCGCAGAGGGAGGGTGGGGAGCCGGCACCTTGAGCTCTGGAAGGCTGAGGATCTGCTCCAAGGACACTCGGGCCTGCAGTGACCCCTGCTCACTCCGGTGCTCCTGGGGAAGCAGCTCACAGAACCGCCTGTGGGCTCTGGAAGAAGGAGGGGAACCCAATGGCCCACCTGCCCGTGTGTATCACATCCCCACGCCCTGCCGTGCTGCCCAGTACACACCAGGCGAGGAGCTGAGCAGAGTACAGAGAACTTCTGAGTCATCAGGCTTGATAAGCCAAAGGGAGATAAGTCACAAGACAGTATAGGCTGGGAGTCTGTTCTAGCAGTAGGTTATTCACTGAGGGCCTACCGTGTGCTGGACACCGGTTCCAGAGCTCCCTGGGGGGCGGAAAGGTTGGGGAAGGAGCCAGAGGCTGGCTCGGAGGCAGAGGGAGAAATAAGCAAACTCCAGGGATCCCCTGTTCCTCCAGGCCTCCCTCTGCAGCAGCTACTCTGAACTACCTGGGCCGCAGCACCACCTGCTCGCCACCGGGATTTCTTTAGCGGAGGGAAGCCCTGGCCACATACAACTGCCAAGCGGCTAGGAAGGGAGTTCGAGCCCCAGTTCAATCCCTCTCCTGGAGTGTAGTGTCAGGCAAGGTACCAGACTTCTCCGGACCGGTTTCGCTGTCCCCGTCCCTCCCCCGGGAGGATTAAATGAGGTAACGCAGGGTAACTCAGCACCGTCCCCCGGCGCAGGGGTAAGGGCTCAATAAGCGTTAACGGTTCCTGTGTCATTCAGGTAAAGGTGGGAGAAGGAGCCGTGATCCCCAAGGCTTCTCTGCAGAGCCGCAGCAGCCCCCGCCGGACTGGGGCCGGGGTTCGGTTATGCAGAAGCCCGCGGAGCGCAGGGCCAAAAGGCGCCCCTTTGGCCGGAGGCTGTAGAGCTGGGTCCCCGACGCCGGCGGAGAGGGTGTGCCGGCAGCACGGCGCCGCCCCGCGCTCGGGGCGCTGGGCTCCAGTTCCGGCTCAGCCGCCGACCTCGGACGGGCCCCTGCCGCTCCCTCTGGGTGGCCTCAGTTTCCCCGTCGGTAAGAGAGAGCCCCCCGAAGCCGTCTCTAGAGGATCCCGGAGGCGAGGTTCGAGACAGCACTTACAGGAGGATTTCCTGCTTGGTCAGGAACGTCAAGTCCTGGAAGGCGGAACAGGACTCGGAGTCAGCGGGCCGCCCGAGGCCGCGCCCGCCCAGCCGCCGGCACCGGGACGCCGCTCCCGGGCGCAGGCCCGCGCGCAAGCTCCCCGGGGCCCGGCGTCCCGCGCACCTGGTATTCGGCCAGCAGCTCCTTGGACAGACGGCTGCCCGAGCTCCCCATCGCCGCGCCGCGCGCAGAGTTCCGCTAACTCGTCTCGGGACGCCGGCAACTTTCTCACTTCCGCCCTCCCGCCGCGTCACCGTCCCGTCCCCTCAGCAACCGCTGCGGAGCCACCGCCCCCGGGCGCGCCCCCTCCTTGAGGCTCCGAGCAGCTCCCAGCGGGTTCCGCCTCCGGCTGCGGGTTCCGGGCGATCCTAGCGTGTTGGAGGCGTGGCCCGGGGCGGGGCCGGACGCTCCGGGGCGGAGCCCAGGCCGCACGGCCCCGCCTCCTGAAGGTGGGCGGGGCGAGCCTAGCGGCTTGCGTGCGTGCGTTCCAGTGTTAAGGGTGCGCATGCGTCGAGGGCAGCACTACCTCTGGCACCTCTAAGAACTCAGCACAGGAGGGTCACGCGGTGCGCGCTCCTCACCTGGAGTGAGCGGTGGCGGCAGCCTTGGTTGGGCTCCGGTAAAGGGCAGCAGGAAGTCTGCGGAACCAAGGTAACCGGGAAACTCGCTGAGTGGCCAAAGGCCATCGGCTTCCCCGGTGCCGCAGGACGGCTTTTCCATCCAGACGTTGTACTACCGGGTCCCCACCTGACGTGTTGCAACCCCTATGTCGCCTCTGCAGAAAAAAAAACATAAACTCGTTGCTCACTGAGGCTGTTTACTGAAGACCCACTGAATACCAAACGCTGTGCATACTTCCATTCTTATAACAACCCTGCAAGGTAGGTTCCCATTCACAAATGCATGAATGAATGAACTTACACTATTGCAAAAGGTGAGGGTTCCGAGCTGCTGAGAGGAGGAGGTGGCGAGATTGAGTAGAAGTGTGGGGTCGCTTCCCCCCAAAAAAAATTTATAGAAAAAAAATGGGGCCAAATGTAAATTGTGATTTTTCTCTGGCCATTAGAATAAGGGTTGTGTTTATGTAAATGTAAATGTTTCCTGCATTAAGAGAGTTCACCCAAATAAAAATTAAAAATAAAATAAAATATTCTCAGAAAAAAAGAAAAAGAAAGTTCATCCAACATATATAATTTTTAGAATGTATTACTTTTGTAATCAGAAGAACAAGTAAAGCTTATTGGAAAATGAAAGTAAACTCTCTGGAAATGGAATTGCATCATGTGTTTTCTCCCCTTTTGTGATTGTTTCAGGTCGGCCCCATGGCCACTTCACAGGATTCAAATGAAACGTCCTATTTGCTGCCTCCAAACAAGGAGGACTGGGAAGGGCGAGGCATTCCTGACTTTGTCTACGGGCAACAGGAACTCCTGTGGGAAGGGGTTCAGTGGCCGGGGAATGCACCCAGTTGCCCAGACGCACTGCCTGTGCCTGGCTCTCGTTTTGATTCTGCTCTCTGCTCTGCCTGGAGGCAGCGGATGGACCTGGGGCTGTTTCGCTATTGCCTGGGGGAGCTGCAGACCCAAACCCTCCCTGGTGCCGTGGGTTTTGTGGCTCAGCTGAATGTGGAGCGAGGGGTGCAGAGGAGGGCCCCCCAGAGTATTGGCAGCATGAGGCAGGCATTTGACCCTAAACAGTTTAACTTCACCAAAATCCGGCCGGGAGAAGTCCTCTTCCGTTTGCACCGAAAGCCTGATGTCCCAGGTGCACTCCAACAAGAGGATATCCTCGTGATGATCAATGTCAGCCCCCTGGAGTGGGGCCATGTGCTGCTGGTGCCGGAGCCGGCCCTGGGACTCCCCCAGCGCCTGCTGCCGGGTGCCCTTCGGGCTGGGCTGGAAGCTGTGCTGCTGAGCTCACACCCAGGCTTCCGCGTGGGCTTCAACAGCCTGGGCGGCTTGGCCTCCGTGAACCACCTCCACCTGCACGGCTATTACCTGGCCCACAGACTGCCCGTGGAGAGGGCACCAAGTGAACGCCTGGACCCTGGGGGCCATTTGCACCTGCTCCAGGCTGTCCCAGCTCCCGGCTTCCTCTTCTACACCGGTGGGCCAGGGCCGGACTTGGAAGCCTTGATAAGCAGGGTATGTCGAGCCACTGACTATCTGACTGACCACGAGATCGCACATAACCTGTTTGTGACCCGGGGAGCCCCACCTGGAAAGATTTCACCTTCCTCGGCTCTCACGGGGGTCCGGGTCATCCTCTGGGCCCGGAAGTCCAGCTTTGGGAGGAAGGAAAGTGAGGCCTTCAATGTTGCCCTCTGTGAGCTGGCCGGGCACCTCTCTGTCAAAACATCCCAGGACTTTGGCAGCCTGACAGAGGCAGCCGCTCTGGCCCTCATTCAAGACTGTCTGCTGCCCCCAGCGCAGGCGGAAGAGGTGCAGGCAGCGCTGGTGGCCTTGGCTGCTGAGGAGCCATAAGCCTTCCAGGGAATACTTGTTTTTCTCACTGGTCTATGTCCCTTTCAGCAGACCGGCCTATAATGGTCATCTGGGCACTTTCATGACTGCCTTCTCACCTCTGTCAGCCTAAGAGGAGGGATCAAAAACCAATAAAAATGGTCTCTTTAAAGAGAAGAGACCTTGGAATAAATCAAATGAATGCGCTCTCATGGATGTATCTGCTTCTTCTCACCTTTCTTCTTGGACAAGCCCCCAGGGATGTCAAACTTACCGTTGAGAAGGGGGCGTGCACGAGAGTTACATACTCCAGAATACCCCCGCGTCCTCTGGTCCTGCCCCTCTGCTTGTTCCCCCTTTGTCTACTGCTGCCTTCTTTGTCCTCATCTCTGCCCTGCGTCGGGCCCTGCTCCATCCAGGCGCCCTCATTGTAGCACATTCTCCACCTGCTTGACCACCTTGGATTCTCCAGCCCCAGCAGTGAGCTGAGAGCTCTTCACCTACTTTGTCTCGTGTAAAAACACGTGGTCCTTGCAGCTTTAAAGGTATAGGTTCTCTTAGTGCCCCCCCCCCCTAACAGATGAAGAGATGGAGGTGGGCAGACGGAGGTTTAGGAGCTTTGCTGAGGTCACGCAGCTCATCGGGAGCGGAGCAGGAACTGCAGACGCCAGAGGCTGAGCTGGGGGCATGCACTTGGGACTGCGTCTCCAGGCAGCGGCGCCGTCACAGTTCCCCTGAGCGGAGGCTCAGGTCCCCGGGCGGTTGGCTCTCTGTCCCCAGGCCTCTATGAAGCTTCGATATATTTAGAATTTCAGAGGTTTGAATCCTAAAAGGCATTATAAAGTCTCATTGGAATGAGGCAACACATGTACTATAACCCATCTCATACGAAAAATATTGTAACTGAAATGTAAATGTGTGTGTGTTGAACATTTACGTTTCTACCAAAGCTTTTTTTGCCCGCCCTCACATGTTTGGCACGCCACAGTCATTGTAGCCAGTACCTCTTGCTGCAGCCCTCTGCACAGAGGGGCGTACGGCTGTTACAGCAGAGCGGATTCTGTGTCCAAAGTGGTGAGGCCAAACATCAGGACCTTTCCAGTTATTCCACAGGACTGATGTTCGGAGGAAAGCCTTCTCTGTCCCAACTAAGTTTTCCCATGAAAAGGGGGAAAAAGCCAAAAGGCTTTCTTTATGGTGGCACTATACTTTGTAAGTTCTCAAGAAGGGGAACTTTTAAATGGGAGGTTTCTGTAAGCTTGAGAATGGAAGACTTTGAGGTAGCGGTAGGAAGGGCTGAATCCAGCCCCCAGGCCTCTCCACCACTCTGCTTGCTTGTTGACGAAGTAAGAGGCTTTGGATTTGATCTAACAGGAAACCCTGAAGAGTTTCTATGGGGGAGTAATATTTGCATTTTAGGAAGAAGACTTCAGCTGCATGGATGGATGGATGGATTGAATCAGGGAGTCCAATGAAGAGGTTGCTGCTGAATGTTAGCAATTCAGGCAAGAAATGGCGATGGTTCAGACCCTAGAACAGTGCCTGGAACACTAAACACTTGTTGAAAGAATGAGAAAAATGAGTGTCCTGGAAGGCAAAGGACTCCAGAGCATTTCAAGGAGTGGGTTATTGAGAGTATCTTAAGCTGAAAAAAAGATGGAGAAGTCTGTGAATCAGAAAATGTGTGTGGCTTTTTAAAGGAGGGAAATTTTTAAAGTGTCCCCCAGATCGAGCCACATGGGGTCATTGTAAAAGTGACGAGGTGAGCCGAGTTGGGTGGAAGTGGTCATTAGAAGTCGGCTAGAGCGGACGGACGTCAGGAAGACAGCGAAGGAGCAGTCTAATAAGGCCGCTGTTCCTTAGTGGAGCTGCCTCAGCCCACCAGGCAGAGCGCCTCCAGGGGAGGTGTGCTAATCGCGGCTGCCCCTCCCGAATGCAGACGCTGCTCAGGCATGGCTATTTAAAAATGTCAGAAAGGCAAGCAGATGTGTCTCCCGAACAGGGTTGGCCAAATTCCGGGCTTTGCCCGAAAATTCAAAAGAGGGAGGGAGTGGGGTTGAGCGAACTAGCATGGCAGCGGAAGGACTACAAGTCCCATGATCCACCCTGTTAGCTGCCACAGGAAGAGAGCGTGGACCTGTGGGTGTGGCTTTCTGGAAGCCCCGCCTTCAGAACGCTGCTCCAATAGGAGTCGCCTTCGTGTCTATGGCGACGGTGGGCGGTGGCAGCCAGCCTGTGGAAGGAGAAGCCACCGCCTCAAGGATCGCGCAGCTAAGAGTGAATCCGGTGGGGAGCGGGCTCCCCCTCGCGATCGGCAGGGACGGCGAGCCCTGTGGAAAGAACAAGGAGGCGGTCCCGGAGGCGCAGCAACACCTGGGGCAGAAAGGGCAGGCATGAGCAACCAGCTGAGTCCAGTTCCAGGCCACTAGGGGCAGGCGTAGCGGTCCGGGTGGGCAGAGTCCGCAGGGGGCTCCTCCTCCGCCATCAGGGCCGGAGGGGTCTTAGCTAGTGGGTGCCCGGCCCCAGTGTGTGCACACAGAGAAACTGAGTCATGGGACAGGTAAAGGGCTGGTCTAGGGAACCTTCGGTCTTAGGCTCTGGTTTAAAGGCAAAGCCCCCTCCTCCCGCCATCCCCTTTGTATGCCATGGCCTTGGCCCGCCCTGTTCAGCTCCTGCTGCACCCCGGCGTGTTGTGTGGTGTGACCGTGGGTGACTGGGGCTTCTCGGCGAACCCAGCATAGTCACAGGCATCCCGCGACCCCCATGACCTACCTGGAAACAGCCCGCTTTGCAGTGGGGTTGTCTCGTTCTAGAGGGGCAGCAGCAGCATCCCCTTATAACACCGAGAAGGTCCTCAGGGCGCACTCCTGCAGGCCTTCCCAGGCCTGGAGGGAAGTCTCATCTGTCGCTCCCATCCACCTGTCCCCCAGAATCTAAAGGATGGAGCCAACTACCTGTAAGAGCAGCGAATCAGAGGAAGACTATGTTGAAGAAGAGGAGTCAGAGGAGGAGTGTGATAAGGAGGAAGTCACCATCCCTCCTGACCCTTCTCAGCAGACACTCTCAAAGGCGGACTGTGAGGCGCTGGGGAATGAAGTTGCCTTATCCATTGTAGCCACAAAGATTCCGAAAAAAGACAAAGCCCCAGCTGACTTAGATGATTTAGGGGTTGGGAGAAGGAAGAGAAAGCAGAAATGCAGGTAACTGGTCCCTGGAGCCCCTCATGTGCTCGGCCCCGGAGTCACACCCTAGCCTCCCTTTGCAGTTGGGCTGGGACCCGGTGTCTTCCCTCTGGCCTGGGGAGGATGGCAGGGAATCCTGGAGCATCGTTAACCTTTTGGTGCGACAAAAACAAACACAACTCAGAACCACTGGGGCTGGCTTCGTGTAGAATTTCAGCACGTGTGTATCACCCTGGCCCCCCAGAGGCCTCTGGAGGAAATGAGTTGCATGGGGAATTTGCTGGGCGTCTCTTCATCTGGGCGCCTGATTTCTGCCCTTCCTGCCTTCCAGAGCCCTGGCCATCAACCTGACCAACTGCAGGTATGAGAGTGGTAAGTGCCGGGCTCATCCCTCTCACCACTGCTGTCCCTGTGACTCCGGGATGGTCCCAGTCAGGCTTCCGGCCCCTGGACCTTGTAAGGCTGTCCCGGAGCCCAAACCAAGCCCCTTGGCTTGGCCACTGGCAGGTGCGGAACCCCTCGGCTAAGAAGGAAAAAAATCACTCAGACGCACCACTGCCTCACCCTTTTCGTTTTTTATCGGAGACACGACCCGGTTAAAACCATTGTTCCGAAGGAAGTTCTTGAGGCGGCTGCAGTGATTGTTTAAGAAAATACCAGCTGGGTCAGCCATGCCTTTCTCCCCTCTTACCCCCACTGTCATCTGTGCAAGGGGCCACCCACAGAGTGAGGTGCTGGTCTGACCCCTGCTGAGGGTCAGCTCTGCAGGCCAGGAAGCGTCCTGATTGCGAGAGGGAATGACGGGGACCGACAGGCAGGCTCTAGTGTCCTCTGTCAGGTTGGGGAATGGCCCTGACGGCTTCGTGCTCTTGGAGTTGTCCCACAGCACCTGACATGCCCAGCCGCGGTGAGAACTCCCTCCCTCTTCAACCTGCTCTCCAGTCAGGGCTGCTCCTTACGCCACCCAGACTCAGTCCCAAGGCCTCTGCCTATGCCCAGGCTGGCCCTGTGACCTCCCTCCACAGTGCGCCGGGCGGCCCAGACGTGCGGCCTGAAGGAGGTGGGGGAAGATGAGGAGTGGACCGTGTACTGGACAGACTGTGCTGTCTCGCTGGAACGCGTCATGGACATGAAGAGGTTTCAGGTACAACCTCCCAACCCGAGATTCCAGCAGGACTATGGCCCCAGAATGACTGCCGGCACCCGTTCTGCCAGGTGCCCAAGGCTGCCACCTGGTGGCCGCGCCCCCATGCAGAGCACGGAAGGCCATGGCTGGGGGCGTGTGCTCCAGTGCAAATACTTTCCTCTGGAATCTCTGGAACTTCTCTTATCTGAAGCAGTGTCTGCTGTGTGCATGGGGGCGTGCGTGCCCAGCTGGCCCCTTCAGGGCAGGCCCGTTCGGAGTCAGGGCCAGTGGAGGGACCCAGCCTTCCCAGCAGCTGAGCCTAGCACCCCACGTCCACTCAGTCACGTGGGGCCCTCCGTGGCTGCGAGAAAGACAGACCGGGGCCCACGAGACGATTGTGACTTCTTCATGGAACTCTTGTGACCCTCTAATTGGGTCTTTGTGTTGGTGAGGGATAAAATAATTAAAAGGGGCCTGCAGGCTTACTTTGAGGGGAAACCTCAAAATAACCTCATTGAGGAGACCGCAGCCTGTCCCACCGCAAGAAGAGGCAGACACTGCCCTTATGGTCTTCTCTCATCAAGCCCTCAAACACGACCCTGAGTGGCAGCTGTCTTCTGCGAAGAGGAGGACCCTGTGCCTCGGGGGCTCACGCGGCTAGCCAGGGGGACAGCCAGCAAGAGAGCCCCGAGGCGCGGTGACAGGCCACCTCCCACGCCACCCGCAGCAGACAGATGGCGCCGTGCCCTCTGGGGCCGCGCCCTCCTCGGGCTGCTCTCCAGGGTCCTTTCCTCGGTGGGGAAATGTCTTCTCATTTGCTCTGTGCCGCCACACACCAGCCACTTACAGAACCAGTCCCCGTGGTCTCAGGGACGTCCGGGTGGCTCTAGATGGCCCACAGTCCCATCTCGCCCTTCCCACTGAGCCTCATTGGCTAACCCCGGTGTGTCGCGGTGTTTTGGGGAGAGAGGCCGTGGACGGGTTTCCCACCTGCCTTAGGGCATCCTCCTGTTTTCTCCTTGGGTTAGGAGGCAGGGTTTACCTCCACTGACTACCTTGACCTTCCCAGTCCTCCCCTGCCTTCTGGACGCCCGGATCCAAGGAACAGCCGCTTACCCCGGGGGGTGGCGTAAGTAGCTGGCTCCGTTTTCAGAAAATCAACCACTTCCCGGGCATGACGGAGATCTGCCGCAAAGACTTGCTGGCCCGGAACATGAAGCGCATGCAGAGACTCTACCCCCTGGAGTACAACATCTTCCCGCGCACCTGGTGCCTCCCCTCGGAGTGAGCGGCACGCCGCGGCGGAGGGGGGTCACCCCCTCTGCGTTCCCTGCACACTCTGGCCCCGCGACCTGGAGCGTCGCAGGGGGGTGGGAGAGGGATGCTCTGAGACTGAGGGCTGCAGCGAGAGCATGGCCCCGAGGGCAGGAGGGACTCCAAGGGGCCCCGGGACGGCCGCGATGCCCAGGGACCGTCTGACCAGCAGCCTCTGTCTGCCCGTAGCTACGGGGACTTCCAGGCCTGTGGTCGTCAGCGGAAAACCCGAACGTTTATCTGCAAGCCAGACAGCGGCTCCCAGGGCCGCGGCATCTTCCTCACCCGGAACCCCCGGGACATCAAGCCGGGAGAGCATATGATCTGCCAGCAGTACATCTCCAAGGTGAAGGGCGCCCCGCGGCCGCCGGGTCCCCCTGCGGGCACTGGCTGCCCCGCTCTCCCAGAGCCAGGGAGGCCGCTGGTGTCGGGCTCCGCCCCTTTCTGCCAGGCCCCGCCCCTTTCTGCCGCTCCTCTCCTATTGGAAGAGCGCGTGGAGCCCTGGCGCAGAGCCAGCCTATCGGGGTTTGAATCTGAGTCCTTCCACTTTTTAGATACACGGGGCTTGGGTACCTGTCTTACCCTTTCTGTACCCCAGTTTCCTCCCTAGTTGACGGGGATAATAACAGTAACGACGTGGTCACTGTGAAATTTAAGCGAGGTGTTACACAGTCAAAGCGCGCAGGACCCTGGGTAGTACAGAGCGTTACCCCTGCGGGCAAACACTCAAAGCGTTGTCCTCCGCCCCCCACGGCCGGCGCTGCGTACCCAGCCCTTCCTCATCGACGGCTTCAAGTTCGACATGCGCGTCTACGTCCTGCTCACGTCCTGTGACCCCCTGCGGATCTTCATGTACGAGGAGGGCCTGGCCCGCTTCGCCACCATGCCCTACGTGGAGCCCAACCAGAACAACCTGGTAAGGGGCGGGGGGCAGCCCTGGGGACGGGCAGCACCCCCCCCCCCACACCTTTTCCACTGCTAAGTGCTGAGGTGTTCTGGGGAAACTGAGGAGAGGGGCTTGTGATGCAGCTGGACGGTCGCCCAGGACAAGGAGCGAAGCCGGTGAGCGCTCCGGCACCCGGCTGGGAGGGGAGGGACAGCACGACCCTCCCCGGGGGGCGGGCAGAGGCACAGGAGGTGAGCCGTCCCTGGCGCTCAAGAGGCAGTGCAGAGCTGGCGAGGAGCGCGGCCCCGAGGCCACAGGGCCGCTCTCTCCCCAGGATGACATCTGCATGCACCTGACCAACTACGCCATCAACAAGCACAACGAGAACTTTGTCCGCGACGACGCCGTGGGCAGCAAGAGGTATGGCCCACCCCGTCGTCTTCCCCTGTCCCTCGGCCCTAAGTCTCAGTGGCCGTGAAACTGAGACCGGCTCTTGGGAGGCTGACTGCTGGGGAAAACTCAGCCTTGACAGATCCCTGTCCTGTGTGTGACCACCCAGGGAGGCCCCTCCCACCAATAACTAGACCCTGCTGCGAGCTGGCGGCCCCCCCCCCCTGAAAGCACAAGGAGCCCAGGCATGGCCTTAGGGTTAGGGAGCCTCCTGCCTGCAGCCCCGCCCCACTGGCCAGGACGAGGTCTCCCTCTGAGCACTGGGCCTCACAGGAAGCTGTCGACGCTCAACGCCTGGCTGCGAGAACGCAGCTACGACCCCCGAGAGATATGGGGGGGCATCGAGGACATCATCATCAAAACCGTCATCTCGGCCCACTCGGTGCTGCGCCACAACTACCGAACCTGCTTTCCCCAATACCTGAGCGGGGGCACTTGTGCCTGTTTTGAGATCCTTGGTTTCGACATCTTGCTGGACCACAAGCTGAAGCCCTGGCTGCTGGAGGTGAGGACTATCTCCTGGGCTTTGCAAAGCCAAGGTCCAGCCCTGGCTGGTGTGGCTCAGTGGATTGAGCTCTGGCTGCGAACCAAAGGGTCACTGGTTCAGTTCCCAGTCAGGGCACGTGCCTGGGTTGCTGGCAGGGTCCCCAGTAGGGGGCGTGCGAGAGGCAACCACACATGGATGTTTCTCTCCTTCCCTTCCCCCTCTCTAAAAATAATAAAATCTTTAAAAAAGCAAAAACAAAAACAAAAAACCAAGGTCCAGAGGCCTCCCTGAGCAGTCAGGTGGGGGAGCAGAGGACGGGGGTGCGGCGGCGCCAGGCGGGGAGGGGCTGCGGCAGGCCTGAGATCTCCGTACTTTGCACCTGTTGAGTCAGATCTTGGTGGTCTCTGGCGTCCACCGTAGTAGGAATCCAGGTTTGGGATCCCAGGAGTCGCTCGTGTAAGCCTTGCCTTCAAGGACCGCGTGTCTGAGCAGCCAGTCTGATTGTTTACTGGGCCTTGTGTGTGGTCAGAACACCGAGCCCCGTGGCTGAGGCCGCTGGAGGGGGCGTCTCTCCCGCACCCTCCCCGGGCCTGCAGGAGACGGCCGCCCGCTCAGGCGGCCTGGGGGCGGGCGGATAACGACTCCTCCCGGCAGGTGAACCACTCTCCCAGCTTCACCACGGACTCGCTGCTGGACCAAGAGGTGAAGGACGCGCTGCTCTGCGACACGCTGGTCCTCATCAACCTGCGCGGCTGCGACAAGCGGAAGGTGCTGGAGGAAGACAAGCGGCGCGTGAAAGGCCGGCTCCTGCAGGGCCAGCAGGAGCTGCGCGAAGCCAGGTAGCGCAGGCGGGCGCCCGCCGGAGGTGGGGGGGGTGTCCCTTGGGTCCCATTTCCCTGAGAAACAAAACCCTCCTCCGGGTGGAGGAGGCAGCCTGGAGCCGCGCTATGAGAAACAACGCGTTGTGCGTAGATAAATACACCGCGGGGCGTGGACACCGGTGTTCAGAGTGCGGAGGACGCAGTGCACGCGGCTGTGCTCACAAACATGCGGCGCACGGGCATACGTGTATTTATTATACCAACTGCTTCTCTCCCTTCGCACACTCGGCGCGCCACGTAGCCGTGTGTTTTAGAGCCGCTTCGTGTTAGTGCCTGAGCTGGGTGCAGCTTCACGAGCTGTTTCTTTTTTAAACAAAGTCCCTCTAGAAACCCCTTCCTGAGAAAATTTATAGCCACGAGCCCTGGCTGGTGTGGCTCAGTTAGTTGGGCATCGTCTTGCCAAACAAGAAGTCACCAGTTTGATTCGATTCCAGGTCAGGGCACGTGCCTGGGTTGCGGGTTTGAAGCAAGCAATCCATGTTTCTCTCCCCCACTTTCTCCCGCCCTCCCCCTCTTTAAAAATAAATAAATATATTTTTTAAAAAGTTTATAGTAATGAAACACATAACAGTTTAGTTGTTCAACATTAAGGGACAGTTTTTTATTTTTTGCCTTTGTTTTTAGGGGATGGGTTACATCAGTATTGTCCACCCACTGCTGTTTTCCTTGTAAGATGGGTTATTACCACGTGGGGATTTATTGCTGATACGGAATTACAGTTAACGAGGCATAAAAATGAATCTGAGTAGATTCAGCATTAGCATAATAATGCTGTTCTTCCCCCCCCACCACCACACCCACACAGCAAGATGCGAGGCCAGCGTGTACTAGGTTTGCGGAGGCCGTCTTGAGGGCCTCATGCACGGAAGGCCCACGGACATCTGCGTGAGCAGGGGCGAAGGGTAACTGTACACGCCCTGGGTGTTCGTGAGACCACACTATGCACGTGACTTGCTGAACCCCATCTTTCAGTGGGGATAAGCGGTTGAAAACTACTGAACGTCATGAACACACTCATACACTAGAGTGCTAGGCAGCTGTTTAGAAATGCTGTGTGATCCTGCTTTCATTCAAAGAGGAGAAAGGGCGGAAGGAAGGATGGAAGGAAGGAAAGAGGGCAGGAGGGAGGGAAGGCCGGCGGCCAGGGCGGTGCAGGGCAAAGCCAGGGTTCAGACGCAGGAGGTCCTGCCTCGGCCTCTGTGCTCAGAACCAACATACGAGCTGCATTGTAAGACTGTGGGCAGTTTTTTATCATCATCTTTTCTGCTTCTCTAGATTTTCTGAAATTAGAAACCCAATTTCTATAATCAGGGGCCTGTGAGACTGTGAGAACTTGGCGTTAGCCTATGAGCGGACCCCACTGCACTGAAGACGAAAACCAGATTTCCGGAAGTCGAGCCTGTTTTCATTACCGTACACGGGCGGGACGGCCACAGATGGGCTTCCCAGCTCGCGCCACATGGGCAGGGGCCCGAGAGGCCGGGAGCTCGGGGCAGGGCCTCAGAGCTTCGGCCAGCCCGCCTGTCCCGCTGCCTCACCCAGAGCTCGGTTTCTGCAGGCGCGAACAGACCGAATTGTCCCAGGCGGCGCTTCTGGACCAGGAATGCTACGAGGATTCCCACCTTGGGGGCTACCGGAGGATCTACCCCGGGCCCGACACAGAGAAGTACACGCCCTTCTTCAAGCACAGCGGCTCCCTCTTCCAGGAGACGGCGGCCTCCAAGGCCAGAGAGGAGTGCGCCAGGTACTTCGCCCTGCCTGCTCCTCTCCCCACCTGGGTGGGGACGGATCTGGAAGCTGACCTGCTCCCCAGCAGGGTGGAGAGGATGCCAGGCGCTGGAGGAAAGAGGGATGGACTTACGCAGTTTATTGGTCTTCGTGGCTCAGTTTAGGAGGTGTCCCATCTTCCCCCGCAGCCCTCGCCCACCAGTCCCCCAAACGGACCATCATTCCCTGCTCTTTCCCGATCCCTGTTCTCCCTCACTGCCCCCCCACCCTTCTCCGCACAAGTTCTCCGGTATCTGAATCTGCTGTATCTCATCAGGCAGCAGCTGGAAGAGATCCGCCTCAAGCAGGAGCAGCGCGACGTCTTAGACACGAAGCGGCGGAGGGAAAACAAGGAGCAGAGCCAGGGGGAGTCGGCAGGGGAGAGGAGCTGCTGCAGGACCCGGCTCCGGGGCTTCCCCACCCACCTGGCCTACCGGAGCCGGAACCGGAAGAAAGAGGTGTCCGGGGCTTTGTGGCTCTTGACTTTCTGCAGGAAAATGGGGTAGGAGTATTAGAGAAGGGAATCTCTGCTGTCCTTTCCTCCTCATTTGAGACAGAGAGAGAGGAGCTCCTAGTGAGTCCATTGAATCTGGCCCTTTGGAACAGGAGGTGAGAAGGGAGAGCAAGAGGGACCGGCACTAGGGTCAGGGAAGGGGTGGCGGAGAGCGGGCGGGAGCCCTGCAGTCATCCGTTGGTGGTCGGGACTCACCATCCGAGACCCTGCATGCATCTCCCGTGTACCTTGTAGCTGCCACCAGGATACCCGGACACCATGCAGCCTCAGGAAATCGTGGAAGAGGAGGAGCTGGAGCGGTTGAAGGCCCTGCTGCAACGGGAGAATCTCATCCGAAGCATGGGCATTGTAGAGCAGATCACCAGCATGGTGCACCCCGGCAACCGGGACCAGAAGAAGCTTCACGAGTATCGGGTGAGGGTCGCCGTGCAGCATCTCGCACAGCAGGGAACAAGGGCGGTGCCGGCGCGCAATGCTGGCTGCGGCCCCAGGAGGCTAATGTGACGGTGTCTGGCAGTGGAGCCTGGGCAAGCAGTCTGTGCTGGGCCTCAGGAAAGGGGCTGCTGGTTCCTCTTACGGCTGTCCCCCAAGCGCCCTTGCTTTTAGTGACATCCAGCCAAGTGCAGCTCCCTGCCTTCTCACAAGAGACCTGTTTGCTATAGCCCTATCTGGCAAGGACCCCAAACCCACGACTGACCACCACCTTCGGTGGCTTCTGTGTAATCTCTCCCTGGCACTGCCCGTGCCGTGGCTCTAAGGGGTGATAAGTAAAGCCTTGGGCCTGCAAAACAGCTGCCGCATTCACTGTTCCCTGGGGTAGTGGCAAACCCGATGGGTCCCGTTCTTGTTGAGCCCCGGAGAAGGAACTGGTTAGGCAGCGGCTCTGGCCTAGAAGAGGTTTTTCCGTTGTCTATGTTTCCCACCACTCCCTCCAGCCTCACGAGAAACGTGGTAAGAGGCTGCTTTTCTCCTCTAGTCTAGATCTCATCCGGACGGGCTGAGCAGTCAAGAACTGCCGTCTATGAGTCTGTTCCCATTGGTCCTCCTGAGCGGGGCGGACAAAGAGCAGGGCCCTCCTCCTGTCCTGCAGCCAGTTCGATCCCACGAGTTGATCCCCAGGATCTTAGGGCCACTGCCACGCATGAATACTGCACTTCTGCCTCATGCCCGGTACTACCTACAGCCCAGGAACGTCAACTGGATAAGAGATCCAGCCGCCTTTGGCCCCTGTTCATTGTCAACGAAGAAATCTGACGAGCGCTGTTTTCCCATTCCCAGAGTCAGGCCCGATAGCCGTAAGTATGCAAAACTAGCTTTGGTCACTGAGTTCCCACCAGCAGGTGTTCCAGCTGGGATGCTCCCAAATATAATGCGGCATCTCCAGCAGCGCGGGAACGTGGGAGGCAGTGGAGCCATCTGCCGCCTCCTCTGTGCTGGAGCCTGGTGGTGGAAATGGCAGAAACACGGTCCCAGCACTCTGCAAACACAACAGGGAAATGGACAAGCAAACGCACCGATGACAATACAGTGTGGGAAAGATGCTGGAGGGAAGCACAGGGTGCCATTCCTCTGTGTTGGTCATTGAGAGACAGTTGGGAAAGAGTAGTAAGTAGCAAGCAACTCAGGGGGCCCCATGTTTCCACTGCAGAAGGCCAAGCCAGCAGGAGGCTAGAAGCCATAAACAGAGCCATGGCAGGATCAGTGCCATCCTGTTTAACCCCAAGGCAGGGCTACTTTCTGCAACGGGAAAGAGTGGTAAGTAGCCCGTGGACTGAATGCACCTTGCCCTCCATCGTCCACTGTGGACAACAAGCAGCCAAGGCCCAGGACCTCCCCCTCTGCCGTGCCTCTGCACCCCTGATGCAGAGTGCCACTGCGGCCCTGGACATCAGCCACCACAGGTAAATGCAGGAAGGAAGCCCAGCACTCAAGCTCTGCTGGAGAACCCTTCAGCTTTCCTAAGGGGCAAAGGGCCTTCGAGCGCTGCCCAGTGAAGAGACTGCCACCAAGCTTGAGTCTGAAAAGCCCTGGCCAGGAACTCGGTTTGCATAAGGCACAAACACAAAGACACCAAGAATTCCTCGATACCGCAAGAGTATTTCCGGACCAGGGAAGACCAAACAACGAAGACAGGCGCCAGGGCGGGCCTTGCACTCACCTCCGCCCTTCAAACCTGGGCCTGGATTTATCGCTAGCTGATGGGTCTGGACCCTGGTGCGGCCCGGGGCTGGAGTTGATTCGGGACACAAGGAGTTCGTTTCCCCAGAGGAGCCGAGTGTCCAGGCACGGGGCTGTCGCCGTCAGAAGACCCCTTGGGGACGCCCTCCCGCCGTTGGGGAGACTGGCCGGCCTGGGCCGCCGTTGTGGGGAAGGGTTGGCTCTCGGCAGTTGAACCCGTCTTTTTATTAAAGTTTATGCCGTTTTGCAGGATCGTCCTCCACCTCATTCAGACTCTCGCCTACCAGCAAAGCTCTACCTGTAGTTACAGCAGGGAAGAGTGGGCTGCGGAACTCGCTAAGCCCAGGGTCCCCCTTCCGCCGGAAGCTGGAAGGGCGTGCCCCGCCCCCTGTCCTCCCCCCAGGCCCCCCTGCTTCCTTCCAGCCCCTCCACTTCCGGTTCCGCCGTCTGGCTTCGCTGGTCCGCATTTTGGCCTGCAGGCGGTTCTGTCGACATGGCGGGTGGTCTGGGTCTCTCGCTCGCCGGGCGTGCCCGCGCTGTCGTCGCTCGCTGTGGTCTCGCGACCCGAGGGGTGGCAGGCCCAGGCTCTATGGGCCGCGAGCCGGATCACGATACCTACTGGGAGCCGGAGGAGCGGGAGCTGCAGGAGGTGGAGAGGTACCAGCTCCTTTCCGGGCCCTCAGCCTGAAGGAGGGTCTCCGGCCCCGGCGATCCAGGCCGCGTCTCCTTGGCGCCGGGCGTCCAGCCGTTGCCTCTGCAGCGGCCCGTGTTTCTTATTCTGATCAGAGACGCAGGGGCAGGTGTTCAGCTCCTTCGGGACCACGGGTCCCTTGACCAGTGACGAGTTTCATCACCCGTGTAGGGAGCTCGGCTAGCCCAAGTTCTAGGCGTTAGATTTCCGGGGCGGTGAGCAAGGAGGAGGCCTAGCACTCCGTGATTTAGCCCGAGACTCTTCAGCCCCCCAGCTAGCTCCCACGCATGGCTTCTGCCATTGGTTCTCTTCTCCAGCGCCCTGAAACGACAGAAAAAGGCCATTCGGTTCCAGAAAATTCGGAGGCAAATGGAGGCGCCAGGTGCCCCACCCAGGACTCTGACGAGGGAAGCCATGGAGCAGATCCGGTAAGACCCCCGTTGTCTGGATCTGTGTTGGGGAGGGAGGGATACTGCGCAAGATCATGTGGTTTTTCTACTTTCTTTTATTAGCATTTCAGATTTCCTTTTCTTAAAGATTTCATTTATTTCAGAGAAGGGGGAAGGGAGTGAGAAAGGAGAAACATCGGTGTAGGGGAGATAACAACATTGCGTTGCCTTTCGCGTGGCCCCTACTGGCCGGCGTCCCAGGAATGCGCCCCGACTGGAAACGGAACTGCGATCTTTCAGTTCCAGGGTGGACACTCGATCCACCGAGCCCCACCGAGCCGCACTGGGTGGAGCTCAGATTTCTTTTCTTATTCATTCCTTCTGCTTCTCCTGTTGTTGTTTTTTGTTTGTTTGTTTGTTTTTTGTTTTTTGCTTTTTTTTTTTTAGAGCAAGAGAAGAAGGAACAAAAGGAACATCAGTTTGTTGTCCCACGTTTTGTGCATTCACTGGTCGCTGGCATGTGCCCTGACCAGACCGCAGCCTTGGCGTCTGGGGCCTGCTCTCGCTGGCTGACCTCCGGGCCAGGGCTCATTTATGGTTTCTTATGGCAAAGTAATGGAATGAACTGCCATAAACCCGTCATCTTGATTTAAAATTTTTAATGTTGTGACACGGTTCATTTTGCTGAAATTTTAAAATTGTCAACTGCAGGCCTCATAACATTTAAATGCTAGATAGTAAATCAGGACGTTCTTACTCTAAGAACCAGGGACGGGAGCTTTCGTGGTTTATGCCCATTTTTGAAATTCTTTTCTCCCTTCACCCCGGTACCACTTGCCTCTATTTCTAGAGCTGCTTTTCTCTTTCCTTCCTGAACATCCCTGCTTCCTCCTGTTGGTTAAATGTTGCTGTTTTCTTTAGAGCTGTGTTCTCAGTCATTTTCTCTCACTCGGCATATTTCCCTGCCTAACGGCAGCCACCCACCCACACGGCTTCAACCACCTTTGCTGTCGGCTTATGACTTCCAAAGCCATCATCTTCAGTCCGTGTTTTTCTCCTGACCCCCAGCTGTGCACCGGACGCCTCCGTCTGGATGCCACACAGGTTCCTCCAACTCGGCGTGTACAAGATAGAATTCACCACTGTTCCGGACAGTTTAATCCCGCTCCTGATTTCGCTGTAACCCTGAATGAGCCCGCAAGTCAGCCCAGCTAAAATCCTGGTCTCAGCCTCCTTCCTCACCACGTTCTCCCACGTGGCCCTCCTAAAATACTTCTCAGGTCTCTTGCTTCCTCCTCTCTCACTGCCACCACCTTGGTCCACCCCGTCTGGATTATTCTGACAGCCTCTTGCCCGAGCTTTCCGCCTCTAGTCTTGCCGCTGAAGGACCACCACTGGATTGGGCTTCACAATGAAAGTTTGCTCATGGCATTCCACCCCTTAAAAGCTTTCCTTGGTTTGCTGTTGCTCTGGGATGAACTCCAGATTACTAAGCACGGCATGATCCTGCTCCTGCCTTCACTGTCGGATGAGTTATTCCCCACGAAGATGGTGTTCCGTGCATTTCACATGCTCGCTCTGCCATCAGTATTTTTGGCCCCCCACCGCCGGCTCGCTAACTCCTTTGCATCCTTTCAGACCAGCTCTAACATCGACTTCCCGGAGCAGCTCCTGGGCCACGCTGCCCGGGTTGTGACAGCCTGTTCGTGGGTCTCCGTCGTGGGAGCTCTCACAGCATCCTGTGCTGTGAGACCCATCACAGTGTTGTTCCGTGTTAACATATTCGTCTTGGCCCCCGGATTGTACGTTCTTTGAAGGGAAGGACGGTCTTCACGCGGTCACCGGGGTTCATGGGGGCAGCTGTGTAGGGGGAGGTGGTCAGTCGGTGCGAAATAAAGTGATCGAACAGTGGCTGGGTGTTGCTGTCGGCACTCGGCATGGAGCACAGCCTGTGTTTGCAGCTCCTCTTCCCGTGTAGTTACCACTAATATTGTCAGTCAGCTATTCTGATAGAAGACTTGACAATTTGAAAAACTGCTTTGTTTTCCTGTAGGTACTTACATAAGGAATTTGCAGAGTCCTGGTCAGTCCCCAGGTTGGCGGAAGGCTTTGATGTGAGCACCGATGTGATCAGAAGGGTTTTAAGGAGCAAGTTTGTTCCCACGTTGGAGCAGAAACTGAAGCAGGATCAGAAAGTCCTTAAGAAAGCTGGGCTTGCCCACGTGCTCCGCCAGCTTCCGGGCTCTGGGGAAACCTGGAAACTGCTTCCCACGTGCCACTCTGCATCAGGAGGTGAAGCCTCATCCCAAGGCCAGGGTCGCAGCACAGCTCTGAAGGTGGTGGGACCGAATACTCACAGTACAGACCCACCGAGCAGACAGGAGAGAAGGAACAGCGGGATCCGCAGCCTGGAGAAGGAGGGCTTGGCGCCCGTGGCTGCAGCAGGAGGTCATCGGGGAGAGCTGCGGAAGCGTCCCACCGCGGACTGCGAGGGCACCGGGGGGCCCAACAGTGCCGGATTGCCGAGTGCGGTCAAGCTGGAGGAGCTGGAGGCAGGAGAACAGGGTGGCCAGAACTTCAGCAGCAAAGTAGTGCAGCAGGGGCGAGAGTTCTTTGATGACAACGGAAACTTCCTGTATAGAATCTGAGCTGGAGCCTGACCTGTGGAGGTGCCGCGTGAAACCCCGCTGGGCAAGCGCGTGGACGACTGGCCGGGTACAGCCCAGCTTCCGGGAGCTTGGCCCCCCCTGGTCTGACCCATCCGGACATTCAGTGCTCACCCTTCTTGCTTAGGCTCTCTGTGTTTCAAAACCAGCCCGCGCTGCATGTGTTAGGAATTTCTGTTGTACCTGCAAAATGTGTTTTGGAGGAATTGAAATGTTGGCCTTCTGACTTGGTTTATTTCTTGATTAATGAACACTAACAGTTCTGAAGCTGCTTAGTCAGTTGATTGTTTTCATTACGTGCAAAATAAACTGAAATGTAGCGGTGTGATCACTGGTTCTGTGGGTGGGAGGGCTTACCTGTGAAACCTGGTGTGGGAAGGAAGGGGCGAAGGGTGCCTTGTCTGCGAACACTGGCAGGGAGATGGGGCCGGGGGATCGCCCGCAGAGAGCTCTGTAGGTCACTGCTCAGTGCTGGAATCTGACAGGTAAAAGGACATGAATTTTTTAGTTGCTAAAGTTATCAAAGATTGAAATGTGTGTGGGGTTTGACTTTTTAAAATTTGCAACATAGGCAAAGGCTTTGGGGCCCTCATCCCCTCCAGTCCCTTTCAAAGACTGAAAAAGTATCTCTTCAGTTTCTCACATCTTGGCAGCAGTGTTATGCTGGAGGCAAGAACAGATAACAGGCCCCTTTTAGCAAATGACACCATCACAAAGGAATGTGGATTTGCCTGAGGCCACGTGACTGCTCCTAAGTAGCAAACCTGGTATTGAACCCAGGTCCTATCCTTAATTCAAGGCCTTTAAAATTGGAGACACTTTGTTATAGCAAAGTGATTGTCGTAGAGAGGGAATGAGTCCTGCGAGCAGCAGAAACCCAGTGACAGTTTTCAACCATGTCTCGTTTTAACAATTCACAGCAAAAATCGGTTATTTGGAGCTTACATATATGCCGAAAACACCGATATTCCAAACCTGTTACTGATGGTCTGTCTGTGAAACCTTCCTGTTTCCAATGCCATCAACAGCCATTCTGTCCCTGCTCACTCCTAACTGGAGCATTTGTTCGGTTTAAACGGCCTTGTCTCCTGCCAGTCACAGGAAACCCAGATGTTGGGAATGCCGCATTGGGCAGACAAAGCCCTTGTTCTCTCACTGGTCCTGTAGTTTCTAGTCAAAGCGGACCAGTGTGACGATTTTAAAGGAATGTGGTCCTTTTCCGTTAGAACCTTTCAGGCCTTTGAGAGGTGCGAGGTGCTGTGTGACTTTAAATCAGCGGTTCCAGCTCCTGCAGGTGGTGTCCGTGGCCGTTCCCCAGGGGCCCTCGGGGATTTTAGCTGTTGTTCCAGACCGGGGTAGGTACTCCATTTACCTCGTCCTCGGCTACAGTTCACTCAGCTTCGAGGCTGGGTCCGGGCGGGAAACGGAGGGCCCAGTGGGAGGGGCTCAGAGGACACCACCTACCCCCTCCCTCCGGCACCCTAAGTAGGAGAGAGGTGGGAGGGGAGAGGCAGGAGGGGAGTCCCTCAGAGCCCCGCCCCACCCGGCTCCCGGATTCCAGATCCTTCCGGAGCGTCGCTGATCTCCGGGCCCTGCGGGGCAGAGGCCAGGCAGAGGCCAGGCCCGCGTGTAGCTGCCGCGGAAGCCCCAGCGGGGACTGGGGCTTTTCAGACGCGGCGCTTCCCGTGGGGTGCGGGTGAGCCGGGGGTCTGCGCGGGGCGGGGGCGGGAGGGCCGCGAGCCCATAACCGCTGGCTCCGAGAGAGTTGAGTCAGCGGCACTTGCGCCAGGCGAGGGGCACCTCGCTAAACCCGCAGCGTGGCCGGGGGAGGCGACCTCCCCATGGAACCCTCGTTGCACAGGAAAGCAGCTATCTCTGCAGTGACGCTTCCACAGCAACGGAAAGGTGGCCGCTGGGGTGGCAACTGCGGGTCCCTGCCACCGCAGACCCAACGCAGGGGGAGAGGCGCGGGGCTTGCAGGCCCATCGTGGGAGGTGCTGCGGTTGTCCCCACTTTACAGCCGGGGAAACTGAGGTTCACGGGGCCGGGGTGGGGGAGTCTCATCCACTCCACCCCTGCGGGAGTCTCTTCCTGTGTGGCCTCCCCCAAAGCTCTGGGCTGTGTGCAAGTGTCCCCCGAGGAGCCCAGGTCTGGGTTCGGGCCCCAGGGACTCTGATGTACTGGTTGGGGTTTGGCCTGGATGTCGGGGTTCTCCGAGCTGCCCAGGCCCCCTGTCTCAGTGCCCAGCACGACGTCCCACCAGCTACCTCAGCCCCGGGCAGGCGCACCCAGCCTCGGTGGCCTTACAGGGAGCAGCTGTGTCCCTGGTGACTGAGATGCTGTCGGCACATTTTCATCCTGATCATTGTGGGCGTGATTCAGCGCATGTCGCAAAGCTGTGCGATTTCTAGAACATTCTGATGACGCGTGGGGACAGCAGGATGCAGTTCGTGGAATCAACGTTATTTCAGCAAAGTTAGGGTGTCTGGTGACCCCATGACAAATGTAAATGTTGTGATGAGGAGGGAGGAAGGGGACCCCAAGGATGGGCTGAGGTGGGCTTGGGCAGGTCCTGATGGGCGATGGGGATTGGAAGGTTCTGGAAGGGAGCCGGCTGCATCGTAGGTAGGCACGAAGGGACACTACTGAAAGTGTAGACGTCAGAGGCAGGACATGTCCAGGGAGAATCTCTGGGGGAGGCAGGACACCAGGGGAGCCTTGAACGCGGCACTAGGGAGCTGGAATTGTAGGCTCCAGATAAATAATTACAGGTGACACTATCCCCTGCAGTCAGGCCCCAGCAAATGACCAGGTGCAGCCCCAAGGTTAGAAACGGCCTCTGGCCGCCGGGTTTTATAAACAGTCATCGCCTTCAGCATCCCACGGGCGAGCTGGGCCCAGGGCTCTATGCAGCAGCACCCAGGGGAGCACCGCGCATCTGAGCAGCTGCTGCAGAGCTGGGAGCCTCCCCTCCCACCTCCGGATACTCCCAAGCTGTCCCTGCCGGCCCTGGCCATCGTTCAGAGGTCTCAGCCAGGACCAAAGACAGCCGGCCACAGAACACATGTCCCTGGGGCCACAGCGCCTGGCCAGCCTGGGCCACACGGGCTGGCCGGGTCTCTGGCCTCTGTTCCCGGGCTGCACCTGGCTGAGGAGCCGGCTCCCCGGAGCCTCCGGGCCGTGCTGAGAGGCTGCGTCATGAATTGTGCGCGGGGCAGTTCAGAGTGAAGACCCCCTAGGTGCCAGTTGGCAGCGATAAGGCCCTTGAATGCCAGGGCTTGGCTTTTCTGATGTTTACTGATGTGGATTATTTTTCCTGAGAGGGATTTTGAAAAGTTCAGGGTAGGAAGGAAGGAAGGAAGGAGAGGAAGAAAGAAAAATCAGCAGGAAATGCTCTCCGAGCCTCGGTGGTTGCCGAAGTCTGTGATTCACAACATGCTCCTCAGCTATTTTATGAGGCAGCCAGGCCTCTACTTACTGCCACCCCCCCCCAATACTATTTTCTTGGACTCTGGCAACTAGTGCCTCGACTCCGGACTTGCCCTAAAAGCAACACAGCCATTTTTTTAAAAATTGCATAAACAATGTCACAATGTCACCAAGACAATAAGTGACTCAAACAAGTCTGTTGTGGTTGCTATAGTATTGTTTATGCCGTGACCTTCACAAGAAGGAAAATAGGCAGCCGTAACACCAGCATCCCCTGCGCCCCCCCCATGCTACTGTTGCCATTTGCCACCCCCCTCAGCTGGCTGCAAAGTCCTGCAACCCACTTGAAAGGCAGCTTTGTCAAAATTGCAAATTGTGGGTGCATTTACTTTGGATCCAGCAACCCCACTTCTGAGAATTTTCCCTCCAGTATAAAATGGGACCTGGACAAGGTTATTCTTTGCTGTGTTGTTTGTGACAGTAACAGATTAGATCCGAGTGTCCATTTGTTGGGGAATAGAGACAAAAATGATGCATCATCCATCAAAGGAAGAAACACTCTGAGAGGTGAAACAGTGAGCAGGAAGCCCTCCCTCTACTGGATAGAAAGGGTACTGCAAAGTGCAGAACAGGAGTGGAGACAGTAAGAATTTTCTTAGTGTTTTTATAACAAAACTCGCCAAGGATGCACATGAAATAAAAGGGAAACCTTTGGGAGGTTGGTTGAAAGGAAAGATGTGAGAAAAATTTTCCAGTGAGTAATTTAAAATACCCACCTGAGTTTTTATTATGTGACTGTAACTAACCCTCCAAAAAAAGGAGCAATTTCCCACAAGTTGAAGCCCTCAAATGACAAGCAGAGTATTGGTGACCGAAAAATTGATTCTCAATTTCTCCATTTGTTTTATACTTGCTCCTCCCTGCACCTATTCTTGGAGCTTCCATGATCTTAGGGCCTCGTGCAATTTTGTTAAACCCTTAAACATATAAGCAAAAGAATCCTTTTTTAAACATTTTCTTAGACTATTGTAGCATTAAGTCCAACAGAGGGCTCAAAGTGCTAGAACTTTGTGACAATGGCGCCCTCTTGTGGTTCTTAGCTATTCCTGTTACATCGAGGTCTCTTCTGGGACCCAAGGAGAGTAATGATCAGACGTTTTATTTTCTGGTTAGTAATAACCTATTTCTAATAACCGCCTTTACCAGCATTTTCCAAGATGACGTCATGATCCGGGGATTTTTGATTAACTAGCTGGTGACACTCTCAGATGAGAGGACTTGAACTGAAAACGGTCTGCTAGCGTCTTGAAGCTGAACGAGGAACTGGGGGAGGTGGGGCTGGAGTTTGTAGGTTTCACAGGCACTCCAGGTGACTCTGACACCCAGTAGGTCTACGAGCCATGGATCCCTGCTCTCAGGTGGGAAATGGGTCCATTTCCCCAACAGATGAAACATATCAGCCGGTGTGAACTGATCACGTACCGTCATGGATGCTGGCCGAGAATGTTCTGTCCGCCTGCATCTGCCCAGGATCACAGCTGCAGAGTTCACACTTGGGAGCTAAGGCCCTTGGGGCAGAAGTTTGAGGTTCAAATATTTTCTTTGCAATTCTCTTCAAAACGTTACTTTAATCTGTTTGCACTCACGTGAAGTGTCGGTGGCGGGGCTGTCTGTGTACAGTGTTTGCCTTGCTTGTGCCCCGCCCCCCCCAAAAGGCTCCGCCCGCCCCGGCTGGGTAGCTCAGTTGGCTGGAGCATCATCCTGATGTGCCAGGGTTGCGGGTTCGATTCCCTGGTCCGGGCACATGCAGGAAGCCACCCAATGAATGCATGGATGGGCGGAGCAACAGACCGATGTTTCTTCATCTCTTTCTCATCCTCTCTCGTTCTAAAAATCAATAAATAAGAAAATTTTTAAGTTGTTTAAAAACAGAAAAAGCCCAGTCCCCTCCCACACCTGAACTCAGAGGTCATTCTGAAAGTGTGCCCTCCCACCTGGCAAATGGAGTGGAAGTCTCAACCATAACACGCTTCTACTAATGTGAAGTGGCCACTTAGTGGCCAGTACCAACTGGCCCTGGTACTCAGCTGCTGCTGGACACAGCGGGTCAGCGGGAGGAAACTATGCCGAACTAGTATAATGTGCTTTCTTCTCTACGTTTCCTGGGGTTCGGCACATTTTTCAATAACTGTTCCACTTGGTTAAATGAGAAAGGAACATGTATGCCATTTCGAAATACATTTCATTTCTAAATATTTAGTGACATGAAAGCCAGCTGCTTCTGTTACGACAGGCTGAGCCTCGGAAGCAGGGGCGAGAAGCCGTGTGACTTCGGCTCAGACAAGGGAGCTGCACGGCACTGGCCCGGAGACTGTTTCGGGCCCAAACCGCCTCTGCGTGGTTCCCGTGTCCGATGCCGTGAGGTCCAGAGAGCAGAACCCGCGGGACCGACAGAGAGCGCGGATCCTGCACCAGACCCACCTGTGCCACAGGGGTCCCGGCCAGGGGACAGAAACCTCGCCAGATATCCTGAGAGAAAGAATTTTTGTCTTAATTTGTTGATTTTAGAGAAAGAAGAAGGGAGAGGGAGAAGGAGAGAGAGAGATTTGTTGTTCCACTTATTGATGCATTCGTTGGTTGATTCTTGTCTGTGCCCTGACCGGGGATCAAACCCGCAACCTTGGTGTACAGAGATGATGCTGTAACTAACTGAGCTATCCAGCCGGGGCCGAACAGAGAGCATTTTTAAGAACAGTTTTACTGAGGGCGAATGTGTACGCCCTGACTGCACATCTCAAATGTGTAATTTGATAGGGTGACGAATTTATACGCCACCACCCCTGCTGTGCTCAGAATGTCCCTGCGCCCCCACATTCATACGCTGAAATCCCAGCCCACAAAGGGGGTGGGATTAGGAGGCAGGGCTTTTGTGGGGTGGGGGGTGATTAGGTCATAAGGCTAGAGCCCTAATGAATGGGATTAATGCTGTTTTATTTTTTATTTTGTTAAGATTTTATTTACTTATTTTTAGAAAGGGGAGGGAGAAAGAGAGAGAGAAACATCAATGTGTGGTTGCTGGGGGCTGTGGCCTGTAACCCAGGCATGTGGCCTGTCTGGGAATTGAACCTGCGATGCTTTGTTTCGCAGCCCGCGCTCAATCCACTGAGCTACACCAGCCAGGGTGGGATTAATGCTGTTTTAACGGAGACCCCAGAAAGCAGGCTTGCTCTCTCCCTGCCACGGGAGGGTGGGTACAGGCAGAAGGTGGCCCTCTGCAACCAGAAAGGGCTTCTTCCCCAGGACCGCACCGCACCGGCCACCTGCCTCGGACTTCCAGCCTCCAGAGCCGTGGGGTCTCACTTCCTGTTGTTTAGCAGCGGCACAGCTGGTAGCACTTCGGGACAAAAACTGGACCAGCTCAGACACCACAGACTCGGGGAGAGTGGATTCAGGATGACCTGTCCCCGGGATGTCCTGTGCCAGGTGCAGGAGAAGGAAACATACGTTTTCCCTTCACGGTATGTATCTCTCAACGAGCGGAGGTTTGGAGACTGTGCTCTTCCCGCTGTGGTTGAGAAATCTCTGCCTAAATCAAAAATTTACAAAGATTGTTATTTTATGTTTTCTTTTGGAAGTGTTACAGTTTTATGTTTGAGTTAAATCTGTTATTTACAGCTTTAGGTTTATTTATGTTGAGTTAATTTTTCTGAGAGATTTGGAGTGAAGTTTATGTTTTATCATATGGACGTCACATTTTTTCCAGCACCATTTACTGACAAAGACTCTCCACGGAATCCATTTGCAACTTTATCAAAATCAGTTTCCCACATTTGTGTGGGTCTATTTCTAGTATTCTGTTGTGGGAATAGTCCATAATGTGTGCGATAGTACAAGATTTAGCAACCTTTTGTGTTATGCATCCACAAACTTTCTTTTACACACCTTTTGTGTGTCTGGAAGGGCAGCTGGTGAGGTAGAGTGTGCCTTTAAAACTCTGCTGTGTCCAGATCGCTCTCTGTAATGGTTGCACTTACACTCCCATCAACAATGTGTGAGATTTGAGAGTGCATGGTTCCCCCTGTTCTTGTCCATGTTCTTAAGCTTTTTTTTTCAACATTTGCCACCTTTATAGGCCAAAGCAGGGGTGGGGGGAAGGATGATATGGCATGGCACCCCTTTTATGTAGATGAGGTTGAACACATTGTCATAGGTTTAGAAGCCACTTAAACTTTCTTTTGTGTATCATTTACTATTTGCGTTCTTACTACATTTTTCTATTGACCTGTAAGTCTTCTTTGTGTTGGTTTGCAAATATCCTTGGCCAGTTTGCTGTTTAGCTGGTGGTTGGTTTTTGGCCCAGGAGAAATGTTTCATTCTTATGTGGTTCCGTTGATCAGTTTTCACCCCTACACATAAACATTCCCAGTATAAAAATGCTGATACAAAATTACTTTTGAGAGGTAAGTGTGAACCCAGTAAAAATACCAACGCTACTTTGAAAAGGAGAAACTAGACACATTCATTACTTTCAATTTGGGGGTCATAACTGGACAGTCTTGGAACTGAGCCAGCTAGGGTGGAGCGAGGAAAGGTGAAGGAAAGCATACAGGAATTCCAGGTTGGCAAGGCTGGATGGGGTGACATGTAGGTGCCCGGCCAAGTGCAAATCACCGGGCACCCCTGGCTTCTGAAAACTGCCCACAAGGACATGGTCTGCGCACGTCTGGCCACCTGTCCAGGCTGGTGGTTCATTGGCTGGTTTTCTGCGCCCGCATAAGTCTTTGGGGGCACACCTGACTCGGCTGGTCCGGTGAGCTCAGAGGTGTGGAGAGAAGACCTGCTCTCATCTCCTGAAAGGCAGAAACCGAAAACCTGGGGAGAAAAAAACAAAACAAAACAAAACAAAAAACACTGTTAGGGTCTGGTGTCCAGTAACGCTCAGTATCAATTATGGAGTAAGAACGAGTCCCCGGTCCGCTGCCGTCCTTCGGGGAGTTGCATGGTTTCCGTCCGACAGTCCACACCCGCCTGCAGGTTAGTCCTCCCGGGAGCCCAGGAACCGTCCGTGCGCCCCCGGGAAGCCTGTGCCCGTGTCCCGGGGAGTTTACTCGGACCGTGTCGGCCGCCGGGGAATTGCGTGGGGAGTCGGCCCCGCATCCCTGCAGCCTCCTGAAAAAAACATTTACAAATTCCCCTTTCTGCGGCCAGGGTCGCGCCATGCCGGGGGTGAACTCTGAGGTGGACGCCCGGGTCCAGGCTGCACGCCCTCCGCGGGCTCGGAACCTCGCAAGAGACGAGCTCCGGGGCGAGCGAGATGAGGCAGGGCAGGAGTGGAGCGGGAAGGCCGGCGGTGCGCCCCAGCCAGCCCCCGTCGGTCCCGCTGACCTCGGCGCCGGTTTTCCGGCGCCACCTGGTGGCCACTTTTATATTGTCTCCTTCCTCTGGAGCTCCGGGGCAATCGGTGAGGGAAGAGAATTGATCACAGTGCCCCAGGCAGAGTTCCAGGAGGTCGGCAGCGCTTTCACGCTCACCGCGGTAGAGCCCAGGAAACCGCGCTTCATCTGTTCTCTGGAGATTGTAGCTGCAGGTTTGCAGGGACGGAGACGGTGGAGGTGGTGAGGCCATTGCTAGCCCTTCTGGCTGCGGTGTGGGGTGCGCCAGGGCAGGTTGACCAGCAAACGGATGGTGCCTCTCTGCTTGCGGGGAGCCCACTGAGGCCCCACGGGAAAGGGGAGAAGTCAGTGCTTCCCAACCAGACGCCCGAGGTGCCCGGATGTGGATCCGGAGGTGGGAGACCGCCCTGGGCTGGTGAGACGGGCTGGGCCCTGAAAAGGTGCGGACCCGCTCCTTAGATTTCTCTCAAAATTCTCGGGGCTCTCCCCGGGCGGTCCGGGATGTGAGTGGGAGCAACGGGTGGTAGAGAGGTCTAGGTCCCTGCTAAGGTGCTTTCTTCGGATTTCATTTCCTCGGCCCGTGGAACACGGTAGTAGCTAAGGGATGGAACTTGGCCACAGTGCCCAGGGGAGAGTTCCAGGAGGCCGGCAGTGTCTTTCAGGCTCACCCCGGTAGAGCCCAGGGAACCGCGCTCCATCTGTTCTCTGGAGATTGTAGCTGCAGGCTTGTAGGGCTGGGGCTGGTGAAGGTAGTGGGGCTGTTGCTAGCACTTCTGGCTGAGGTGTGGGGGTGCGCGAGGACCGGTTGACCAGCAAACAGATGGTGCCTCTCCGCTCGAGGGATCCCACTGAGGGTCCCTGGGAAACGGGAGAAGTCAGTGCTTCCCAATGAAACACCCGAGGTGCCTGGATCTGGATCCGGAGGTGGGAGATGGTTCCACACTGGTGAGAGATGGGCTGGGCCCCGGAAAGGTGGGAACCATGCCGTAGATTTTTCTCAGGATTTTCAGGGCTCTCCCCAGACTGCCTGGTTTGTGAGTGGGAGCAACGGGTGGTAGAGAGGTCTAGGTCCCTGCTAAGGTGCCTTCTTTGGATTTCACTTCCTTGGTCCATGGAACAACATGGTAGTAGGTAAGGGGTGGATTTGGCTGCAGTGCCCAGGGCTGAGTTCCAGGAGGCCGGCAGCACTCAGGCTCACACTGGTAGCGCCCAGGGGTCTGAGCTTCATCTGTTTTTCAGAGGAATTGTAGCTGCAGGTTTGTTGTAGGGATGGGGGGTGGTGGAGGTAGTGGGGCCCCTGCCAACACTTCTGGCTGAGGTGTGGGGGTGCATCAGGACTGGTTGCCCAGTGAACGGATGGTGCTTCTCTGCTCGAGGGACCCCACTGAGGGTCCCCGGGGAACGGGAGAAGACAGTGCTTCCCACCAAGATGCCTGAGGTGCCTGGATCCGGAGGTGGGAGACTGCCCTGGGCGGGTGAGATGGGCAGGGCCCCACTCCCTGGATTTCTCAGAATTTTTGGGGCTCTCCCCAGACCGTCCAGTTTGTGAGTGGGAGCAACGGGTGGTAGAAAGGTCTAGGTCGTGCTAAGGTGCTTTCTTTGGATTTCACATCCTCGGGCCAATGGAACACGGTAGTAGGTAAGGGATGGAGTTTGGTCCCAGTGCCCAGGGGAGAGTTCCAGGAGGCCGGCAGCACTTTCAGGTTCACCCCCCAGTAGTGCCCAGGGGCCTGTGCTTCATTTGTTCTCTGGAGGAATTGTAGGTTCGGGGGTGCGGTGTGCTATAACTTCTAGCTAAGGTGTTGGGGCCGGTCGACTAGCAAGCAGCATGTGTGCCCTTCCATCACGGGGGGCCACTGGGGCTCTGTGGAAATGGGGAGAGCGTGTTTCCCACAGAGATACTGGAGGCATCCGCTCTGGAGGTGAGAACCGGCCCGGGGCAGGCGAGAGGGGCTCGGCTGCAGACACACAGCGGGAGCCACTGACCAGCCTGAGCTTTGGGCTGTGGTGACCCCACCTCACAGGTCTTCCTGTTTTGTGTAGGGGGTTCTTCTCCGAGGTTAAGCTATACTTCACCTGAAAAGGGCTGCGAGACGGATGCAGCCCTTCCCGGCTGCTCTCTGCACGTGGCCCTCACGCACTCCTCGGACGCACCCTAACCGCGCAGAGGAGGAGCAGACACAGCGCCCGCTCTGCCCCCGGCTGGGCCCGTGTTCCTGCCCAACGTGGCGCTCTGCTTGTGGGGCCTGCGCTCCTCATCGGTCAGGTCAGAGACGTGCTCCGAGGTTGAGTGCATCGATTCAGCGGCCGTGGGTGCACCCTTGCCATCCCGAGAGGTGGACCCATCCACGGGACATTTGTGTTGGTTGTCTCAGGCGCCACGGGGTGGATACTTTTCCATGGTTCCCTCCTTCGGGAGCACAGGATTTGGCTGCGGTGAGCCAGGCAGAGCTCCAGGAGGCCCTTTGCACTCGCAGGATCGTCCAGTTCATGTGGCTTCGGGACGTCAGAAGGTGGGCCCCCACCAGAAGTGCCCCCTCATTGGGCCCCAGCTCACTGTAGAGGTGGGGGGGCTGGCACAGGCCGTGCTGGGGGAGCTCTGAGGTGGGTCGGAAGCTCACAAGTGTTCCTTCATCAGGGGCACCTCCGTGGGAATTTGTTTCCATCTGGAGACTTGAAGGGACCATTCTCCCTGCTGTGACTACATCCATTGGGTCGACCAGATGGCCCTACGGGCTCTGAGGCTAAGGGAAGGGGATGGTAGAGAGGATCAGTGACCAGGCCATGGTTCCAGGATGGCCGCATGAACTGTAATTCGGCCCCGCCAACAGGCAAGGTATTTTTTTCTGTCAGAAGCCAGTGGTTTGTATCACCAGATTAGTGGTCACCCCATGGTGGGTGGTTGAGGAAGTCTGCTCCGTGAACAGACCTCTGGGTTTGACCATGAGCAGATGCATGGCTCTACCCCAGCTACAGACACGCCAGAGTGACTCTGTTGGAGAGCAGCTCTGTGTCTTTGTCTTGCTTTTTCAGGCTCCTGTGCCTGAAGTGGGGCGAATGCAGTTCTGCCCAGGGCTGCTGTGTGGGAATCAGTGGAAGACTGCTGGCCTAGCTCTTCTGTGCTGTTGAGTCTGCCCTTGGCAGCTCTATGCTGTGCCCTGCCCAGGGCTGCTGCATGGGAAGCAGCAGAGGAGACCCTGCTGACTGGGCCCTCAATACCTCCTCACTGTGCTGTGCCCTGCCCAGGGCTGCTGCATGGGAAGCAGCAGAGGGGACCCTGCTGACTGGGCCCTCAATACTGCCTCACTGTGCTGTGCCCTGCCCAGGGCTGCTGCATGGGAAGCAGCAGAGTGGACCCTGCTAACTGGGCCCTCCTGTGCTGTAGACTCTGCCCTTGATACCCGCTTGCTGTGCCCTGCCCAGGGCTGCTGCATGGGAAGCAGCAGAGGGGACCCTGCTGACTGGGCCCTCAATACCTCCTCACTGTGCTGTGCCCTGCCCAGGGCCGCTGCATGGGAAGCAGCAGAGTGGACCCTGCTGACTGGGCCCTCCTGTGCTGTAGACTCTGCCCTTGATACCTCCTTGCTGTGCCCTGTGCAGGGCTGCTGCATGGGAAACAGTGGGAGGCACCCCACTGACCTAGCCCTTCTGTGCTGTGCAAGACAATGATGGGTGTTGCAGTGTAAGAGCAGAGTACTTCAAACTAAGGATGGTGCACCTGGAGAGTGTCAGCTAGAGATGGTCCTATGTGTTCCGCCTTGGTGGAGAAAGATGCACTGGCATCTTATTCCTCTCTTCCTTGCAAGATGTTGACTGCCTGGCTCTGCCTCCTTGGTCTGGATGTTTGGGACTGGGGTTTGTGGCCCCCCCCTTTGTCTGGTGGTGTGTGAAGAGCAGTGTCCTGTGTCCCAGTGTGTGCTGCTCCTCTAAGTCATGACTGTGCCTGCCACCTCTGTCCAGTGCTGCTCTGCCCACATGGGCTCTTCCTGACCAGGGTGGAGTTTGGTGTCAAGCCTGTGATGCTTGCTCTTCCATTGCCTGTCTGGGGTGGGAGCCTCTTGGGAAAGAGCTCCATTGCCTGCCAGGCCCTCCGGGATGCCAGTAGACACTGGGTCATCACCCAGGGCCCTAAGGCTGAGTGTGGGGGGTGTCCTTCCCTTTCTGTTTGACTGCCTCAGGCTACTGCTGCAGTTTCTGGAAAAGTGGGTAGGCCCATGTTCCCACCCCAGAGATGATGGGTTGGGTGTTGTGCCAACTGTGCTCTGCTTGCCAGTTGGCTAAGCCAGCCCTAGGGGGTCCACCAGGTCCTGGCCCACAAGTGTTTTGCATGTTACATGCAACTCAAGTCCCCCTTGGGCTTAGTTGAGAACACAAGTTAGGAAAAAAGTGCTTGTGGGGGGGATGCATGCAGATCAGGTTAGGGTCCCAGTGCTCCTCCCACAGATGCTGTGAGGCTGCCTCTGATCCCTCCATCTGAAGCTCTGGCTTCTGTGTGGGCCAGCCTGGGAAGTGATGGCCCCTGGTGACAGGACATCAAACAACACCCAGTTGGCTTTCCAGTCACTGGTGTGGAAATGGGGTGAGTAGGGTCCATGATGCTTTTGTCCGTAGCTGGGTTTGGGCCATGGGTGAGGCCAAGCCTGTGCTTTTTGCCTCAGGCCACTTGGTGCTCTTTGTGTCCAGGGGCTCAACCTCCAAAGCCCTGCTGTGCAGGCAGCTCCCTTTCCTGCACCATCCTCAGTGCACAGGTTGGTATGGGGGAGCATTTCTGAGACTGATGGGGGTTGTGAGTTAAAACACATGTGGCTTGTGGCTGGTGTGGGAGGTGCTAAGGCCCCTGTGTTCCAGGCAGGTGTCAGGATGGAGTGGCCTGCACGCTGGTGAGAGTGGATCCCATCTTGTCTTCTGGAGCTGTGGAGAAGACCCTTCCTGGAGCCCTCCTGACTGCCTCACCTTAGCTGCCTTGCTTTTCATCCCTACCGACCTCATGGATTGAAATCGGCCTCAGTGTGTGGCAGTCCTGGGGTGATGAAGTGGCCCAGGAGACAAGCCAGTGGCTGATCAGCACAGGATGTTGGTGTGTATGGGGTGATCTGGGTTGGAACACAAGGGTGGTGGGTGTGTCACCAAACAAGCAGGTGTCCTGGGGTCCCCTGTGTTCAGCTTTGAGGGCTGGGGCTTGCTTTAGACACACCCCCACCTTCTTTGGGAACCCAAGTCCCACTTCTTCCCCTCTATGGGGAAAGCACTGCTTCTAGCCTGCTGCTGTGACTTGGATGTAGGGGGCCTGCTCCCCTGTGACATGTGTACCCCAAAGTGGTTTTTATAAGAATGGAAACTGGACAGTCTCTGTTTGTGGTGGTGGCTGTCAGTCAGCTTGGCTGCTTGTCATCACATGGTGGCTCTCTCCATCTGTAGCTTTCCCTTTGGGGAAGAACACCTGTCAAGTTAGATCAGGGCTAGACAGCCACTGTGGGGAGGGGGAGTATATGTTAAGGCAGTTGAAGGGGGGAGGTTGAAAGGGGTTCGCCTTGCTTTAGTGCCAAAGTGGACAGCAGTAGCAAGGTCTCTCTTAGCCTTATCTACCAGATGTGGGGCCTCTCTGTGCAGGTCTCCAGGAGCAGGCTCTACCTCCTTTGCCAGACAAAGAGGTTGCAGCCTGAAAGGAAGCAGAGAGACAGCACCAGAGGGGAAAGATCTCTGTCCAACACAGTGTGTAGGTGGATTGCAATTTGCTCTGCATGTGAACACAGCTCACCAACAGAACCTTTTTTTGGGGGGGGTCCTCTACACTTGGAAGTGGAATAGAAGTTATGGCACAATCCAGCTGAAGGACAGCATCGGTGGTGTGGGGTGAGCACAAGAAAGCTACTTGGAGACTAGTAAGTATTAGGTTTGGAGGGCTGGCCCCTCCCTGTCCATGGGAGTGGGGCACTGCCTCAGCAACACTGTGGGGAGTTGAGGGGTGGCAGCAGGAGACCGAGACCTCAATAGAAAATGACTCAGATATATAGAGGGTGGCAGGGACAGCTGCCCTCGGTCACCGTGTTAAAGTCCTCTCAGCTACAGGTGACCATGTTGGAATGTCTTGAATACCACATGCCCCATAGCTCAGCTCCTTTGTTGCATTAGCAAAAGGGCTTGAGGTGACTTGGCGTTTTTGCTGAGCACCTGGGTGCTGTGGCAGTCAGCCTGGGTTTTTGGGAAGAGGCGGTTCTGTGATCTGTTGAAAAGACTGCCCTGTGCACTGGCTGTGTGGTGTGATTCTCAAAACAATTCCTTAAAAATGTTCTCAAAATGTGTGTCATTAACACTGCCTTAAGTTGGGTTGTGTTGATGGGGTTTGAGACCACAGCAAAGTGAGTAATGATTTGAGAGGAGGGAAGGAGAGAGTGGAAGGTATGAGGAGACAGAGCAGTGGCCCCAGCAGGTCGACCAGATGTCCCAGGAAATGAGCACGCAGTGGGTCGACCAGATGTCCCAGTAGAGGAGCTGCCTGGATGTGAGAGCAAGGCCTGTGACCTCCAGCAGTATGCAGAGACGAAACATGCATTTTGGGGGTTAGCAGAAGATGAGCAAGGAATTGAGCCAGGACAAAGGGTGCTAGAAGAGCGTAATGAGAAGGGTCACGTGTGACTAGCAGGGTGGATGACCACACAAAAAGCGACAAAAACGCTGCTGGTGCCTTAGTGGCCTCCTGTGAGGGGGCAGAGGAGCCCAGACGTCACTCACCCTTGGTTGTCCCCTTCCCGCTTCCTCGGATGCCCCCAAACCACACCCTTTGCTTTACAAAGATCTTCCAAAAGGCCCAGTGAACCCTTCAATCCACTGCAGCGTGGCGCCCATGAGGCCAGATCATGTGCGACACACCAGCTTCACACAGAACGTGGACTGTGTCTGGTGGCGTGGCACGTGCGCGCACACACACACACACACACACACAGACCTCTGTTACGTGAGGCACTGCTGTGAGGGAACCACGAGTGTCTGCCCCAACAAGACACTCACCCAAGCACCCACCCAGTTCTCCTGGACACGGTGCTGCAGGCGAGCTGGTCCCAGGACCCACCCGAGTGTGTGCACTCAGCTTTACCCACTCAGCCTCACACCGTTAGGGCCACCCACGCAAAGCACTTCCTACGTGTCTGAGTTGTTCCTTGTACTTTCCCACCTGTGCGTTGAGCTCTTCCTGCGTTTTCAGGCGAGCAGCTGCTAAGGCCTCTTGTTTCACAGCATCGTCAGGTTCTACCGTGAATGGGAGAAAAAATTTAAGCTAGAAAGCATTTGTACAAAATGGGAATTCTTGAGTTTAGAGGAGCATTAGGAATATATAAAAGCACAGATAGCAGATGGTGCAAAAACATGTTTCTACATGAAGAAGGCTACCCTTCCGCATAGGGTTTGGCTGCTTACAGGGCAGACTGTACACGCCACAGTTCTCTCACCAGAAACCTCTCCCTCGGCAACTCCAACTCAGGAAGTCTGGGGAAGGCTCCCTGACGTTTCTCATGGAAGAGGAGGACTCCCCTTCCAAACGATAACATAACGTTCCTCCACCCCGCCTCCCCGTATTTAGTCATCAATTGCTTTCAGCATTAAAGGTAAGTTCTACGGTGTGGAGATGTTCATGTTTTGCTGGACATTTCATTTTCCCTTTGACATTTCCCAGTCAGGGCCGGTCCCCAGTAGGGGGTGTGTGAGAGGCAACCACACACTGACCTTTCTCTCTCTCCCCCCTTCTCTCTAAAAATAAAATCTTAAAAAACAAAACAAAAAGAACCCACACACACTTCCATTTTATAGCAATGTGAGTTTCAGTGCCATTTCTGTTGGCCCATTCTCAGAATAAAATCTTTATAGGAATGTGAGTTTCAGTGCCATTTCTGTTGGCCCATTCTCAAAATAAAATCTATCACGGGTAGGTTTTTAATCGTGTTCTCACAAAATAGGCCAGCACGACGCACCACCTTTCACTGCGGTTACGTTCTGTAGTGCTTCCTGAAAACAAGCCTCTCGGACGCGCCATCCCATCACCACCACCTGGCGCTTCGTGAAATCCTGCATCTTACGCAAGATTTACGATTGCATTCTGTGCTTTGTTGGTGCACGTGCTCGTAGTTAACAATCAAGAAGACCGAGAGTGGCAGAGATGAGCGACATCTGCATTTAATGATGCCCCCCATTCTCAAAGCACTTAACATGTCTTTGGGATGTCCTCAGAAACTGGAGCTTCAAACTCCAGTTTCTAAGTGCTGACAAGGCTACCGTTTCTGAGAGAATGACTTTAAAATAACCAAGTAGAATCTGAAGTCAGGCCTGATGAGTTGCGATAAATCAAAATATCATGAAGAACTGAACCTGACTTTCTCCTCCCTCATCGAGGTCTGAAAGACAACTCACAGTGCACAGGCAGACCCACGAGTGAAGTTTTCCAGGGAACCCGTCGTGGAAGGTGAAAAGCCCTCCAACAAGTACGCACCGCCAGGTAGATTTCCCCCCTCGATTAAAATCCCCGACGTGAGACGACCTGTTGTCGCACGTTCACCAAAATCGACTTCGGAAGCGCGCACACACGTTTTCTTCCCGTACTTTCTTACCCCGAACAGCAGCCCGGATTTGCAGTCACTAACCCACAGCAGCCGGCGCGGTCCAGCTGCCTCTGCCTCAAGGCTCGCGGGCGTGTGGAAAGCTGCTGAAAAATCAGGCACGACAGGATGCAGCTGAAGACCATGAACCGGTTGCAGGTGGCCAGCGGGGAGCCCACTGGAAAAAAAAAGAAAGCCGTCTGCAAGGAGCTCAAAAAAGGACGCTGCTGAGGCTCAAGAGAAGACTTCCTGCAACTCGAGAGGGCAGAGGCCCCTCGGACCTCGGGGACGGAGAGAAAAGGGTGGCCGTGGGGGGGGGGCTGGTGCAGGCGCGCGGCGTTCCAGTGTGGGCGGGCAGGGAGGGCTGGGCGACCAGGCCTGGAGACCGGCGCCGGAGGCCCAGCGGCCCCCAGACACCGCAGCCCAAGAGCTTGCTTCGCGAAAAAGTACATAAAAAGCCGGACGGCGCCGCCCGGGAAAATGCGGCTCCAGGAGGGCCAAGGCCTCCCCAGGCCCCGCGCGCCGCGGGAGAAGACGCACCGAACATGGCGGCGCCACCCCGCTTCCCCGCGGCCCGCGGCTACTCACCAGGGACGTGCAGGAACCGCAGCCCCTCCGTCTCCAGAGCCGGGCGCGCGGGCAGCTACTCCGCGTCCCGCTCCTGGCGACCACAGCTCTGCCAGGACCCTCCGCGTCAGCCTCGGGCCTTCGCCTTCGGGCCCGCCCCCACGTATACGTACTCGGGGGCGTGGCCCGGGGCCTGGCCAATCACAGCGGAGTGGGCGGGGCCCGGAGCCGGCGGAGCCCTGGGCCCATTTGGGCCCTGCAAAGCCCCGCGTCCTCCCAGGCGGCCCACCGCTGACCTCCTTGTGGACCTCGCTAGTGTTGACTTCGGCACCCAAGCAGGGCAGCCCGCTCCTGCTGCCGGTGTTACCTTTTAGTCTAAGAAAGTCCCGTCGATCCTCGTGTTTCTCCCCCCTCCAGAATCAAAACCTCTTGAGATGAATGACAGCAATGGCTCTAACACCCCATTTCACTGGCACGAAACACTCGCGGTTATTGGTGGCGGAGCCGCTGCCTGCAGAGCCCTCCACCCATTGCCACTCCTCACCTGCCACCCACCACCTCTCTCAGGCCTACCTTGTCCTATCCTATGTGCACCTTGACTCGGAGGGTTTTTTGTGGTTTTTTTTTGTGGGGGTTTTTTTGTGTGTGGGGGGGGAGGTTTTGAAGTGAACATACCTAGCAGTCTCAAAAGCTGACAGAAATTTTTAAAGAGAAAATCGTAGGCTCCCTTGATACCAAACCTAGTTTTAATACCTGACCTGATTGCTGTCTCAATCTCTCCCAGAAACGTAGTTAACTAGTCTGGAATTTTCTGGTCAGGCACCAGTAAAGCATCTGTCACAATCCCTCTCGCATCCCCACCCCAGGAAGAAGAGGCAATCTGCTCAATGAGAACTCTTGTCATTCAATCCCATCAACCATGCTCCCCCATCTAATAATCCTTTCTTCCTTTCTGTTTTCTTTTTTAATTTTAAATATGAGCCAAGCTGGCAACATATACAGGGGGAGCAAGATCTCAAATACTCCCCTTTCCTTTCTTTTTCAATAGCTCCCTTGCCCCACTTTCTTCCTCTAAAAACCTTCCTCTTTTTTGATAACTCCTCTGAGTGCCCTTCTAGTTGCTAGATAAGATGCTGCCTGATTCATGACTCACTTCATAAAGCCGATTAGATCTTCACATTAGGTTGAATTTTTTGACACCTCTTTAAAAAATGTTATTTATCAATTTGTTGTCTATTCACTCATTGAATTATCATGTGTGCCCTGACTAGGGATTGAACCCACAACCTTGGTGTATCAGGACAAAGCTCTAACCAGCTGAGCTATCTGGCTAGGGCTAACACCGGCTTCTCAATGTTTTCCTTTCACTTGTAAAAGGTGAGCCATCACTATTGCTTTGAAGTGGGCTTTCATTTATTCCAACATCTTGAAGAACCTGTGCTAAAACTGAATGCTTTCTTGGGCTTACAGTTGTAATACGTGGTCTGGGAGCAGCTTTAAATATACAGTCAAACCCTGAGTCTCAAATGCCTCCCATTTCTTTTTCTTTTTAATAAGACAGCCTCTCTCCCACCCCCAAAAATTTTATTTAATTTTAGAGCGAGGGAGAGGGAGAGAGTAAGAAAAACATCAATGTTTCTGTTCTTTCATACACCCAACTGGGGACCTGGCCTGCAAGTCAGACATGTGTCCTGACTGGGAATCAAACCTGTGACCTTTGCCTTTGTTTGCAGGCCAGTGCTCAATCCACTGAGCCACAGCCACTAGGGCTCCCCCTTTTTCTTTTGAGATTTTATTTATATTTATTTATTTATTTTAGAAGGGAAGGAAAAAAGAGAAAGAAACACCAATGTGTGGTTGCCTCTCACACACCCCTAGTACTGACTTTGCCAGCAACCCAGTCATGTGCCCTGACTGGGAATCGAACCAGAGACCCTTTGGTTCGAAGGCTGGTGCTCGATCTACTGAGCCACACCAGTCAGGGGTATAAACACTTTTTTAAAAAAGATTTTATTTACTTTCCGAGAGGGAGGGAGGGAGGGAGGGAGGGACAGAAACATCAATGTGTGGTTGCCTCTCATGTGTCCCCTACCGGGGACCTGGCCTGCAACCTAAGCATGCGCCCTGACAGGGAATTGAACGACTGACCTTTTGGCCTACAGGACAATGCCCAGCCCACTGAGGCACACCAGTCAGGGCAACTGTCTCTCATTTTGAACAATCCCATTCCCCATGAGGTCATTCACAGAAAAAAAAAATGTGTGTGATCAGTCGTATGTCTCGGGTGACAAAGGAGAGGATGCACAAGTATGAATAATTTGTTTTTTTAAATAAATTGCTTTGCTCAAACAGCCTTTCAGAACAAGTTCAGTTTAAGAGCCAAGGTTCCACTGTGTGGTGAACTGCAGTACTGTGCATCTGTGCATGTGCACACAGTATGACGGGCTCATTCCACTCAGATTTCACAGATTCTGAGTTACTAGAATGCATGAATGATGGTCTCCCTTTCAATCCCTCACATATTGTTCTGCGGTCCCATTCCTTCCAAGCCTTGTCCCTTTAATCAGGGCGTGTTCTCCCCTAGCTTGCCAAGAACCAGGGTTATTTCAGCAAACAATTGCTCAGTACAGCTGCTCAGGTGTTGTTTGCTGAAACAGGTCGAAGGTAGTATCCAGAATTCCATCCCTGACTGACCATGGTAAGACTGATTTGCCCTGGCTCGTGTGGCTCTGTGGATTGAGCACCCTGCCTGTGAACCAAAGGGTTGCCAGTTCCATTCCGAGTCAGGGCACATGCTTCTGTGGGGAGCAGGAGTGCCCGACCGGCTCCTCAGTGTCTGTGGCTGTCGGTCCCCGGCCCGGCCCTCCTCACTAGCTGATCAGCTTCCTCCGCGAGTAGGTTCTGCTGATGGGGCGTCGCCTGGAAAAGGCTTGGCTGAAGGGTGAGTCCTCGGTCGTCAGGGGAAACACGTCCGTGTCCTCGTCTAGAAAAAGGCGGACGCATAGGTGGGGACTGAGGACACAGCCAAGGACAACGGGCTGGGACTGTAGGCGGTCCACGCGAAGGCCACGCTCTCCCCTGCAGGGCCGCTTTCCATGCTGGAAGCAAAGCACCTGCCACACTTCAGTCTGACCACCTGTCCGTCTGACAAAGGTCTGTGGGTCTTTATGCCACCTTGCCCGCCTTCCATCATGGTCTCGAGGGGCGAGACCCACTGAAGGTCCCCACCTCCTGCGCGACCCTTGAGGTCTAGAAGGGCCCCCTCCAACCCTCGCGGCTCACAGGCTCAGCCCAGCTCTCTTCCAGGCGGGGCGGCGGAAGGGGGGCCTGCAGCCTTCCAGAAGGGCTGACGGCAACAGGCGGTCCTTTGTCAGACGGAACGGACAGGACACGTGGAGGAAACGGCCAGCTGGGACACCGTCCTCAGAGTCCAGGGACTCCGCCACATGCCCCTCTCTGTCACCGTCTCCGAGAAGCTCAAGTACTCGGTGGGGCTCTGGGGGGTTTCTGTTTCTGTGCAAACGCACAGAAGCTCTAGCGTGGCATCTCCCTGGGGAGGGCAGTGCACGTCGCTGCAGGGACGGCCCCCGGCCCCCTGCCCCCTCATCAAACAGTCCCCAGGATCCCTCCCAAATTCAACCGCCCGGCAGCCCTAAGCTAACTCCGGGGAGTCCCCCAAAGGGTGCAGGGCTGGCCTTGGTGAGAGCCCCAGGACCTCGCGCGAGTTACCTGCGGCGTCTCTGCGCTGCGCGGGGCCCGTCTTCCCTGGAAACAGCAGAGGGGACTGGGTCAGCGCCTGGAGCCCGGTGGCGGACAGGCAGCTGCGCGGGGCGCAGCCGGGCGGTGGCGGGGAACCTGCAGAACGGCATGCAGTCAGCACTGCCCCTCGGGGCCGCACAGGGAGCCCCAGCCTCCTCGAGAAGCAGCCCCTCCCAGCCCCCAGCCTGGCTCGGTCAGCAGACTCACGGGAAACTGGCGCCTCGTCGACCCCCTCGGTGGGGAGCTGCTGCACGCCCATCCCCGGGGACCTCTCCTCGCTCTGACCAACTTCCGAGTCTCCTCTCAGCCTGTCACGGACCCTCCTGGCTTCCCACTCGGCCTCCTCCTCGGCAGAAAGCAGTCTCTTCCTGGGACCCAACCCGAACTGTCCCCAGGAGAAGGGTTCCTCGGCCTTAGACTCGCTGTCCCCGGAAGGTGATCGGTCTGGCAGCTGATACACCCCCTCGAGCTCAAAGTCCCCCAGGAGGGGAGACCTGCCGGTGCCGAGCCGGAGGCCAGGCTCCTTGTCCTCCGGCGGGAGCAGCGGCCCGCCCGCAGGAAGGTCTGTGCCAGCGTCGCCCCTCCCCGCGGCGGTGCCCGGGCCGCAGAGCGTCGCCCGCTTCCTGCGGGGCCAGTCCTTGATCCCGTCGGGGGTCGTCTTCCCGCTGTGCTTGGGAGATGGTGTCCACGGGACCCCGGCGTCCGTCTGGAACGGGCTGGGGGTGCTGGGGGCGCAGGACTGGCAGATGTAGGTTTGCCCCCCACTCCTGCCGGGGCTGCTGTGCGAGGGGCGGAGGCAGGGGGTTGACGTGTAGGTGGTCTCCAGTTTGCAGGAGGGCTTGCTGCCCCTGGGCGTGCCGAGACCGGGCGGCACGCTCTGCGCCCGCCTCGGCGGCTCGGCTTCAGACCGAGGGCTGGCGTCTCTCTTCTTGATTCGGACCTTGGGCACCCCGGAAGCCTGCATCTCCAGTTCCACCTCGTAGGTCTGCACCTTGGCGGGCACGCCTGAGCGCCAGGTGGGAGTGGCTGCCCCGCGCAGCCCTCTGTGGTCAGAGCAGTGCAGGGCGCAGGATGGCGTCAGGGGGGAGCCGGGCCCGGAGCGAGGAGGGGACGGCAGGGGATCCCCGAGGGGAGACGGAGAGGGCCTCTCATCGGTAGCGCCCGTCCTCAGCCCCTCAGGGCCGCTGCTTGGGTCCCCGGCGCCACGGCACTCGGCTTCTTCCAGGAGAGTGAGGCGCCCCGTGTCCCCCGCGCCGAGTGAAGGGGAGGAGCGGCACCAGTCACTGCTGCAGCCAGGCCCAGGGTCAGGGAGCCTTTGGGGTGGCCCAGGGGAGGCGGGGTCCGCGTCCTTCGGGTGCTTCCTGGTGTCGGTGAAGGCAGCCGAGGTGCTGGGCTCGCCCTCCGGGAAGCTGCCCTCCGCATCAGAGGGCCCACTGTCCCTCGTCCCGATGTGAGCGGGGGGCCGGCCGGGCGTGACGTCCGGTTCAGCGCTCTGCCAGGTTCTGGGGGCAGCCGAAGGGGTGGGGTGCGAGAGAGACGGGGCCCCGCTGCCCGGATCCCAGAGTGCTCCCCAGTCCGGCTGTGCAGGGGGAGGGGACTCTGCCGCAGGGGTCCCGAGTGGGCTCCGGGCAGCCTCACAGACGGGAGAGGGCAGAGGCTCCTTTGGAGAACCAGGTGGGGAAGGCGTTATGGGTGTGTCCCTGGGTCTCTCTGGGGTTCTGACAGCTTTGACCTTCCGTTTCTGTGCTGGCTCCTCCCCCTGAGTGGCTCTGGGGATGCAGGGATGTTGGCGATTCTGGTTGGGAGGTGTGCCCACGAGGGCTGTGTCCCTTCGCATCCCGGTCCTTGCCTCTCCAGGAGGCAACTGGACAGAGCCCCTGCCGAAAGTCGGACTCCCGGACCTGCACTGGCCAGTGGACAGCACCTCGGTGGTGGCCAGCGCAGAGGGGCTTTCCGGACTGGAGTTCACGGCAGGTGACCAGGCAGGATCCTGCAAAAACCCAAGGGGCTGGATGTGTGGCCTTCCAGGAGTTCTGGGTATCTTTCCGAGTGGAGAGGCACCTCGTTCCAGCAGGGGGCGCCCTTTCCGCATGGGGAGTTTAGGTGGAGAAGGTAGATGGCAGCCGTGTGTGGAGGAATCCTGAAAGGACCGGAAGAGCGCCTGTCGGGCAGGGGTCCAGGCCGCAGGGGGCTTCAGCCGCCCCTCAGGGCTGCGCAGCGGGGTCTGCGGGGTCCCAGGAAGCCTTCTGGCTGCAGCTGCAGGAGAGCTCGGAGACTTCCGGGCACTCTTCCTGGGGGTCTGGGAAGAAAAGCACTCATGTCAGTGCTTGAGCATCGAGACCCGTGTCACCCCCCCACCCCTGCCCCCCGCCAGACGGCTTCGGCGACCTTGAACACGGGGAGAAAGGCACACGGGAGACTCGCAGCCGGCCACAGGAGCGCGCTGAGTGCGGACACGCTTCTACGCCCACAGCGGGGCTCAGTTTTGTTCACTTGGCCACTCTCCAGCACCAGCCCTGGATCCAGCCACAGCCTGTTTCCCTCAGATAACCAATTTGCTGACGCAGCTGTGCTGCTCCCCGCCTCTCCCCGTCACCGCACACGCCCAGGTTTCCTTCCCCTCGGCACGACCGCCTCTGATCTTTGTCTGAAGCAGCCCCTGGGTGCCACGTCACCTGCTGTTCTCCCGCACTCTATGGGCGAGGACTGTGTGTGTGTGGGGGGGGGGAGTGTGTGGAGTGTGGGAGAGACAGGGTCAGCGCACCACAGGCGGCACCGCTGAAAGCACGTTCTCCCAACCAGAGAGGCCTTTGGGGCCCAACCTCGAGCTGGTTAAGAGACCCCCCCTATTCTACCTCTAAAACCTGAGACCCCGTACCCCACCCCTTCTCTCCTTTGTCATTCACCTGTACGGTAAAGATTCAGGAGCAAATACAATACACAGATGATGTACTGTACGGCTGTACACCTGAAATCTAATTCTATTACCCAGTGCCGCCCCAATAAATTCAATAATAAAAAAGCTTCAGGTGCAGCCACGTGAGGACTGGGAGACGCTGCAGGTAAGCGCCCCGCCCGGCAGGGGTCCCAGGGAGGCGAGGCGTGTCCCCGCAGCTCTCCCCCCGACGTCACTCAGTCCCAGCCCCCTGCCCCACCACCCTGACCCCTTCCCCTCATCTCTTCTGTCGCATCTGCCCGGCCTCCCACTCCTCTCGGTGATGTCTGCAGTCTCTACATGATTGCTCTCTCCCTCCCTCCAACCTCAGGCTGAGATTATGGACCTCCTTTTGGGATCTCCGCCTCCTTCTCCTCTTTTTTGAATGTCTTTATACCCGGCTTCTCACGTCTCTTCTCCCCAGTCTCCGTCTCTCTGTCTGCTTTCTCAAACCCCTAGGCCTAGCTGGTTGGCAGGGCCCCTTTCTCCAGAGCCGCCACCGAAGCACCGCGGAAACGCCCTACCTGAGAGTCTGCGGGCAGCTCAGCAGCCGGCATCTTTCCTGGAGGCCTCTGGGTCCGAGCCACGCCCTTCTCGGAGGGGCTGAACCTCTGGGACACTGCCCCGAAAAGAAGCTTCTTTGGAGACTGAACACTTGGGATGGTAGAATGTTGTCTTTGGTCTGCAAGTCAAAAACATGGGCAATATTTGAATCTTTCTAAGCTTCTGCCCTCTCAACATGAACACGAACAGGAGCCGGTCCGTACACAAGCAGGAGACAGTCATCGTGGAGACGGACTGGCGGGACACCCCACCCAGGGGTGTCAGCAACCGCTGCAGCCCCGCTGCTGTGCTGCGTTCACCGACTGCAGCTGACTCCATCTCCTGTGTCGGGAAGTGTAGGCGGCCAGAGCAAAGTTGCTCTGTAACATAGAAGCGCACTGCTGATAACGAGTGAAGGGCAGACAGATATCACCTCCCACCCGGGGCACTGTGTGTAGGGTTCGCCCACAGGCTGGCAACCGCAGGTGAACTCCCCTCCGATGAATGTGTAACCAGGACAGGGCAGACAACCTGCCACCAGAACCCAAAGGGATGGTCCTGATGGTCCTGATCCTGAAGACCCTGGACCGTTCAGCCGGCCATCACCCTGAACCTCAAATGTGTGTGTGGCCTACGGCTCCCGTGTGAAGAAACGAAAGGTCAGATTTCAAGCTTCTTTCCCCAGACACACTCCCGAAGGAGTCAGCGTGAACTGCGGAGGACAGGCTGCCAAGTGCGTTACCTGGCTTGTCCCGCAGCAGCGAGGGAGCTCTTTGCACACTCCGAGCCTTCGGCGGAGACACGGGGTAGATGGGACCAGAGCTTGTCCTGCCGAGTGACAGCTGCTTGATCCGAGGGCTTCTTCTCAGACTGATTTCTACAAAACCAGAGCCACACTTAGTACCGGGGGAGGTGCAAGCCTGTCACCTCCCATGTACAAAAGGAGGAAAACCTACGTTGCACCAAACACAAGATATAAATTCGACTTTTTGATTTTTGTAACAAGGATAAGAGGGGCTGACAGGTGGCCCCAGCAAGGTGCGAAAGCCCCACTGACCCACCAGACCGCCACCCCCAGGCAGCGCCGTGAGCCGCCACTGTGCAGCATGGTGTGGGGAGAAAGTGTATGTGAAGTATGGTGGCTTTTGCAAAAAAAAAATATTTTAAGAACTGTAGCTTTCATGTGAATATTACAACATATTTGTGTAGAGTATCACCTGTAAGAACACAGCTAAAGCTAAAATCTTACTAACAGTAAATGTTCTGAGTTATGGGATTACCAAGTGATCATTAAAGTTTTGGCTTCTCTACACTTTGATTCTTCTGTAATACGCATACATTTCTGGGTTAAAAAGAAGCCGGAGTTTGGAAACCCCGTCGTATATGCTTTGTAAGGAGACCAGGCACTGGTCATTGTGGCTGACGTGTGCTGTGGGCCGCAGCTGTGCCTGCAGGGTGCCTGCGGGCGCGCTGGGCGGCAGCACGTGGATAAAACCAAGCCCCAAACCCCGCGACAAGTGCAGGGCGCACCTCTTTCCGGGGACTCCTCAACGACATCGACATCAGGCCCAGGATCCGAGGACCTTCGGGAACAGAAAGCACAAGGGTGACCCACGATCACCGAGAACTGACTCATGATCACCACATGTGAGAGAGACACAGCTCTTCCGCCCACGAGGTCAGAGACACGGAGTCTGGCGGGCTGAGCCGGCGCTCTCGGGCGCCACTGCGCAGGGTCAGGGCAGCTCTTCCTGGTAACTGACTTATCCTGTGGATGAGCGTGCCCGCGAGTGTGAAACCTGTACACCAACAATGACAAGCCGGAGCCGTGACGAGCCACAGTGGACGTGCCTCTCCCCAGTCTTCCTCTTAGGCACAGCCAGTCACCCGGTCACTGTGTGAGTGATCCCAAGGGGGAGAGGAGAGGCAGCCGGGCTGGGAGTCAGGACACGGCTGGGGGGCTCCTGGAATTTCCTTTTCGCTTCACAGACCCCAGACTGGGTGCCGGAGAGGCTGACCACGGGAACACACCAGGAAGCGCAGACAGACCAACACTGCCCTCGGGAAAGCCAGCTCTCCCACCAGAGAACTAGGAAAGGGGCGGTCAAGCAGGACGGAAGCTTTTAAGATTGGACCTGCCCTGCCCTAAGCAGGTGCTACGGGAAACCGTGGCCCTGGTCAGCATGGGAGGGCGGGGCCGGAGCCTCCAGCCTTGCCTGGCTGTAACGAGGGCTCCCTCCTTCCCCATGTTGGCCCGTGAGTAGACTTTAAAATTGTACAACGTCCATTCAGCAGTATATTACTCAGTAACACAAGGGGACGAGCTACTGATACACGCAGCAACGTGGATAAACCTCAAGACAATTATGCCAGGCGAACCAGGCCAGGACAGAGCGCCCCCTGCAGGCCCTCCAGCCCTCGGGGAGTTTCCAGAATGCTCTTGGGTTCCAGGGAACACAGTTAAGATTGGAGCCACGAAGCTGGTGAGGCAGGAGGTAGGAGAAGCCGCATAAGGACGTCACCCACCTGCCCTTGACCTGTCTGTGCAGCAGCCTCCTGGACACCTGCTTGTGCTCCGGAGTCTCGGCCACGGTCCTCGTCAGCAGCCTGCGGTGACCTGAAACGGGAGCGGCACACGCGTCACTTCTCCGGAAAGAGCGGCGGGGCCAGGGGCGAGCGGGGGCTACCCTGCGTCCCAGCTACTCTGCTTCTGGCCACGTGCTTGCGAACTGAAATCGAGCCCACACAAACTCTCCACGAACGTCTACAGCAGCACTTCTCACGAGACACGCAGTGGAGACAACACGCATGCCCACCAAGCGACGCGTGGGTGAACGGAATCTAATCTGTCCACATGGCGTTTGCTGGCAGTAAGCAGAAATGAAGTGCCAAGAGCTAGCGCAGTATGGCGCAGATGGACATGGAGGACAGTGCGCGGAGTGAAGGCAGCTGCCCGCACAGACCTCGAGTCACACGGCCCCACTCAGAAGGAACACCCATGGAAACGGAAAGCGGGTGGTTGCCTCCAGCAGGGAGTGACGACAATGTTCCGGAAGGAGTCAGCTCCGAGAGTTGCCACCTTTGTGAACATGCTGAAAACCACCAAACCACGTACTTTAAAAGGGTTGATTTCATAGTACATGAATTATATCTCAATTCTTTAAGAAGCAAAAACAAACAAAACACCCCACAAACCTAAAACACTAAAAAAAAAGAGAAGATGAGAAAACTGTGTAATCACCACCCTCTGCTTCTCTGTACCCGGTTCTACAGAACAGACGCTTGCCTGCAGGGTAACTGGGAAGGGAGGCGGGAGAGGGACCAGCACCCCGTTTCACCCGGAGCCTGGACAGAGGCCCGGGGGAAGCTGGTGACCCGACCGCAGGGGAGAGGGAGCCCGCAGGGGCCAACGAGCTTCAGCGAGGACGCCCGCTCCCTCGAGGCCCGCACACGCACACGCACCCGTGGTCCTCTCGGCGCCGTCGAGCTCCCGCGCCAGGCCTTCCGCGGCGGACACGGAGTGGCTGCGAGGCAGCCCGCGCTTGGCCGGTCTCTTGGACGGGGAAAACTCCTGGTTGAAGAGATTTCTTCGAACTTTGGTCACTTCTGAAAGCATGAAAAAAAAAACCCCCAAAAGGCCAAATATTATTATTGACAAATGCCCCATGTGGGAGGAGAGTTGCCGAAACAGAGGGAAGCTGCTGGAGGAGACCACCGCACAGACCGACGCCCGCCGACAGGGTGTCCTCGGGGCCGTGCCCGCGTGCCGCACTGAAGTCAGGCGCGCTGCAGCTCAGCGTCAGACCCGGCCCCTCAGACGCGCGCAGGCAAAGCCCGCGGCCCCTGCGCTAGGAGCTGCACTATGAACTGGACGCGACCCACAGGAAAGGCTAACGCAGGTCACGGCCTCTGTAACGTGCCCCAGGGCTGTGAGGGTTCTTCTCCCTGCGGAGCTTTTTGCTGCTTTGTAGCTACCTCAGCCTGAGCGGTGAGAAACTGTTCGGTTTCAAAGGTTCCTTTCTTCTTATGAATATCTGATTGATTTTCTGGGTTATTTTAAATTGTCTTCCTGACCTAAGAACATGAAAGCTGTGACCATTTAGACTCAGAGTCTGGGGAAGGGCAGACGAGTCAAGAAATACTTGACAAACTTAGCAAAACGGCGCCTTCGACTCAAGATGGCCTAGTGAAGGCCACCGGAGATTCACCTGCGGTAAATTCTCCTGAGAGCCGGCCACGGACGGAAAACCAAAGGAAGGAGGATCCCCACGCGGGAAGGAGCCCTCGTGGCTTCTTGTCCGTGGTGGGGACGCTCCCGTCAAGGACACCAGTTCTGAAAGCTGTTGCCCCATCTCCACACCAGACCGCCTACCACCTGCCTCAGGCCGTCCACGGGGCAGGCCTGTGGCCTGAGAGCTAACGTGGATGTGTTACTTTCCATTTGCCCGTTTCCGAAATGTTTAATACCCACAGAACATTTCCAGGACTAGTAAAATTCAGGTACTGGAAGACCGTCCACCCCAGCCCCTGCCTTCGGCGCGGGTGTCCTAAGAGCGAGGGCACGTGACCTAGCCTGTGACCCATTGCCAGCTTTCTCGCACTGTCTCAACGTCCTGTGTAGCTTCTTTCTAAATGTATGATCCAAGCAGGGGCCGTGGAGTGCACTGAGCTGTCACTCTTAAATGCCCCTCGTTTAGCCAGTTCCACTGTCTTTTATTTTCCTGGTTTTCATGATAAAGGCGTTTTTTAAAGAAAGACTTCAGGGGCGTTACCTTGCAGCACGCAGTGCGTCGAGACCAGGGGAACACTCCGTTCCGCTGGCATGTGCTATCTGGACCCCCGTCATTAACCCACACCCACACGAGATGAGGCATCCCCTTGAACACGCGCGGTCAGAGTGAGGGGTCGCTCGGGGCCCACGCACAGGGGCCCCGGGGAACGGAGCGCCTACCTTGCACCGTGTCCTTCGGAAGGAGTGGCGGCTGCTGCAGGCCGGGGCGCGAGTTCTCCTGAGACGAGAAAACCCGGTAAGAAAGCAGGTGTGCACTGAACGCCAAAGAGTAAAATTGCCCATGAAACCCTTTGAGCTTTACAGAAAGTTGCAAAAGGCACAAAAATAGATATTCCTTCCAAGGACACCGAAGGCCACAAGGCAATAACGCAACGTGGGCAACAGCCGACATGTCACCCAGAGGGAAACAAATTATGGCTCCTCCCTCCAGCGCAGGTATCTGAGGGTTAGGAAGACCTCTCAGAGGAGCGGACGGAGACCCGTGAACACACTAACCCAGGGACAGGTCCCTGACGGGAAAAGTGAAAGTGCAGATGAGGTGCGGCGGGTCAACCACTTGTGATGTGCACACGTGTGTGCACTGCTGGTGCACGCAGGACGGGGCCCGGGAACACACACCTCCGTCACCAGTGGTCACTTCTGGACACTCTAACCTTTAACTCTATATCATTTCGACTCTGTGCTAATGATTTAGCATGTATACCTTACGTACAACTGAAAACCCACACAAAGTAACTACAGGATGGCTACACGGTTAAGAACTTCTCGGAACTAAACTGCCATTTGTTGCCTACTCCAGCAGAGGACTCAGGAGCCTATAATCCAGGGGCATGTCAGCAATGGAATTGTTTTTACAGACTTTTTGGTTATTTAAAGTTATGCCACTGGAACAACTGAAGAAGGAACCACCATGCAGGCGGAGAAACCCAACAAACGGACACTCGTTAGTAACCAAAACCAAACCCTGATCTCAGGAAACCCAGTTTTAAAGAAGTAAGCTTACACAAGCTAACAAACAAACAACCACCCACAAGTACGCTTCCTTGGCCAGCCCGGCCAGTCTGAAATGAGAGTTTGGACCGGAGGAGCACCAGCTCTCTCAGCACTGACTGCCACCGCCCATCACTGCCAGACCCAAGTCTCACTCACGTGCACCCCTGCGGGCCTGCTAAGACAGTGGGGGCCACCGACTGTAAAAGCAACCCCACCTCTGGTTCCCAAGGGCAGTTATAAATCTCCAGGGACAGACTGCAGACCAGCACCATGATGACCGATGCTTCGGATGCTGGTTCTCACAGAACCGAACTCTCCCAGTGATTCATGTGGTTCCCAAGTTTCAACACACGTGCCGTCTCCCTTCCTCCCCGCCTTGGCGACACGGCAGTTCTACCCAGTCCTCGGACTCCGCCCGGGCTTCTCTTCGTCTGCTACCAACAAAACAAGTCCTCGCATCTGTCACAAAAGCCAGCTACCCCCTGGCTTCACGACAGCACCCGCAACCCTTCCCCACAACCCGCTCCCCTGGTTCCTGAGAGGAAACACACGCGCACTGAGACGCACTCTCCGCAGGCGGCCCACGCCCTGCTCCGACCGCGCGCAGCTTCCCAACGGCCTCTGCGCACGTCCGTCACTGTTTCACGAGTATTCTCTCTCACCTACATCGGGGATTCGAGTTCACTTCCTCATTCCTAACTCTGGCGTGCTCTTACACATCTGTATTACCTGTGACCGCCACACTTTCAGGTAAAGGGTTCATCTCAAAGCCATGCCTGTTTCCACACTCCCCAGACCACATGCGCACAAACACCCCGTCACTCCTGCGCCCCAGGGCCCGCCGCCTAAGCGCAGAGATGCTGCTGCTCCGTCTCCTCTCAGTGGGACACTCGGTGGGATGCGCGTGGGAAGGCACGACTCTGCTCTCGCCGCTTCCCGTCTCCTGGAAACCACTTACGTTTTTGGCGGCTCTCTTGGACACTCTGGGAATTTCAATCTGACGACGACTCTGTGAGACCTCCGCCACGCTTTTATGTCTTCGCCACGCGTTTTTCCTTTTAAACAGAGAGAAGCCGTCAACATCCCCTTTGTAGAGGTTACAGGCTGGACTGGAACTACAGTGTGAAATAAAACATGATCGAAATGAAGGTCAGTGATCTTGGCGTTGGCCTGGACTTATGGCGTTGGCAAAACAAGTCAACCCCGGGCTTTCCAAAAGTAACTACTATAAACTCCGCTAGTCGTGAGCAATGAAAAACATCAAGAAAAGCTTAAAACGCAAGCTGAAACCCGAAGCTTGTCCCGTGGAAGGCTCCCAGTCCCTGGAGAGCCCGTGACGGTCAAGAGGGACACTGGGCTACGTGACGAACACCGGCTGTGCCCTGGGTGACACAGTGTCACAGGCTGCTGACACTCGGTAACCTCCAGGGAACGTGCGGTGGAAACCCCAACGACGGGCTTCTGTGATTCAGACGTAAGGGCAGCAGGGAGGTCAACAGACCATGAACAAAGACAGCTGGACTACGGTGCCCACGCACCCCTGGCCCGCACTAGAACAGTCCCTGCAGTCCCTCAAGCTCCCACCTCCTCTTCTTCGCCGACCGCGTGCGAAGCTCCTCCAGTTGGTGGGACTCGGCGCCGCCTGACGCTGACCTGGGAGCACTCGAAGGAAGAGGCGCAGAAAGACGCGGCGACTGGCTGTCCTGCGTCACGGAGTCGTCGCTGAAAAAGTCTGTCGGGAGGACGTCGGCCAGCTTCTGAGGGATGACGAAGCCCAGGCTGTCGTAGAGTTTCCCGAGTGTCTCGGGGATGGAGTCCGTGTACCTGCAGGAGAGGTCGGTTCAAAGGGGACGGTCCGCCACCAGGGCCCAGCCACCGGTCCCTCCCTCACCCAGCCTGGGAAATGGGCCCCACTGTCCCCTGACTCTGAAACACTACCGCAGGAAGTTCTCGGGGAACCAGCTTTAAAGTGAAGGCAGTGGTCATCAAACTCACAAGCTCAGAATTTCTTCCAGAAACTTGGCCAGGTACGCCGAATCCTCGGTTAAACACACCGTGCGCAGCAAATCTGTCACCTGAAGGAGATGTGACAAAATGACCACGTGCCTCTCTGCAGGGAGTGGCTACGGCACGTGCCCGGCAGTGCTGGGCGATGTACTTGCCTCCTCCACCGCCCGCTCCACGGCGCCCACACTGTCGGGCACCGACGGGCACTGTCGACACAGCTCCAGACGCAGGAACACCTGCAGCTGGCACCTGGAAAGACAGACAGACAGACACGGTCACACCTGCTTGGAGTGCCACTCTGCTGAAGGCCCCTTCCTTAATCGTGCATCTACGTAAACAAAAAACAACAAAAAGAGGAACCATTGCTTTTTCTACACAATGACAAGGTTATCGGGTAAACAGGGGACACACTGCACATTAGATCGTGAAGAACCAGCAACAAATACCCGTCAAGCACTTTGCCATTTATTCCAAATGGATACAAGCACGTCATAGAGCTTTGTTTTGGAGTAATGGTTAAAAAATAGTCACTTACTCTCGGACTCTGTCTTCTTTCCCCAGGTTCTTGCCTATGTTCTGCCTAAGACTTCTGCTGGTTTTCAAGAGGGTCCTTTCCACCTGGTCCAGGCAGTCCGTCTGGAAACACAGAGGCATGTCACATCCCTTGTCGTTATTTCCACTTTCCCCATGGCCCACGGAGGCCCTGGAAAGGGTAGTATCTTCCCTTCCCCCTTCTTTCATTTGAATGAAAAATAGTGAAATGAATCTTCTTTTCAATCTTTCAAATGAACATGTGAAAAAAAAAGGAACTACTTGGGCAGGGACACAGCGGGCCTGCAGCCCTGACCTCCGTTACGGAGAAGACTCCAGGAAGCAGTGACCGAGCCGCCCGAGTACGTAAACGACTCCGCTGGCTCAGGCGGAGCCTGGCCTCGCTCGCCACAGGCAGAAGCGGTGTCGTGGACCTCGAGGTGCTCTGCAACACTCCCTGTGCGTGAGGCTCACGTGAGAAGCGTGTCAACAGTACGGACGCCCGGGTCCCAGCGCCCGAGGACCTGTTTCAGTGTGCCTGGGGGACGGCGGGCATCAGCTGTTAAACAGACGCCCCAGGTGACTGTGACGTGCACTCACCGGCTTACTCATACAGCTCAGGTCAGGACAGAACTTTCAGTAGAGGGGAAGCACGTGATTACCCGACCTAACCTGTCTCCTTGATTTCTGCCTTACGAGTTCACCAGGTCCAACCTCCAAGCCTGGAATCCCACCCACTTCCTTCCTCACACACCAGCGTTGACCCAGGGCCACGCAGTGAACACACAGCCCACACCCAGCACAAGGCAACGGCCGCCTCGTCACGGGGCTCTCTCACCTCTGCGTCCCGGCTGCCTCTGGACTTCAGGAAAGCTTTCACGGTCGAGATCATGTTCTCAGCACATGAATGCAACTCGGCTCCTCCTGCGGCCACAGTCTTCTGGTAATTCTCATGCAGGTAAGACTGTAGCTCCTCTTCGGTTTTAAAATCTGTGGTGGGAGGTGGGGTTAAATCGAGGACTTGCGGTGAAGATGGCAGAGTTCGTAAAGGCCAGGCTGGCCTCGTCCCACGACCATGCCAACATTACAGTTACATTACGGAACACACCGGGACCCCCTGAAGACTAGCGGAAGTCCTGGAACTAAGGGGAGAAGCTGACATGTTGACTCTGGTGAAAGGGGCGGACACGTAGACGGGGCAGGTCCCACACTGAGGGGTCTCTCGGCTGCAGGGGTTCCCCCCGAGGAGCGAGGGGTCCCAGCCACGCCAGGGGCACCAGTGTGGGGAAGAAAAGCCCCCACAACATCTGGCTGTGAAAACCAGCAGACCGCGCTGGTAAAGACGAAGCGTCGCCGTAGACCAACGCCTTCTCTTAGAGGGCAGGAGCACGAACCACCTGCTCGCGAAATGACTCGCTCTGCTGACAGTAAATAACGAAGATCAGAGCAGAAACAAACAAAACAGAATCCCAAAAAAAGACACCAAAGATCAATAAAACCAAGAGCTCGTTCTTTGAATAGATAAACAAGAATGATGAGCCTTTAGCCAGACCCATTCCAAATAAATAGAACCAGAAATACAAGAGAAGTGACAACCGACACCGCAGAAGTGCAAAGGGGTGTAAGGACATACTACACAAACACTCACGTGCCAGCAAACTGGACAGGCTAGAAGAGACGGGTGAGTTCCTAGAAACACACAACGGCCCAGAGCAGGAGGAGGAAGTGACGGAAAATCTGAGCAGACCGGTAATGACTAACGAGATGGAATCAATGACCAAAAACTCCCAACAAACAAGCCACGGACCAGGTGGCTTCCCAGGCAAATCCCACCAAATTCACAGAAGAATTAACACCTGTCCTTCCTAACATATCCCCCAAAATTGAAGACAAGGGAAGGCTCTCAATCTCACTTTACGAGGCCAGCATTATCCTGATTCCAAAACTAGACAAAGGCACTACAAAAAAGAGAGAAAACTGGAGGTCAATATTCCCGATGAAAGCAGATGTAAAAATCTTTAACAAAATACTAGTAAGTTGAATTCCGCAATACATTAAATGGGTCATATGCCATGATCAAGTGGGATTTGTTCATGGGACGCAAGGTTGGTAAAAAGCATTTGACAAAATCCAGCTTCCATATGTGGGGGGAAAAAAAACCTCTCAAAAAAGTGGAAACAGAGGGAACACACCAACACAATGAAGTGCGCCCGCACCAGCCACAGCTGACACCACACTCGACCGTGAGAAGCTGAACGCTGTTTCTTTAAGATCAGGGACAAGACACGGTGCCCACTTCCCCGCTTCTGTCCAACACAGTACTAGAGGTCCCCGCCACAGCGTTCAGACAAGAAGTAAAACACATCCAAACTGGAAAGGGAGAATTAAAACTCTCACTAGTGGCAGATGACCTAATACTACGTAAAGGGAACCCTAAAGAGTCCACCCAGAAACTACTAGAGCTGATAAATTCAGTGAAGTAGCAGGATACAAAATTAATATTCAGAAAGTGGTTGCATTTTCATACACCAATAATGCTATCAGAAATAGAAACTAAGAAAACAATTCCATTTACAATTGCATCATAAAGAATGAAATACCTAGGAATGAATTTAACCAAGGAGGTAAAAGACCTGCCTTCAGAAAATTATAAGACAGTGAAGAAAGACGCCGGAGAAGATACAAATAAGTGGAAGCATAAGCTTTGCTCAGGGACTGAAAGAACAGCATCGTTAAACTGTCCGTACTAACCAATGCAGTCGACAGAATCAAAGCAATCCCTAGCAAAATACTAACGGCATTTTCCACAAAACTAGAACAAACAGTCCTAAAATTTATATGGGTCCGCAAAAGACCCCGGATAGCCAGAGTCTTGAGAAAGAAGAACAAAGCTGGCGGCGCCACGACACCCGACGCCCTGAAAGGCCTCCACAACCTCGCCGCTTCGTCACGACCGTCTCCCTGTCTCCCTCCCTTTATGCACGAAGGCAGAGAACTGCTTTAAGCCCTCGCCCTGCGGCCCAGCCCCAGCCCTCCTCTGCGACTCTGCCGGGCCCACCCCCTTCCCGCCGCCACCTCCACTGTGCTCCGTTCAAGGTCTAACCTGCGCCCCACTGGCTCCTTGGGAGCCTCCTCAGCCTGTTCCAGCCAAGACTGGCCTTCCCTTTCTCAGTGCCTGTTATGTCTTTACCAATCAAATGAGCAAGTATTTTCTGTGGTGGATCTTAGCTCTTACGGATTAACTTCATTAGTTCATTATATTATATACACGTGCGCATATATATGCATACACATATATCTCCCAACGTACACCTGCTCATTACTGTTCTTTGTGGCTGGGTCATAAATCTCAGGAGAGGGTGTTGTCTTATTCCTGCGTCCCCACAGCACACGTGTGGGCACGGAACGGACGCTCGGTAAACGTGCCCTGACTGGGGAAGGGACGGAAACTTCCGAGCACAGGAGGGTACGAAAGCGCACAGGGACCCGGACACCGAAGGCTGCGGCAGTGAGCGGTACCTCTTGGTCTGGAGCTCCGCCTTCTCCCTCTGCTCTCCAGTTTAGCGGCCGCTCTCCCGCCAGCTGTCTTCTGGACCCCCCTCTCCCCAGCGGCTTCTGGACTGGCATCCGGGTGCAGCTTCTGAGCCTTGACATTCAGCCTCGCCACATTCAGCATCTTGAGGGAGCGGCACATGGTGTTCATCTTCTGCCTCACCGGGGTGCAAGGGACGCCCCCTGCCGGCACATCGTGGGAAGAAATGGAAAATGATTTCTACCCTCCCGCAGAACCAAGCGGTGCTTGTTACCCCCCCAAACACTAATTCAATTTTGCACCAAGAGCTACTTTTCCCACTTCACTATGCAATAACTTTTCTTGGAAGCTTAGGCTAAAGAACAAATCATATCATGATGTACATGCTGGTATTATTTACAATGACAAAAATGTCAATCTGGATGTTCAACCACAGAATTTTGTCAGTTTTGTTAAGCAATGAGGTGGAATAGTAACTGAAAAGGCAAGGTAGCAGATGAAGAAGTAATTCGGTAAGAGGCATACAAAGCTGTATTTAAAGTTCTGCTAAAAACAAATATTGTTTGGCTTGACCGGTGTGGCTCAATGGATTGGGCATCATCCCACGAAGCAAAAGGTTGCTGGATCGATTCCCAGCCACGGCACCTGCCTGGGCTGCAGACCAGGTCCCTGGTTGGGGGTGTCGTGGGGCAGCTGATGGATGTTTCCCTCCCTTTCTTTTTCCCTCCCTGCCCCTCTTTCTAAAAGTAAATAAGGTCTTTAAGTAAAATATAAATAAAAATAAAAATGATTTATTCATTAAGAAGGTAGGATTGTGGCTGATTTTTAAATCACTATTTTACTAATGTAATTATTTTCAAGTTTGAAATAGAGGAACTTGTCCCTGTTTATCCAGTTACCATTTCAACCTCATTTTAGGGAACGGCGATCTTTCAAACATACAGTCTCGCGAAAGACCGCTCAGAAACCCCTCCGCATGTGCGTACGTTTCCTCCTGCGGTCCTCCCGGCCAGGCGCCGCGGACTCCTCGCGAGCCTTCCGCAGGTAGAGCTCGGACAGGCGCCGCGTGAGCTCACTCTCCGTCTGGGAGGGCTCCTCCGTGCTGGAAGGCGCGGCCTGCAGTAAGCTGTGAGCAGAGACGTCTAGTGTGAAGCTGGATTCTGATTTCCCTAGATGCCTTACAGACCAAACGACAGTAACTTTGGATATGCTAATGGACATGTGTCCCCACAAGATTGCCTTCAAAAACGTATTTTCTCAGGAGGGAAGAGGTCCCTTTCTTCTTAGGATCTGAACACTTCTGCTCAGAGGCAGAAGCTCCCTGTTCACAGAACCATCCATCGTTACACGCGGTATTGACTTTTATTAACCAGATCTGCATGTCCTAGGGGGCGTGTCCAATTACGGGACCACTGCACTTCCTGGGCCCCCATCCTGCCCCGCCGGCCTGTCTGTGGCCCCTCCCGCCCAGACTGCGGGGCGCAAGTCCGCACCAGAGCTTGTGGTGAGCTTTCCTCTCTTGGGCAGAGCGCACCTGTTTTGTCCTGAGCCCCTCTGAGCTGCACCACGTCCACGAACCAGAGCGCTCATCATTAATTACTAAGGTGTCGGCCCTTCCCAAAGTGACCTACAGACGCCGAGCACTCCACCGAAAACCCTAGCAGGCTGCTGGGTGGGAATTAACAGGTCGAAGCCAAAACTTACATCGAAATGCAAAAAAATCTAGGACAGCCAAACCAATTCGGGGGCGGGGAAGCTGCGAGGACGCAGACTGCCTGACGCCAGGACGCAAGACAAAGGGTGTTCCGGGAACTTCTGGGCCAGGCTGGGCCCAGGGGCAGGCCCGCGCGGTGGCGGTCTCCTGACCCCCACAAAGGCGCCACAGCAACCCCATGAGAGAGAACAAGAGAGAGAACGTCCTTTAACGGAGGAGCAGTGCCAACTGGGTGTCTGTGCGGAAAAAGAAGTCTTCACTACACCGGTTCCATCGCTAACACTGCTTGCTTGTTTCTGTGTGATCGCTCCACCGTGATGTTCCGCTATCCTGCTACAGATACCTCCATTCGGTTTCTCAGAGAGTCCGCTTTTGTTTCTGTGGGTTTCTATTGTTTGTTTCCTGTTTGATTCATCGTTACTCTTATCTTTACTACTGCCTTCCTCCGTCATTTCTTGGGTTTACTCTTTTATCATTTTCTGTGTTGGACATTTAGCTAATTCATTTTTAATTTTTCTTCTTTAAAAGACAGTTTAAATCTATAAATTTTCTTTCAACTATAAATTTATCTGCATTGTACAAGTTTGCTATTTCCAAGCCCTGGCTGGCGTAGCTCAGTGGATTGAGCACGGGCTGCGAACCAGGTATCACAGGTTCCATTCCCAGTCAGGGCACATGCCTGGGTTGCAGGCCACGGCCCCCAGCAACCACACATTGATGTTTCTCTCTCTCTCTCTCTCTCTCCCTCTCTTTCCCTCTCCCCACTCCCTTCCCTCTCTAAAAAGAAAATAAATTAAAAATCTTTAAAAAATCGCATCTCTTAAAAAAAAGTACAGAAATAAAACATTCCCAAGGCTTAAAAAAAAAGTTTGCTATTTCCCATTTTTAGAGATATAATACTACATATTTTCTCACAACCACAACATGGGAGAACATTTTATCTTTGTAATTGTTTCCAAGTGTTGTCACGTGGTGAAATACACAGCACGTAAATGCACTGGTATCATGTACATTGACAATGCTGTGCTGCCTCCGCCCCGTGATGGTCCTCTCCAGAACTCTCCTCGTCCTGTGAAACCGGGATGTACACCCACCAAACAACACTCTCCTTTTGTAGTTTTTTTTAAATTTACTTGCTTAACTTTGAAAATCATTTAATTTCAACAGAAGTGATTTCTAACATGATCCTACTGGTTTTAAATTTGCTTTTTCAGATTTTTTTTTTATCACAGTTGACATTCAGTATTATTTCATGTCCATCTCAGGGGTGCACCGTGGTGGTTGGACATTTACATAGTTTCCGGAGCCGTGAGTCTGGTACCCGCCTGGCACCACACACAGTCACGTAATTTGTTTTTCATGTTATTGAACTATACTCATGAACTGTGGTCTGTTAAAGTGCTTGCGCGGGCGCGCGCACACACACACACACACACACACACACACACACACACCCCGCCTCCTCTGGTCTGAGTTGTCAACACCCAGAGAACCAGAACAGGTCTTACCAAAACGACTCCATCAGGCTGGAACTGGCGCCACTCAGGTTGGAGCAGGGAAACCAGCTCTCGGTGACCGCCGGGGTCCAGGGCGCGGTGCGGCCGAGCTCCTGCTGGACCCACTCTGGACCGGGAGGCGCTGCAGGGAGTGGGGCAGAGATGGGGGGAAAGGAGGCGTGAGAACCACGGTGGCCATCCCCGCACTGGCTGCTGCCGGGGACCCACCGCCTCCTGCCCAAGGACGTGCGGAGGGGCACTAACTACATTCCTTCGGCTGCACCAACTCCGACGGGCCCGTGTCTACGAAAACCGCTACTGCGGAGACGCGCATACGCAGGCTTGAGCTGCTGCTGTGGCTGCTCAGACTCGGCGGACGCACACCCGGCCCAAGGCCTCAATCAGGAATGTGCACTCCCTGCCGCTTCCGTGAGGCCTGGGTGCAAATACTGCCTTCCAACAAGGCCTGCCGAAAACCACCCTCTTCCAGCCCCAGCTGGTGTGCTCAGTGGCCTGAGTGCTGGCCTGCAAGCCAAGGGGTAGCTGGTTCAATCCCCAGTCAGGGCACATTTCTGGGCTGCAGGCTGGGCCAGCAGTAGGGGGTGTGCACAAGACCACCCATGCATGTTTCTGTCCCTCTTTCGCCCTCCCTTCCCCTCTAAAAATAAAAATTTTCATAAAATTGCACCCCTCCAATTCCCCTTGAACATGCTCCACTCCCTTTTTCCTGTTTATTATATGGCACTTAATGCTTTCAAGTACACTGTATAACTCCCTTACGCAGTTTATTCTCTCATCTCCTTGGTAAACCCCACGACAGCAGAGACCTTTGTCTATTCTGTTCACTGATGTATTCCCCAAACCTAGAACCATGCCTGACACGTAGCAGGCACTCCCTAAATCTGTTCAGTAGACAGAATATCACATTAATCTTATTTTTATCTACCTAGCATAAATAACACTGCCACGCACTGGAAGGCAGACAGAATCCCAACAGGTGCAGGTGCAGTCTTTATGAAATACGCTGAAAACCAGGTTTCATGCTACACCTTCGGCTTCAACCCCGTTTCACAGAGCCTTTGGTCTTCCCTAAAGGGCTTCGGGGTTTCTGTAAATAAACGTGACTTACGTTGCCTGAAGCACTACTGTTTGCTTTTACCTGTTTTATAACAGGTATTGGGGCTCTACCAAGAGTGCAATGAAAAAAACCCTGGTGCTGGAAATGGCTGCAAACCACTGTGCTGGGGTGCCAGCTGTGGGTTCAGAACTAACCAGGGGCAGCGGGGCCTTCCAGCAGGGTGTGAGTCTGGCTCAACACAACATCCACAACACCGGGGAAGAGGGGCGCTGCATCCTGAGGGCTCTCTGCCGCCACTGCCTGGAGCACATGTCTGTGAAATGCGGCCTCCTCAACGCGGAACACAGTGAGGACTGTAGCGCTGGCAGACAGCAGGGACATAACTCCGGTGATGGGCGGCCAGCCGTCCCCAGGGTCCACGGAGGCAACCTGCACGAGAAGTTCTAGTTAGCTGAGAATGGTGCTGGTGTATGCATGAAGAATGTCGCTCAGTAACAGAAACAGTAGCCTCTCCCCGTGATTATCCATATAAAAAACTGGAGTAGAGATGGGCCTGAGGGTGTTAGTGCTGGAACTGAGCTTACAGATCACGTACTCCTAACTCCTCAACACACAAACAGGGAAGCCCGGGGTCACCGGGAGTGTGGACTGAGCATGTGCTCTGTGCTCGTCATAACTCACGGACTCCCCCAGCCTCTCTGAGGCAACCGTGGTTCCCGCCCCATTGCATCCAGGAGGGCTGAGGCCGAGGAATGAGTAACCTGTTCGAGGTTGCCCAGTTAGCGAGGGGCAGAAGCCACGTGTGTACGAACCCCCAACCCCGTGCTGAACCAGGAGGCGGCACGGCCGCTGGGGGTTCGCCAGCTCACACGGCGGGCAGAGAGGGGAGACCGGACCCCCCATCCCGCCGCCCCCACGCCCCTCCCGCTGCTCTCCGTCCGTCAGGGCAGAGAGCCCTCAGGACCTCTGCTCGGGGACCGCCCAGCTCATCTCTAGAATGTCTCACACCGCGGTCCGGGAGAGGGAAGCCTTCTGGGGTTACGAAGGCAGAAGACGAACTAAGGCGGGGAGTTTTTTGGCTGTTTAAAAATAGCCACCATCTTACCCTGGCTGGTGTAGCTCAGTGGATTGAGCGCAGGCTGCGAACCAAAGTGTCGCAGGTTCGATTCCCAGTAAGGGCACATGCCTAGGTTGCAGGCCACAGCCCCCAGCAACTGCACATTGATGTTTCTCTCTCTCTCTTTTTCTCCCCCCTCCCCTCTCTAAAAATAAATAAAATCTTTAAAAGAAAGATAACTCATTTAAACAAAAATAAATAAATAAAATAAAAATAGCCATCACCTTTAAGCAAAAGGAAAAAAGACCCATGGACATGGACAAGAGTGTGGTGATTGCTGGGGGCAGGGGGGTGCGGAGGGTGTAAGGGGACTAAATGGTAATGGGAAAAAACACAATAAAGATGAAATAAAAATAACCATTGCCTTTAAATCAAGCCTGGGTAGGTATTCCTTTCTAGAAGCCACTTCTAAGTTTGTATAACTATTGGACACTATTATACTTAATATTACAGCGGAGGGCTTTTAAAAATGAAATGTATTTTTTTACATAAAAGTGATAGATGCGTATCAAATGCCCCCTTGTCCGTGGGAGATGCGTTCCGAGCCCCCCAGGGGCGCCTGGAACCGCACAGCACCACACGCTATACACGCACGATGTTTTTTCCTGTGTGCACAGGCCTATGGCACAGTTTACTGTATAAATTAGACACAGTGAGAGATTAACAAGCACCTGCGAAACAGTACAGCTGTAACAGTGCACTGGAACAACAGTCATGTGAAGGTGGTCTGTCGCGCCCAACACACCTTCCTGCACTGCCCGCACCTGTCCACGGGAGGGAGCACTTCCGGCCTCGCTGTGGCCTCCGCAGTGTCAGCGCCACGGGCCTTGTGCTCTGCGGCCACGAGTAAGTCAAGCGAGAGCCGCCTGGACGCAAGCGCCGTGACTCCGGGACAGCTACTAACCTAACGGGCGAGGGGTGTGGGCGGCGCAGAGACGCTGGACTAAGGGACAGCCCACGACCGGGCAGGACTGGGCAAGAGCTCATCATCATACGACCCAAAACAGCTTGCAATTTAAAACTTATTCCCGGAATTTTCCATTTGCTATTTCAGACTGCATTTGCCTGTGTAAAGTGCAAACACAGATAACGAGGGCGAGGGAGGAGGGGTCGCTGTCCCCTCACTCCGCCACCCTAACACGATCTCGGCGTTCAGCCCGCAGCCTTTCTCCTCATGTGAGTCCAATGTCACCTCGCGGGATCCCGGGCACACGGACTTCCACACACTGCTGCTTCCCTGATGAGCACCGCCGGGGCGCTGTGCTGTGGGCGACGTCACTCACACACGTCTGTTCGCTGGCACTGTGTCATGTGCGTGTGTCCACGTGCCTGGGATCCCGTGACAGACACTCACATTTCACATTTCCCTTTACAGCATGATCTTAGGCAAGGATGACGGAGCACGTGCGTGGATGAGACCTACCAGATGTAACTCTTCGGCGGTCAGTCTGTCCACCAGCTGCTGAAATAATGCCCTTTGGGTTGATGGACACTCCCCTGGACTCCGCAGCATCCAGCTGTCACTGCCCACGGTGCCGCTCGTCGGCGGGGACCACTGGGCAGCCGTGCCTTTTAGGAAAATGCGGACCGGTTTCTGAAAGTGTCTCTGATGCATGGCCAAGGGCTCCAGGACGACTGCCCAGGCCTCTGGAACCTCTTTGCCTGTGCGCAATGAAGAAGATGTAACGTAATCAACATTATAATGTAATCAATAGTTAGTAATCACAGGTTTAACAGTAAGAAGAAAAAAGTTCGATTGTCAGCGGAGGGACTATTATTGCTACTTAGTTCCCACTCAGCCCTCACCCTGTTGCCAGCAGCAAGCGCACGGAGCTCGGCAGGAAAGGCTGCACGTGAACGGCACTACAGGGGCAAGGCCTGGTGGCAGGACGTCTCAGGAACTGTGACTCAGAAACAAATACTCAAGCCGTACTCGCTACGTACAAAAAAGAAGACATGGCTTCTTAAATCCACAAAATACAGCGCACAGCATATCTTATGAGGCAACTGCATTCTAAAGATGAAATTGCCTCAACAAAAATTTCCTTGACCTGCAGATAATGTGTACCATGGTTTCACGTTCATCTTTCTATGTAATGCCGTTTCTGTGTGAATGCACAGCGACTCAGAAGTGAGCTTCACTATGTGGTGAATGAAGCACACGGAGGGGGATTCCGGCACGCTGGCTCTTCCCGGTCACAAGGGCCGCATTCAGCTTTTTTTTGGGGGGACTAATTTCTTATCGATCATGGTCTCCCCGTGGTCTAAATTCATCAGTCTCTTCTATGGGGCAAGGGAATCTTACCACCTGTCTGCCTGGGTGCCTGAACAATACTGTCTTTCTTTGCGAGCAGCTGAGAGGCTCTTCGACACCACTCACTTATTCTTTCTACCCGTGGGCTGGCGGGCGTGCTGTGTAAAAGCTCCACACGTTCCCGCGGGGCCTCCAATCCTGCTTACACGCACCTACAAGCCCTCGCTGAGGGGCTGGGCTGCCTGACATCCTAAAGAAGTTGAAAGCGTGGGCCCGCCTTGAAGAAATGGATCCATAGTAACTGAGACCAAAACCCCCGACAAATCATTATCTGCTTACCTTCAACAGGGAGAAATAACGTTCCTTCCGTGCGTGGAAATGAGGCTTCATACTCAGGAGGGCTGTAGAGCGAACAGTTCAGAGTGGAGTCGGTCGGCAGGGTTGAAGTCCACAAGAGGCCAGGTTCACTCGACAGCTGCGTGTCGCCACCCAGGGGAGTCTCCCCAGCTCTGGTCCTGTCCTGGCTCCACGTTTCCGAGGGCAAGATGGCGCCTCCTACCTGCTGGAGCAGTTCACATACGGCCCAGTACCCAAGGTGGTCTGGGGACTCCCGCAACTGAAATAAAATGACAAAGGACCTCAAGTTATTCTAAACGAGACATTCAAAATGAAGCTAAGGGAAACCAGGAGAAAGTAAAGTTCATTTCTGCACTAAAGGATCAAAGGACACGATCAATGTGTATGCTGAATCCAACACAGATAATAGCTAGAATCCTACTATTGTGCAGCCCAAGGATAGAATTACTACATAACACACCTTCAAGAAAGTGTCCGTTTAGGAAAAATACCACTTCAATTCTATTTCCCATCAAGAAACAGAAGGGAGACTTCTGGGCAAGATGGAGGCATAGGTAGACACACTGTGCCTCCTTGCACAACCAAAAGAAGGACAACTACTATTTAAAAACAAAAACAACCAGAACTGACAGAAAACTGAACTGTATGGAAGTCTACCAAGGAGTTTAAGTAGACACATTCACCCAGACTGGTACGAGGGGCGGAGTCGGGCAGCCAGAGCAGAGAGGACTCAAGGCAAGGTGGCGGCTGGTGACCAGGTGGTCCCACATTCATAGGACCTGGGGAGTGGGACAGACCACACAACCCAGGGCCCCATCACGGGGAAATAAAGCCTCAAAACATCGACTGAAAACACCTGTGGGGGTTGAGGCACAGGGAGAGAACTCCCAGCCTCACAGGAGAGTTCACTGGAGAGACCCACAGGGTCCTAGAATATGCACAAGCCCACCCACCCAGGAATCAGCACCAGAAAGGCCCAGTTTGCTTGGGGGAAGCAGCAGAGGGGACTGAAGTCCGACAGAGAGTGGAGCAAGTGCCACTGTTCCCTCTCGGACCCCACCCCCACACACAGCATCACAACCCAGAGACTGGGTTGCCCCTTCCTAGTGAACAACTAAGGCCCCGCCCCTCATATGTATACAGGCGCGACACGGTCCCCCCAAAAATGGCCCAAATGGAAGAACAGATCCAAGCTCCAGAGCAAATACAACTAAGCAACCAAGAGATAGCCAACCTATCACATGCACAGTTCAAAGCACTAGTGACCAGGATTCTCACAGAATTGATTGAATTTGGTCACAAATTAGATGAAAAAATGAAGGCTACGCTAAGTGAAATGAAGGAAGACGTTCCCACCAATAGTGATGGGAAGAAAACTGGGACTCAAATCAATGGAGTGGACCAGAAGGAAGAAACAACCAAACAGAAAAGAATGAAGAAACAAGAATTCAAAAAAATGAGGAAAGGTTTAGGAACCTCCAGGACATCTTTAAACATTCCAACATCCAAATTATAGGGGTACCAGAAGGAGAAGGGGAAGAGCAACAAGTGGAAAACTTATTTGAACAAATAATAAAGGAGAACTTTCCCAATCTGGCAAAGGAAATAGACTCCCAGGAAGTCCAGGAACCTTGGAGAGTCCCAAAGAAGTTGGACCCAAGGAGGAACACACCAAGGCACATCATAATTACATTAGCCAAGGTAAAAATGAAGGAGAGAATCCTAGAAGCAGCAAGAGATAAGGGGACAGTCACCTACAAAGGAGTTCCCATCAGACTGTTAGCTGATTTCTCAAAAGAGACCTTGTAGGCAAGAAGAGGCTGGAAAGACGTATTCCAAGTCATGAAAGGCAAGGACCTACATCCAAGATTGCTCTATCCAGCAAAGCTTTCATTTAGAATGGAAGGGCAGATAAAGTGCTTCTCAGATAAAGTCAAGTTAAAGGAGTTCATCATCAACAATTTCATGAAATTGTTTCATGAAACAATTATTTCATGAAATGTTAAAGGGACTTATCTAGGAAAAAGAAGATAAAAAACATGTACAGTAAAATGACAGCAAACTCACAATAATTAACAACCACACCTAAAACCAAAACGAACTAAGCAAACATCTAGAACAGGAACAGAACCACAGAAGTGGAGATCACATGGAGGGTTAGCACCAGGGGAGTGGGAGGAGGAGAGGGGGGGAAAAGGTACAGAGAATAAGTAGCATAGATGGTAGGTAGAAAATAGACAGGGGGAGGGTAAGAATAGTATGAGAAATGTAGAAGCTAAAGAACTTGTGACACATGGACATGAACTAAAGGGGGGAAATGGGACAACTGTAATAGCATAATCAATAAAAAATATATATAAAGAAAAAGATCAAAAGTACAAATAACAAAATGGCAAAAATATCTATTTATCAACAACTGAATCTAAAAAAACAAACTCAGCAGAGGAGAAGAACAGAGACGGAGTCATGGATACAGAGGGCGTTTTGATGGTTGCCAGGTGGGGGGGTGTGGCGTGGGAGAAAGGGTGACCAGGTGAGGGGATGCACACGCACAAACAGGCAGGTACAGAACAGCCACGGGGACGTACAGCACGGTACGGGAAAGGGAGCAGCCGAGGAACTTACTATACTCACATGCCCCGTGGACGGGAACAAGGGTGGGGGGATGGCCTGAGGGAGTCGGGGGTGCAGGGAGGAGGGGGGCTAAGGGGGAAAAATCAGGACACCTGTAATAGCATAACCAATAAAATATAATTTACAAAAATAAAAGGTGAGAGAAAATACAAAAAAGATCCTGTCAACCTACTGTAACACTGTTCCGAAAAGAAAGCGAGACAGGAGGTCCCCGTTTTCCTAGCCCGGCCCGTGGCTAGGCACCCCGATATTTCAGCGACATCTGGACCAGCGGCACACACTGATGACCCCCTGGCCCCGTGCCGCCCGACCAATCAGCGCCGACCAGGACCCTGGAGAGAACAGTGCCCAGATCCTCCCCCAAATCCCTTAGCGCGGGACTCCGCCGCTCCCCGTCCCCGGGGGTCTGCCCGCCTTTATTCCCTGCCCCTCCTCTCCCCGCTAAGCTCCAAGGGCCCCCCTGCGTTTGCCCCCGTAGCTCGTTCCCTGAGCCCCTTTGTTCTACCTTATGTAACAGTTTGAGTCTTGGCACCGAATTCTTAGCGGAAACAAGGTGCCGCGTTCGCGCCGCGGGCGCTTGGACTTAGCAGGTAGCGAGGGCCTACGTTTGTCGCCGTCCAGCCCGGTTCAGCAGGAGACCGCCGCGCGCTACCTGCGACTCACCTGCGACCTCCCGGCGGTGTCCACCCAGTACAAGGTGATCTTCCGGGCGAGCATGCCCTCCTGGACCCTCTTGGGCAGCAGCTTCTCCATCAGCTGCCTGGCGGTGGGCAGCGGGCCCTGCGCCCGGGCCTCGCAGCCGGACACGAACTGCAGCAGCTCCCTCCGCGAGTGCGGGCAGGGCGCCAGCAGGAAGACGGCGTTCCCGAAGCCCCCGAGCGCCGCCTCGGCCTCCCTGGCGTCGCTCTCCACGTCCAGCAGCCGCCTGCCGCTGCTGCGCAGCACCGGCTTGGCGGGCGACGTGATCTCGGGCCGGTCCCACTGGTAGTCCAGCAGCGTCTCCATCAGGGCGCCGTGCGTGTGGGTGGCCCTGGGCGCCGGGCCGGGCAGGTGGGCGCCGGGGGCGCCCTCCCCGAGCCGGGCCTCCAGCTCCTCCTCGAAGTCCTCCCAGGAGCGGGCCCCCAGCTCGCGGAAGTCAGACACGCGGGAGGGCCGGCTCCGCGCCCCCAGGGAGTCAAAGAAGCGGAAGGCCCAGCGGACCCTGGCCAGGCCGAATCGGCAGCTGAGGTAGATGAGGAGGCGCAGGGCGGCCCTCCGGGCCAGGCTGTGGCCGGCGGTGCCGCCCGCGGTATCCAGCAGCAGCATGACGTTGTGACGACAGGCCATGTCGGCCGCGCCGCCGCCGGAGGGCCGGGGCTGTCCCCTGAAACCCAGCCTCAGGGAACCGGCGCCATTCGCTTCTCCTCGGGATCCTGGTCAAAAGGCTCGCGCGCTCTCCAGGAAACGCTACCATTGGCGGAGCCAGCTTACAAATTCAGCTCTTATTGGTCCCTCCTCGTACGTATCTTCTGCGAGCGACGGCCTGCCTCGGCGCTGATTGGCGGAGGGCGTGCCCGTAGGCGGGGCTCTGTGTTCTGGGAAAACCTTCACATCGATTGGCCTAAGCCTTCGTTTTAAAATTTAAAGAGGCGGTGCTAGGGCGGTGTCTGAAAGTTTCCCTTCTGGGAAGGAGATGTGGGTTTGGGCGACAGAGCGCAGGTGTGAACGCACACCTCTAGGGCAGGGGTCCCCAACCTTCAGGCTGCGGACGAGTACCGGTCTAGGCTTATCAGGATCCCCAGGCACAGCAGGATGTGAGCTTGAATGTAATGCGTTTGCATCACCCTGAAACCGTTCCCCATTGAGTGGAAACATTGTCTTCCACAAAGCCGGTTCCTGGTGCCCAAAAGCTTGGGGACCCGCTCTAGGAGATGTTTACAATGTCCTCGAAAACAGCACCGGGAAGGAATTTGAGGTGGTTTGAATCCAGCTGGGTTGGAGCCACCCTAGACTTTCTATGGAATAGAATCCAATGTGAAGACTTGAATTTTCTGTAATGTTAAGTGAAGTTACTAAAAATGAAAAGTTCACTCCCTTTGTCCCAGTTACTTATAGGAGTTTCTTTGAAGAAGGTAACCAGATCCAAATAAAAGAGGTATGGACATCATAGATTTTTTTTAATTTGAGAAAAATTGGAAACAACTCTAACGGGAGTGATTGAGGTATGGTACCCAAGGGGAAGGAACGTCTTGTAGCTTTTTAAAATAATATTGTTATCTGTAATGTTAGATTAAATTAAAAAAGACTGCAAACAGCACACACGTTTCCTCCAAATTTTCTATCCATATGTATATTTCTTAACTGTTAAGCTAATAGTGTGCATGAAACTTGTCTGCGATTGTTTTTGGGTGCTGAGATTATGGTGATTTTTAATTTTTAAAATTTTATGATTTATTTTATGACTTATTTTAGATTATGGTGATTTTTACATTTTTTTAATTTTACATTTTCTGATTTTCCAAAATTCTGTATTTCTATATTACTTTCACAGTGATTTGGGGGCGGGGAGCAGCTATTCTTAATAAATAAAAAGAATCCTCGATTGCAGAAAAGGTTGTGACCCTGGGTGGGGACAGTACCTACTATTGGTTGTAACAGCAGAGAGGAACTTAAACTCTCTTGCAAAACCTGGCTGCCTTTCCTTCCAATATCGAGTCTGTGACCCAGGAGCTTGGAGAAAGCCCATCAAATCACGTGGTCTCTGTGTGTTGTCCGAATCACGCCCCCCCCCCCGCCTGGGGGTCTAAACTGTGAGTTCTGAGAAGGCAAGAACTGTGTTTTATCAGTCTTTGTATCCTTAGTACCTAGCCCAGTAGCAATACATTTTTTTTTAAATTGAATTGTTTACGTTATCAAGCATTTCCTTCCTAGAAGGATTTTAGGACTTTGTGCAGGTACAGAGAAGTCACCACCAGAGGGCAGTAGCAGCCACCCTTCACTAAAGTGCTCTCCCAAGCCTACCTGTCCGGCTGGACAATGAAACCTTTCCCCAGAACGGCTTGTCCTTAATTTGGGTGAGACAAGCAGACGTCTGGGAACTTATTATAGTCGGGCCACCCACGGGGAAAAAAATGCTTGGGGTGGCTGACAAGGCTGCACCTGGAGGACACAGGTCCCATTCTTTTGAGGAAGGATGGAGAATCCCCCTCTTCCCAATAAAGCAAAGGGAAGACACTTATTTCCAGCACCTAGTAGGATAGTCGTGATTCCGTGTACTCCTCACGGTAATTCTGCAAGGCGGACGTTACATCCTCCCTTTCACAGATGGGGAGACTGAGGCTCAGCGGGCCTCTCGCAGCCAGGAAGAGGGAGCACTGAAGCGCTGTGCTGCGTCTCCCAAACGCTGTGAGGACAGAGCCTCCTCCCCGTGATGGGGCAGAGCAAAGGGACCTCCTTGGGCGACGGAGGGCCAGGCCAGGCCAGGCCAGGCCAGGCCAGCCCCGCACCCAGCGAGCCTCTGGGCCCTGAGTGTGCACCCAGTCTTTCCTGGCGTGCCACAGAGCTGTAGTGATCAGTTTGTGCGTGCCAGAAGATGATTTTTTAAAAAAAGGTTGAAAATCGTTGAGAGAGAAACACTGAAATCATAATAGCTTCCCTCCTGGGGCAGCTACTTTACATTGTACTCTGTCACTTTAAGCATTTCCTTTAACCTTCCTGGGGTTGTTTTTCTCCCTGTGGGTTCTTCTCTCCACCGGGAGGCGGCTGGACTAGACCAGTAGTACTTGGCCGCAGTTACACATTAGAGGCACCTCCTGGAGACTTGAAATGATCCCCAACCCCAAGCTGGCCCCACCCCCAGAGATTCTCACTGAACTGCATGGGGTGGGGGGTGCTCCCACGCCAGTCAACTCTCTCCTGCTCTGGGCCTCTGGTTCCTGTTTGGGAGGGGGACGATCACCATGAAGATGTCCTTCCCCTTTGGAAAAGGCAGCCGAGGTATCTGGACAACTCCAGTTCCGGCTGGACGAGCAGTCTCAAGGTCTCAGGGCTGGGCGATTTTTACTGACACCGAGAGTATGTGTCCTTCGTGCCTCTGGGTAAGGAGCGGGTCTTCCGAGGACACTGTCCCTCCTCCACAACGGCCGTTTGCCCAAGTGTCCGTTCTGCCCAAGGTCTCAACACTGCACTGTTACATGGTGGTCCTGAGGGGAAGCTGTCCGTCTATGGCAGCATTTCTGGGCGCAAAGGGACGAGGGTGGCTTCTCCACCCTCCTGGGAATGGCCAGCTTGCCCAGCTTCCTAGACCCAGCCCCAGTGACGGGCAGGAAGCTGTCTCAGAGAAATCAGCAGAGAGAAAATCCAGCCTGTCACACACTTCCTGCGTGTCCGGAAGACTCATGTTTCATGTTCCCCAAACCCTTCTGGGTGTAGTTTCGTAACCCTCATTTTTACAGCTCTGTAAAAGAGGTTAAGTTGCTGGACATCGCCAGCTGATGGAGAGGTGTCTCTGCTTACTGGGGTGGGGTGGGGGGCAGGCCGCTGTGGTTCAGACATGGGGACCAAAGCATAGAGATGAGGCTGGGGGTGCTTGCCTCGCCCCTGCCCCGCCATCCCTGCGACCCCTGCTAGCCGGAGGCTGAGGACGCAACTCTCGGGCTCCAGCGCCACGCCATTCCCACCAGCAGCGGCCCTGACTCGGGTCTGAGGGCCAGAACCACCCCACAGCCTGAGGCGCTGGCCCTCCCTCTTCTGTCTGGGAGAGCCAGGCCGGGGCTGAAGCCAGTGAGGCGTGGCCCGGGCCTGCCTTATCAGGACTGTGCAGAGCCCAGGAAGCCCTCACCTCGGCCCCGTGGACGTGGACTGGAACACTGGGTCCATTCACCAGTGTGGGGGCCCCAGGACCAAGGGAAGGCCCCCCCGAGGAGGCAGCCCAGAGCCCTTGAGGTGGCCCGTCGGGAGACAGAGCTAAGGCAGATGGGGGCCCTGGCTGCCGAGCAGGGGTGAAACTCCTGATAAAATCAAACTCTGCTGAAGCCAGTTATGCCACAAAGAAACTGCTTCTGCCGATGGGCTGGGGCAGTGCAGCCCTAGGACCAGCACCTCTGCTGTCTGCCCAGGAGGCAGTGGCCTCACTTTGGGGGAAGGGGCTCCAAGTCCCCTCACTACATTCCGAGGGACTTGCAGAGGCTGAGAGAAGCCACGGGGTCCTGGGTGGAAGGGTGGGAAGCAGTGGAGACCCCAGACAGTTTGGGAGGGGTGCTGCAGCCTCCCCGAAGGAGCCATGGCCAGAGCAGAGCCGCAGTGAATCTGGAGCCCCCCCAGACACACACACACTCAAAATTCACCTGCCCCTCCCCTTTCGGGGACTAACCCCGCAGTCTCACAGCCTGGAGCTGAGCTGAGCCAGGGAGGCCTGGACCGGCTCACAGAGCCACGAGGAAGCATTTCTATCTCACCAAGAATCTCAGGCTGCCAAGTGGTTTGGGAGTAGAGGGCTGGGAAAGTGCTTTTAATTTATTCTTCAAAAGTGTAAGGTTATGCCCTGGCCAGGTAGCTCAGTTGGTTGGAGTGCTGTCCCCCATGGGATTGCAGGATTCGATCCCCGGTCAGGGCACATACGAGAATCAACCAATGAGTGAGTGCATCAATAATCGGAACAACAAATCAATGTTGCTCTCTCTCTCTCTTACACACACACACACAAATCAACAAATAAATTTTTTAAAAGACCCCAACTATTTATTTAGAAAATCTGTAAGATGGGACGAAAACCGTTTTGTAAGATGAAGCCGGGCAATGGGATGGGGAACAACTCTGGAGGTGGATGGCGGTGACGGTGGCGGGACCATGGCAACGTCCTTAATGCCACCGAAGAGTCCACTTGAACATTGTCAACATGGCGAATTTTACGTTACACATATTTTACTCAAAAAAAAAAAAAAAGAGGAGCCAAAACTGGAGTTTGCTCAGGAGGCATGTCAGGTTTCCTCGTGTTCCGACAGGGGCTGCAGGCGGCGGCGGCTGGGTGTCTCCTGCCAAATGTCAGCCTGAGTGGAATCGAGCCTGTAGATCTGGCTTCCAGGCGGCAGGACGCACAGGGGTTAAGGAACAAGAGACAGCACGAGGAAGGGATGGGACGTGATCGGACATATCTGGATGGGACAGTCAACGCTGAGTTCTTCAAGTCGATGGCCGCAAAACCACAAGAAATGCCACAAAACAGACCAGCAGGGACCTCTTCTAGTTTAAGACACTTAAGACACAACAACCAAATCCAGTTCTTGGTCCTCGATTGGATTCCAGTTTGAACAGTCCATCTGAAGAAGTCATTTCGGGGGTAGTGGAAGGAATTTGAATAAAAACAAGATATTTGTTCATCTTCTCAAGCAGTATTGTAGCTATTTAGGAAAATAGGTTTTGCTGTGACATCTACTGAAGTTTTTAAAGATGAAAACTGCCCTGGCTGGTGTGGCTCAGTGGGTTGAGTGCAGGTCTGCCCACCGAAGGGTCTCCGGTTCGATTCCCAGTCAGGGCACATGCCTGGGTTGCGGGCCACGTCCACAGTAGGGGGCGCACGAGAGGCAACCACACACTGATGTTTCTCTCCCTTTCTTTCTTTCTCCTTTCCTTCCCCTCTGAAAATAAATAAAATCTTTAAAAATGAATAAATAAAGATGAAAATAGTTTATTAGCTTCTTTGACTCTGTTACTGTAAAATAATTGAGGAGAAGACAAACAGCAAAATGTCGAATCTGAGTGATGACTATTTTGGGGTGTGGGTGTGTCTTATACTAGCACTCTGTTTTTCTGTATGTTTGAAACTTTCCATAATAAAAAAAAATTTAGAACAAGAATGTTTGAGCAAATATTTTAACATCTGGAGATTTCATGTAAAGACACGCAGATTCCTGGCTTTTCTGGAACCTTCCGAGTGGCTACTGTCTCCGTATTTCCGACTGGAAAGAGCGCTCTCTCGGCAGCGGCTGCTCCTTCTGTCCCCCTGCTGTCCCCCGTGTGCCCTTCCCTGGGCTCGCTCGTCTCTCGAGTTTGCCTTCCCGGCCCTTGGAGGCATTAGAGCTTGCCTACACCCCATGAAAGGGAAGAGTCGGTCGGTCGCACGCCATCAGACCAGACATACGACAGCTGAACTTCTTCTAAGCCAGCCCAGCAGGTTTTTCCCTTGGGCCTCTTTGAATATTAAAATCTCCTCTGATGAATATTCCTTCCGGAGGCCTCCAGAGCTCAGTGGATAGGACCACCCTGGTCCCAGGACCCCAGGATTCTTTCATCCTCAAGATTCCGGGAGACCAAGTGCAGTGCCCACGGGGAGGCGGGTGGGGGCGGGGGGCGCGGGGCGGGGGGGGGGGTAATCCATAGCCGTAGACAGAGTCAGAGTATTGGGCAAGAGTGCACAGAGTGTCCCGAAGCACTCAGCCACACGCTACGTGACAGCCCTGTCCAAACAATGCTCTCTGACTCACTCGGTTGGTAACATTGTGGGGATGAGGCCCAGGAACATCCTGGACCCCAGCCAAGACCCAGGGGCCCTGACCACAAACGGGAGCGGAAAGAGAAAAGAGGGCCGGGCCACGTGACTCCAAGCCTCCCAATCACCCAGCCCCGCCCCCTTCTCACATCGCGGGGTCCGCCCCCATCCCGTCCGTCCTCTGGGACTGAGACCCGGGGCCTGACTCTCCAGGCTCATCCGAGGACAGGCCGGCAGCCAGCCCTCCTGCAGGAAACGCAGGCAGAGCCGTGGGTGACGTAGACAAGGTAGGAATAGTCAGTATTTACCATCACTGGTGCTCGCCCTGAGCTGAGCGCTGCGCTAAGAATGATGCATGTAGCCCTGGATGGCATAGCTCAGTGGATTGAGCTCGGGCAGCAAACGGAAGCATCGCAGGTTCGATTCCCAGTCTGGGTTGCAGGCCACGGCCCCCAGCAACCGCACATTAATGTTTCTCTCTCTCTCTCTTTCTCCCTCCCTTCCCTCTCTAAAAAGAAATAAATTAATTAAAATCTTAAAAAAAAAAAAAACAAGAATGATGCATGTACGAGTTTCTCATTTCGTAAAAGCTCCATGAGGGGAGAGTGCCATACACTGTGATCGGCATGCAGACCAGGCGCAGGGAGGTTGAGTGACGTGTCCGAAACCTTGTCCCCACGCTCCCTCCGGCCTGGTCACTCAACGAGGAAGAGACGCAGAGTGCGGAGTGAGCTGGTAAGTTGTGCCCTAATTCCTGGAGTGGTGGGCTCTGCAGTCGGAGGACGTCTGGAGGATGAGGATGTGTCTCTGGGCTTTCTGTGAACACATGAGGCAGCTTTTCTCACGATCCTCCAAGGTTTTGGGGGGCTTTCTAGGTGCCCTCCGGGTGCTCGGCTCCCTGGCAAACTCCCGGAAGTTGCCACAGGAGCCTGGCACCTCGGGAGGACCGCTGGACTCTCCTCGGACCGTGCATGCGGCCTCACTGGACCTCTTAGAGATGAATGTCCTTAACTGTGCGTCAGGGACTCACACAAGGTGCTGGAGCGGCGGCGGCGAGGGTTAAATGAGACAGACTTAATGCATGCACCTCGTAATGACCGCTGCATCCTGTCCTCCCCATGGCCATCCCCCACACCCCGGGGTCACACTCTCTGCGATGAGTACAGGGTGGGGGGAGAGGCCACACCCTGCCTAAGTCTTTCCCAGTCCCACCGCGAGCCTGGGCGACCTCTGAAGACCAAGCCAAGGAGAGTTCACGAGCGGCACCTGCCTGGAGCAAGCAATGGCAGGGCGCTGACAGCCCCACCTGAAGGACAGATACGGTACTGCAGGGTCAGAGTGGAGAAGCCACCGCCCCGCCCCCACGGAGAACCAGAGAGGACAGGGCAGCAAGCTGGGCCAAGTGGAAACTGCCCTGCCCCTACAGGCCCCAGCGCTGAAGCCAGGCACTTACCCCCCAATGTCTTTAATCCTCACCTGAGGACACTCTTCCATTGCTCTGAGAGAGAGAGAGATGTCAATTGGCTGCCTCCCACACGTGTCCCGACCAGGGATTGAACCTGCAACCCCTTGGTCTACAGGACAACTGCAGCGAGCTACAGCCATAGGTCGACTGTGGATACACGAGTGGGGCAAAAATTACAAGTATTTTGTGAGAATCAACTGCCTATGTGGAATTTATAATAAAGAATATATTTTTAAAGATTTTATTTATTTACTTTTACACAGAGGGGAAGGGAGGGAGAAAGAGAGGGAGAGAAATATCAATGTGTGGTTGCCTCTCATGTGCCCCCTACTGGGGCCCTGGCCTGCAACCCAGGCATATGCCCTGACTGGGAACTGAGCTGACGACCCTTTGGTTCCCAGGCCGGCGCTCAGTCCACTGAGCCACACCAGCCAGGGCTAAGGAGTATTTTATTTTGTAGTATTAGTATTATTTGCAAGTCGTATGCTACACATCCTTTCTACCAGTGAAATGCACGTGCATATATATGCAGACTATTCTCCCACATCACGGGGTGGAAACTAAGATTTGTCTTGTGACCTCCGACCTGGGGCATCCATCGAAATGCATGTGCACCTTGGCCGGTGGAACAGTTGGTTAGAACGCGGGAGGTTTGCGGTGGCAGGGGACCCGGGCGTAGGCTCTGCTGACTCCGCCTTCAGTGGCCACGAGCCCTCCTGGCCTGTTTCCGGTTGAGGACAGGAGCTTCGTGGGAAACCCCAGTCCGGCTCTCGCATTGCTCCCTCCCGCCCACCCGACTGCACGCCCCCAGCACCCATGACACTGCACAATTCTCCTGTGTCCTGCCGCCTCTTCGGCAACTGTGACACCATTGACCTGGAGACAGACACCACCTCAGTGACCGTCCCCCACTTCAGGTGCCAGCTGCAAGTAGGTCCCAGGTCACCCACATCTGACTCGGCTACAAATCAGGGTGCCCATGACGTCCTCCCCTTTGGGTGGGATTGTTGGCCACCACAGCTCACAGAACTGAGGGAAATACCTCTACCAGTTTAGTAGAGGACACGCTAAAGATATGGATGAACGGCCAGGTGAAGAGATGCATCCAGGGAGGTGTGGGAGGGTCCGAAGCACAGCAGCTTCCGTCCCCATGGAGTTGGGGGGTGCCCCCTCCTGGGGTGGCTGTGTTTGCCGACCTGTAAACTGAGCCTCATGCTTCCGGGATTTGCTGCAGGCTTCCTCATGTAGGTATATTTCTAGCCCCTCTCCGCCGTTGGAGGATGGGGGTGGGGGTGAAAGTTCCCAGCTTCCCACCATGGCTTGGTCGTCCTGGTGGCCAGCCCGTGCAGGAGCCCCCTGGGGTCTCCTCCGCACAGTCGCAGGTGCTCCAGGCACCCTTGGCCCTTAGGAAATTCCGGGGCTCCAGGAGCTCGGTGCCAGGAACTGGGCAGAGGCCAACAGACACGTTTTGTGTTATTTCACACCAGGAGTGGTGTGCAGACCCGGGAGACTCTCCGAGCCCCATGCACATGTGTGTGTGCGTGTGTGCATGTGTGTGTTCTCAGATCCTTACAAGACCCAGGGATTGTGACCAGCTTCCAGGCAGGGAGACTGCCTCAGATGGGCTCAGCGCCTCGCTCCCTCGAGGAGGGCAGAAAGTAGGACCTGAAGCTGCATCTGCAGGACTCCAACCGCTGCCGCTGCCGGGCCTCTCGGGGGTCCACGCGGCTGCCCTGAAGTGGGGGAGGGCCCTGCAGGTGTGGCTGCGGGGGAGGACTCGATCAGGTCCCCCTCACTGCGATCCCTGACTGTTTACTCGGGGCCCCTGCTGTAGTCAGGGGGCTATTTATTTGCTGCCCTTGCCCCGTGCCTCCTCCGCTCCTGTCCCCTCCCCCGTGGTGAGGTAGGTGGCCACTGGGGACAGGGTTAGCTGCCTTCCCCAGCGATAGTCTCAGCTGGCTGCCTCCCCTCCCCCACAGCTCCCCCTTATCTCAGGGGCCATCGGATCTCTGCGGCCATGTGCCCCCCCGCCCCCTCCCTGCCCAAGGTCACCTCCTGAGGGTTCCCGTGCTTGCTCACTGCACAGGCCCCCGTCTGCCTTGCCTGGAAAGGGAGGAGGGTTTAAAGAGCCAGGTCCTCGCCTGGAGTCCTCCGCTCTGCAGCCCGGGGAAGGAGTCAGGGTGACCTGCGGAGGGACAGCACCGTGGGCTCCCCGCCAGGGGATGGGGCTTCTTCCCCAGGCTCTGCACCTCGCTCACTGCAGAACCTCGCACCAGCCGCGTCCTCTTTCTGGGCCTCACCTTCCTCTCCCGGGAAACCCACGTGACCGGCCGGCCCTGCCTGCTGTGGCTCAGCGGGCTGGGCGTCCTCTGCAAACCCAGTGCTGGGGGCGGGGGTGGGCGTGCAAGAGGCAGCGCACGGATGTTCCTCTCCCTCTCTTTCTCCCTCCCTTCCCCTCTCTATAAAAATAAACAAAATCTTTACCCCAAAAATGTGGCTGGACCAGATTCTCCGAGAGATCCCTGCCTTCTGGGAGTGTGCGTACACACACCCGTGCTGTGGGGTTGGGTTTGCTGCAGGCGTGCACACAACGTTTTTCCCTTCAGTTGGAGACACTGCCAACCCGGCCCTGCGCCAGGAAGCCGCCCCACGACTGCTCAGTCCAGGGGGGAAGAGAAGATCAAGATGAAACCGATCTTTGGGGGCAAAGGGGGGGAGGGGAGCGGAGGCTCAGGCACGTGGGGAAGGAATCCTGGGGTCGGTTTTGACAGGGCAGAGAACCCTGGAGCTTTGGAAAGTGGGGTGCCTGAGCCCCACTCCAGGCCGATCACATCCGAACTTCTGGGGGTGTGACTTTTCAGAAATGCCCCAGATGCGTCTGACGCGCGAGGAAGGTCCAGAACCACGGTGGAGAGCGCCGAGTCCCCTGAAGAGCTTGCCCTACACAGGCGGCCGGGCCCCCTGCAGCTTTGGACTCAGGGCCTCTGGCGGGCGGGGGTGGGGGGGGCGCCCTGTGCCAGCTTCCTAGGGCCGCCTGAACGCCTCGCCACGCACGCACGCACGCATGCACTGCCGAAGCGACGCAAATCTAGATCTCAGAGTCCTGCATCGCCGTGTGCCTAAGCAACTGTCAGGACGCCGCCCAGCGTCGTTCGGGGGAGAGGCTTTGCGCTCGGGGTGGGCGTAGGAGAGACCCTCTGTCCCTGACCCATCTCCCGCCGCCGGGGACGCACGCAGAAGCCAGCGATGAGCGGGGACAGCGGCCCTGGAGGCAGGATGCTGTGTGTGTGTGTGTGTGTTGGGGGGGGTGATGGGGGCCTCGTTTAGGTCGAAGTCAGGGAGGGCCTCTCCAGGGAGGCCCGTTTGGACTCACAACTCGACGTGGCCCCCGGCCCAGCAGCGCTGGCCTCGCCTCCCCTCGCCTCGGGCCCCTCTCCCGGCCTGCTGAGTCCCGCCCGATCTGCAGTTCAGCAGGCCCCCGGGGGGTTCCTGTGCACCATGAGGTCAGAGAAGCAGTGGCCCTGGGGGAGGGCAGAGGTGTGAGGAAGGGGGAGCAAAGAGCACACTACTAGCCCATACCCCGGACGCTGCGCCCGGCGACCAGCCCAGGAGGGACCTGCGGCCCTGGGGCCCACCGCAGGCCCTTGTTCACAGCCATGTGGCGAGACAGGTTCTGTTCCGTGGCTGCCACCTGCCAGAGGGAAGCACCTGAGACCAGAGCTCTGCTGGGCTTGGCAGGACACGTGTCCTCTGATAGGTGGGGACAGGACAAGCAAGGCCTGTGTTTATGCGTACACAGCTCCAGCTGGGCGGCGAGGCCAGCTGCGGGCCACCTGCTCTGGGCGCCCTGAACACCCCTGGGAAGGCCGGGCCCTGGGGGCTGCTGGGTCCTCCGGCCCCTCACCAGCCGTGGAGGGTGATGACGAGTTCTCCGGCCCCTTCAGCCGCAAGGAACCCTTCCCCGTGGGTGGGTGGGTGGCGTTCAGCTGTCACGCTAGGGTGACCGTATGTCCCATGAGCCCAGGGCAGTCCTGTTTACACCCGCCGTCCTGGTGTAATTATTAATAACGCCCCCTCTCCCTCTGCTTTGGGTAATATATTAAAGGGTCACCCTGCTTATAGCCCGAGTGTGGTCCCCAGGACCAAAGGAAGGTGACGCCGAGAGAGAACTGGTCCAGGAGCCAGGACCATGACCTCCTATCTGGCCAGCTGCTGTCACCCGGGGAACCGTAGGCAAGTCCTCTCAGGCTGCCACGGCCCCATCTCAACGGAAGGGGTCCGACCAGACGGGCCCCTTCTCGCTGGGGAGTCAATGAATACAAGACGCAGGTCCCCCAGGGTCCCCCCAGGCTGGTGGGGACGTTGCTCCTTCCCTCGCTGCTTCGACTCTCCAGCCTCTGGGGACCCCGCATTCCGCCTGTTCTTCCTCCAGAGCCTGCTCTCCGTGCGGCTCCCAGCCCCGGGCCTCCGCCTGCCTGCCGCCCTGCCTTCTCCACCCAGTGGGACCCCTTCTCTCACCCGCACGCCCTCCCTGAGTGATGTTCGGGACAAATCACTTCATCATCCGCCACCGCGCCTCGGCGCCTCCGACTGTCACAACGGGATAATGCTGTCAACCCAGCAGGATTAGGGACGGCGTTCAGACGGTGCTTAGCAGGGGATTATTGCTGAGCCTGCCGGTCGCCACCTTCATGCCTGTGCGTGCTCTCTCCCCGACTCGAAGCCAACCACCTGCGGGAGGGCTCAGCCCAGGTCTTAGCAGACTGGTCTGAGAATCACAGGAGGTGGCTTACAAGTACCAGGAGGTCACGTTCTGTGGCCCTCTGTCATGGCAAGGTGCTGTGGCAGCTCCTAGCCCTCAGCCCCACCCTACGGGCTGCAGGCTCCACCTGTCATGTTTGGCCCATGCGTGGGGTGCAGCAACGTGGGCCCTTTAATTCCTTTAAAAGGATCGCAAAGCTTCAGGAAACTTGATTTTTGCAACGTCGCGTTGTTTAATTCAACTTTCTTCCCTGCCCTTGCTGGTGCGGCTCAGAGGGCTGGGCGTCGTCCTGCAAACTGAAAGGTCGGCAGTTTGATTCCTGGTCAGGGCGCACAGGCCGGGGCTGCGGGCCAGGTCCCTGGTTGGGGACGTGTGAGAGGCCACCGACTGATAATTCTGTCACACATCCGTGTTTCTCTCCCTCTTCCTCCCTCCCTGCCCCCTTCTCTAGAAGTAGATACATAAACTCTAAAACAAAAAAACAAAACAAAACACCTTTCTTCCTTCCCTTGCTCCTTTAGCCTTGGGTTTTGCCCCAGCAGAAAAGGCACCAGTGTCACTCTGCACAGTGACACTTATCTAGTCGCCTGTCCCCTCTGAGGCCCGACTAACTCTTCTTTCCAACCAGGGGATCATTGTTCCCAATGCACAGACTCACGAAGGTTTCGCATGAGGCAGTATATGAAAAGGATTTGGGGTGAGTTAAGTCGCAGATAAGCAAGCGCTTCTAGTTTCTAGTGCTGCGTAGCAAATAATCCAAAACTTAGTATCTTAAGAAACAATCCATTTTTTGTCCTGGCTGGTGTGGCTCAGTCGGTTGGAGCATTGTTCCATACACCAAAAGGTTGCAGGTTCGATTCCCAGTCAGGGTGCCAGTGGGAAGCAGCCAAGCAATGCTTCTCTCTCATATGGATGTCTTCTCTCTCTCTGTCTCTCTCTCTCTCCTCTCTCTCTCTCTCCCCCCCTTTCCTCTCTGTCTAAAACTGATACACATTTTTAAAATAAAAAAAAAACAATCCACTTTTTGTTCATGGTTTTGTGGGTGTGAAATCTGGGGAGGCTTACCTGGGAGGTCCTTGCTGGGGGTGCCCAGACAGTTGTGGGTGGGGCTGCCATCATGTGAAGGCCGGACTGGGCTGGGTGTCCACGGCACCGTGCTCACTCGGGGGGCGCTGATCCTGGCTGTCGTCGGGGGGTCCCACCTGGGACAGTCGACCAGACCACCTACAGCATCGGGTAGCATCGGGGCATTGAATTTCTTACGTGGGGGGTGACTTCCCCACCAGAGCAAGCCTCTCAAGGAACCAGGCCACAACTGCCTGGCTTCTTTATGACCTAGCGTTAGAAGTCACATAATCTATTTGCGGAAGCCTGCCCAGGTTCAAGAGCAGAAGACACAGACCGTCTTCTCTGTGGAAGGAGCCGCTAGCCTGTAGACCAGCACGTGGGATGGAAGGCACTGAGGCGGTCTTGGGAAAACAGAACATCACGCCCTACCCCAATCGTATGTAAATTGGGGCTTTTATCAGTTAGGATTCTTGCTCTTGAACTACAGAGGCTGGCAGCTTAAGCAAAAATTTTTGGAAGGCCTTGTCAGCAAGAAGTCACTGCCACCAGAAGCCAACAGAAGTCCCCAGTCTGGGACGCAGTAAAAGAAGAGCCTTAATTCACATGAGTAGTATGCAAATCGAGGAAAGGAAGCCTCTAGAGGAAGTGGAAAGGGAGCTCCCCTGAATCAAAGGGGAGGCCCACTTATACAGAGCCACTGTTTACCCAGGATCCCGACTGGTCCATCTTTATGCAAATGAAGGATCCAACTTTGCACAGTTTGAGTGGTCCACATAGCACTGTCCTGATTGGTTGGAATCTTGACCCCTGATTGGTCATTATGGGGCCACTCTGATTAGTCACTAAAGATGCAAATGAAGATATAGCTGCGCAGCTCCAATTGGACGAGGCAGGTCTCAGCCCATTGGTGGAAATACAATTCCAGGAACCCCTTTGTAAGCCTCAGCTCAGCCAGCGGGAACACAGGGCAGGCAGACTGGCTGTGGCTCCTCCAACCCGGCCCGTGGCGCAGCCGCGTGCAGGAGAGGCTTCCTACAAACAACAGCTGTTAGGCTCTGAGTACGAATGTGGGCCCAGTCACCCACCAGGAGTCCTCTCTCACAGGTAAACTCCTTCCAGGGCCAGCAGCCTTTAGGGCCCACAGAGGTGACGGAGGCTGGAAGGCCAGGATCGGAGAATGGGCCAGACCAAGCAGCTCTGGAGGCCTGGGCAGCGGGAACCCCCGCAGAGGAAGCAGCGGAAGAGCGGAGCCCAGGAAGAGCGAGGAGACTGGTTGAGTCACAAGCTTGCCTCCTGGTGGGGCCCATTGGTACCTTCTGCTTTCACGGTGGGCGGTCGGGACCCTCTCCGACAGACACCGAACACAGTGGGAGGTTCCCCAGAGGAGCGTCGGAGGCCATGGGGCGGCGGGGAGGGGATGCCGACGTCCCCAAACCACACGTGTCCACCCCAGAGCCCACAGACGGAGACACCCTTCGGCAGGGACCGGCGCCCCCAGAATACCTAGCAGGGGGCACAGGGAGCTGAAGACGCCGCCCAGAGGAAGCAGAACACTCTTAGGACTCCGGGAACTATCACTGAGAGGAGGAACTCGACCTGCGCATCACAGATACAGGACAGGTGTTAGTTCAACATCAGAAAGAACTTTCTTTTGCTGGGGGAAAAAAAAAAGTATCATGTGCTGCGTGTTTTGAATAGGCAACAGAGTCACCGAAAAAGCATTAAAAGGAACACTTTGAACGTCTCCCTCCCACCGCTGTTCCGCGCCCACCTACGTCTCCGGCTACTCCCGCCCCGGCTCCAGATTCCCATCCCGACGGTGCTGGCCTGTGCGCCCGCTGGTTTTCCTCCTTTCGGGGTATTTTTTTTTTAAATTTATGTTTAAATTGCGGTAAAAGACGCATCACGTAAAACAGAGCACTTTAACCACTTTGAGGGCTCCGATTCACGGGCGTGAAACACGCTTGCACCGCAGTGCCAGCACCACCTCCTCCCACCGGACCCTCCGGCCCCGCCCCACCCCCGCCTCGCCCCCACCCCCCGCCACCCTCTACTCTCTGTCTCCAGGCTTAGGCCCCTTCGCACTGCCTCCTGCAGGTGGGGTCGCACAGGGTCAGCCCTTTCGAGAGGCAGCCTCTGCCTTTCCTGATCTCACTGCCAGTCATCTCGGCCACAGACGCCACCGGAGCCTGTGCTGCTCCCTCCTGTAAGACTGGACTCGATAAATCATAGCACTGCTAACTTACAAGGAAGTTATTTCTTTCTTTTTTTAAGATTTAATTTATTTATTTTTAGAGAGGGAAGGGAGGGAGAAAGAGAGAGAGACACATCAATGTGCAGTTGCTGGGGGCCGTGGCCTGCAACCCAGGCGTGTGCCCTGACTGGGAATCGAACATGCGACACTTTGGTTCACAGCCCGCGCTCAATCCACTGAGCTACGCCAGTCAGGGCAGGAAGTTATTTCTAGAACGTTTACAGACTGACGTGCAGTGATACAGCTAGGTAAAGTTGTGTGTAAAGTCTAGAATGAGATGCCACAGAAGGTCGGCGAGAGTTACCTCTAGGGTTCTGGGTCATTTTTCTATTCTTTCGTCTGTTTACATCGGCTGCAACGAGCTTCCCTCCCTCCTTACTCAGGGACAGCAATAACACGATTGTCGTTGGTGAACAACGTTCAACAGAAGCCCGTGTCGCTCTAAGAACGCCGCTCGGAAACGATGCGGGTCGAACTGAAATGCACGAGAACGGGATCCAGTAGGAATGTGCATGGTCCCGCCCGTGGCTGGGCTCCCCCTCTCCCCCCCGAGAGTTACCCACCCTCATTGGCCAGCCTGTGCTCATTGCGAGCCCCCACAATCCCAGGCTCAGGGCCCACCGGCCTGAGCTGAGCCCCTGGCCCTGGCCCGGGCCTGCAGGGGGCAGAGAATGGGTCCCCACTGCAGGGAAGCCCGGGCGAGGGACGCTGTGGATAAACCGCCGTCCATGAAGCAGGGGTGAGCCTTGGGCCTCTGTGTGGGGGACAGGTCCTGCTCCCTCCCTTCCTCTGCCCCTACTCCCTCTTCCGCCCTCCCTCCCTCTCTTCCTTCCTCCCTTTATTTTCAATCCTCACCCAAGGATATGTTTGTTGATGAGAGAGAGAGTGAGATCAATGGGTCACCTCCCATAGGCACCCCAACTGGGGATGGAACCTGCAACCTAGGTATGTGGCCTGACCGGGGATCCAGGATTGAACCCACAAGGCTTTGCTGTACCGGACGACACCCAGCCAGCTGAGCCACCCGTCCCCCCCCTTTCCCTTCCCCTCCATTCCTGGCTCCTCTCATTTCCTCCGCATCCCCCCAGTCATCTGCCAAGCATGCGGGACACAGCGATGAACCACCTACTGTCCTCTCCCAAGGGACGTGCAGCCTGCAGAGGGAAGCGGGGAAATCCTGGAGTTCACTGCTGTGAGCTCAGCGCCCCGAGGGAGGGCTTCCTGGAGGAAGTGATACTGGTGATGAACCCTGATAGTCGAGGAGGAGCTACTCAGGGAAGAAGAAGATGAATGAGAGCTCAGTCCTCAGGGGCAGATCCGTGGTTGCTGCTGCAGGTTCCCGACTGGTCCCTCCTGCTCCACAGCGCCAGCCCTGCCTGGAGGACTTCCTGGGTTGGGGCAGCGCCCTGACCATCTTGTGCCTCTGCCTCCTCTGCCAACCAGCCTGCCTCGTCCTGCCACGCCGCAGCCCGAGTGCAGCGCGGGGCTGGGCTCGGCCCACCCCTGGGCCGCAGCTGAGTCAGGGTCTGCCTTTGTGCTCAGGGCTTTCGGAAGCGGCTTGCCCACGGCTCCTGCCGGGTCACGCCAGGGCCGCGTGGCTCTCACCGTAGGTTTGACAATTCCTTGGCATTTGCAGCCCAGATCTTTTAATTCCCCTTTCTTTGTTTTCTCCCACGGATTTAAAAAAATGGGGGAAACTGGTTTCCTTGATCCAACAGGAGAACAGTTCTCGAAAGCTGTGGTTAGGCTGGTCTCTGTCAGGGTTCAGGTCATGGAGCTCTCTGAGCAAAGGTGTGAGGGGGCAGGAATGCATTTGGGGACCTTTCTCATGCCTGTCCCTCTGCCAAGGACCCCTCCTGGGTGCCCCTGGGCCCTCTGCCATGTTTGGGCTGTAACTTGAGAAAAGACACACTTGGGGACCCACTTGGTATTAGCCCCAATGGAACGTTGGCTGTGTCTGTGGATAGCGTTCCTGCCTTTTCTAAATTTCTCCTGGGTTTAAAAGGTGTGCCATGTGCCCTGGCTGGTGCGGCTCAGTGGATTGAGCTCTGGCCTGCAAACTAAAGGGTCACCAGTTCGATTCCCAGCCAGGGCACTTGCCTGGGTTGTGGGTCAGGTCCCCAGTAGGGGGCGCACAAGAGGCAACCACGTGTTGATGTTTCCCTCCCTCTCTTTCTCTCTCCTTTCCCCCTGTCTCTTAAAAAAGAACCCAGGCCTGTTGCCTTACACAATGTCCCTCAGTGTGGGGTTGCTACTATTTCCACGTGGTTAAATTCGGGGTATGCGTTTCTGTCTGAAAGGACACGGACGAGATGCTGTGTCCCTCTCAGATCCACCCACCCGGGAGCACAGGGTGTCCCGTCCCCCATGACCCGTGTGACCTTGGTTTTGATCCCACAGGTTGTCAAGGAGGAGAGAGTTCTGCACAGAGACCTGTGTGCCCTCCCCTCACCCCACGGGCCAGCAGCCACACTGCTCCTGGGGAGGCCCCGGGGCCGGAGCCCCTGAGTCCTCCTGTACCCAGGTCAGAAAGCCCCGGAGAAGAACACACCATTGTCTGCCTCGGCGATCTGCAACCTCCTTCATCTCGTGGCACGAAAACTAATTACTAAGATTCTGCGGCACACCACAGAAGAATGTTTTGTGTGTTTTTTTTTGCCAGTTTGACAAAAAAGTAGGTATACTTTTGACTCATTCACACTAGATGGCTATTGTGTTGGCTGTGGTCATTTTTTTTCATTTGAGCATCTGAGGGAAGAGAGGCCAGCGCCCCTGACTGCATAGTCAGGTACTGCATGTTTTAAACATTCTTGCCCTGGCCAGGCAGCCCAGCTGGTCAGAGCATCATCTCAGTACACCAAGGTTGCGGGTTTGGGTCCTCAGTCAGGGCGCACGTAAGAAACAAACAGTTAAACGCATAAATAAGTGGAACAACAAATTGATGTCTCTCTCTCCCTCTCTCTCCCCACCCCACTTTCCTTGCTCTCTCTAAAATCAATCAATTAAAAAAAATTCTTGCAACACACCAGTTGAAAGTCGCTGCTCAACGTTGTGGAAGTCAGTCCCAGTTTTAGTCAGGAGCGTTCCACAGGACTTTCTTACTCATTTCCACATGCAAACCAAAGTGACTGCTTCCTTGAAGCACTGGCTCCTGGTGCTGAAGTCACCCACCCCCACGGGAGCCGGGAGCCACCTTAGTGTCAGGACATACCTTAGAGTTACCTAGTTCTCACAGCCCTCCTGAGGGTGGGGCCTCCTGTCACCCCATTGGGCGAATGGGCAAGGGAGGCCCAGAGAGGCCAGCAGCTTGCCTAAGGGCCCCCGGCTGGGAGGCAACAGGGGCTGGGACTGGAACCCCGGCCCCCTTGAACATCTGTGTCCAGGGCTGCGCACCAGGCTGGGGGTTCTCCCTGGGGCCTCACAGCGGACCAGGGCAGTAGGCGGGGCTGACCACAGGTCTTCGGTCATTTGAGGATGGAAGAAACGAGGCCCCAAGAGGGGATGCACTCTGACCAAAGCTGCCATCCTGGGACACCCCCCCCCCCCAGGAACGCCCGAGTCCTGGCGTCCTGCCCCAGCCACCGCCGCCGTGGGCCACTCATGGGACCAAGGCCAAGGAGACCAAGGACGATCTGCCGAGAGGGGTGGGCAGAGGGAAGGACGCCCCAGTGCCTGGCCCTGCACACCCCCCTCACCTTGGCCACCAGGCCTGGAGCGGGGAGCCCCTGCCTCCCAGCAGGACGATCGGGCTCACCTCCACTCTCACCCCACAGCGCCCCGCCCCCCTCGCCTGCGGAGGTGGCCGCCACGCCCTCTGCGTCTCTCCCCTGAGGAGACAGCCGTCCTGTCCCTGGAATCCTCCCTGTCATCGCCATTATCCAGGCAGCTACAGTTTGGGAGGAAGTGACTGGTGTCTCAGGGAAAACCCCTGCCCAGCCCCGCCAACCTGAGCAGCTGGTTTCTTGAACCCAGCTCTCAGAGGCCAGGCCCAGGATGACAGCTTTCTGATGGTCATCAGAATGGCGCGGCTGGGCGAGGAGCTGGCCTGGATTCCTCCCGTAGTGGGCGGACAGGAGAAGAAGAGGCAAAGGGCAGAGGGGGGAGGTCCACTTCTTATCTGCTCTGCAAATCCTGCATCGGCTCACCTCCTCCAGGAAGCCCACCCCAATCACCCCAGTGTCCTCTAAACTCTCCTCAACGACCTAGGAAAGTGCTTGCTCCTGCTGTACCCACAGGGGCAAACGACGTGTACCTTCTCTTGTGTTGTACAAACGCAGTGGGGAGGGGCATCATTTTTCTCCATGGCACTTACCACCCTCTAACAGACTACACTCTTTACTTGTTTTCTCTTTGACATTGCCCCCCCACCCCCAAAAAAAGCAAAGTCCATGAAGACAGGCCTTTTGCCTCTTTGTCTCACTGGTATAGCCCAACACCTAGAACACAGCCTGGCACATAGTAGGTGCTCAGGGAACATCATTCATCCTCTCCTTCCTCCTCACCCGCACCGGGCAGAGAGTTATGAGTCAGACGGACACCACCCCTGTCCTCAAGCAGCGGCCCCGCCACCGCGGCGACGGACGGCTCCCGAGGCCCGGGTGCCCGCACCCACTTCACCCCAAAGGTCCGCAGCCCCTCACCTCCCTCCCCTCCACTCACCACCCCTGCTGCGCGCCTCCCTGTCTTTCCCCGGACAGAGTGCGCACAGCGGGAGTCAGGCCGGCCTTCCGCGGTGGCGTGAGACCGGACGGATGGCCCGGCATCTGTCCGTGAGCCCGTTCCCTAGCCTCCCTGGGGACTCGTTTTCTTCGTCTCTGGGAGTGCCCCCCATCTCCCCCCGAAGGGTCGTGGGCCACCAGGATGTGCTGAAAGGGTGAGGCCGCAGCAGGCACCGGTGTCTGGCTGTGTCTTGAAGCAAGCTGCTTCCTCTGCCAGGGAAGCAGGGACCCCCCAGTGCCCCAAGCAGGGACCCCCCGGTGCCCCCGGCCAGCGCTGTGGGCCCGCCCTCGAGTTCCCAGCATGCCAATCAAGTGCTCAGCTCCCGGCATTCTGCGTGGCGTTTGCGGCTTTTACAAATCCGGGATCCAGACTGGGAACCATTGCTTCAAATCCAGCCCTGGCCAGGGGCAGGGGCACCACGCTCGCGCCGCGGGCAGGAGGTGCGGGCCTTGTTTCCGCGGGAATCTAGAGGTATGTCTCCAGACAGCTCTGCCTCCGGGAACTCACTGCCTCCAGGAACTCACCGCTTCTAGGAAAAGACTGATGTGCCTGGATGCTGAAGACGGCGTTCTTTACCACACCAAACAAATCAAAAGCAGCCTCCTTGTTCAGCACGAGGGGGTGGCCAGATAAAGCACGGTATAGGCTGCCATTGCAGCCGCTGTGGGCGTGCCCTGGCCGGTGTGGCTCAGTGGGTTGGACTGTTGTTCCCGGCACTGAAGGGTTGCAGGTTCGACCCCCGGTCAGGGCACATACCCAGGCTGTGGGTTTGATGATCAGTTGGAGCGTGTATGGGAGGCAACTGATGGATGTTTCTCTCTCACATTGATATTTCCCTCTCTCTCTCTTTCTCTTTCTCTAAAGATGCAATGAAAAGAAAGTCCTCAGGGGAGGTTTAAAAAGGAAAAAGATGCTGTAGAAGAAGAAGAATGTGGGAAGACGCTTACAAAATGTTAAATAAATAAAGCAGGCCATACATTGGTGTTACAGACTCTCTCTCACCAGTGTGATTTGTAGGTGGTTACAGGTGTGTTTCGGTTTCTTCGTACTTTTCTGGGGTTTTTTCCCCCCCAAAATCTCTACAATACACTCGCAGAACCTTTTTCTAAACGAAAAATTAGAAAACCAGATTTGTTTGGACAAAATGCAGATTGAGCATAGATTCAACTCAAATTCTAGAGTTAGCGCAAGTCAGGACCCCACACGTGAACCAGCGGGCCCATTCCCGGTCCTTGCTCAGTGACCTCATGAGAAACCCACAAACTCATCTTACCACCTTTTATATTTTTCCTGGATACCCAATTCTTTTGGGTATTTATAGAAAAGTTGCAAAGCTAGTACAGAGTCCCTGTGTACCCCCTACTGTTTATTTTTATAATGAGAGAGAAACATGCATTTGTTGTACCACGGATTCGCGCATTCATTGGTTGATTCTTGCGTGTGTCCTGACCAGGGATCGAACCTGCAGCCTGGGTGTATCAGGGCCATGCTCTAACCAACTGAGCTACCCCGCCAGGGCTACCCCCATGCTGTTAACATCTTACATAAGCAGCGTGTACTGGTCGCAACTAAGAAACCAACGTGGGTGGGCACAAGGCTATTAACTAAACTTCAGGCTTCTCCAGTCTCCCCACTGACCTGCTCCCGGTCCACGGTGCAGGCGGGTACCTCTTCGCCCTGGGGTGTCGCCAGTCCGGCTGTGGCGGGTTCTCAGCCTTAGGTGCCCTGTAAGAATTCCGCAACCACCGAAAGAAAGGGTTCATGATAACGACGATGATAGCCATTGCTGCCTGGGAATTGCTCTAGTTTTCTATCTCGGCGGGAGGCGAACGCACCGCCTTTTCTTCTCCGTTCAAGGGGACGAAGCGGGCGAGGCAGCAGCGCCGTCCGGGAGGCGGGGGAGTCCGCAGAGGGGCGGCGCCTTCGCCCCACCCACTGCTCCCACCTCTGTCCCCGCTCCCGGGGGAGCCCGGGCTGTGCGTCCCGTCGCTGCGGGTCGAGCTCGCGCGCGCGCGGGCGCGCGCACGGGCAGCACCTGGCTCGGGTGCTCGGCGACCTGCCGTGGCGGCCCCGCCCCGTCCCCGCCCGGGTCGTATTAAAAGCCTGTCCGCCTCCGAGCCCCTGATTCGCGCCGCAGCCCGCCCGGCCAGGAGCCCCCGGCAGCATGGCCTGGAACACCAACGTCCGCTGGCGGCTGCCGCTCACCTGCCTGCTCCTGCAGGTGGCCATGGTGGTCCTCTTCGGCGTGTTCGTGCGCTACGACCACGACTCCGACGCCCACTGGATCGAGAACAAGGGAAGCAGGAACGTCTCCGGCGCCGACGACATGGACAACGAATTCTACTACCGCTACCCCAGTAAGTCCCGCCACCCGGCAGGCGCGCCCGCCGCACGTCCCCGCGGGCCCTCCTCTGACCCGGCGCCCCGCGGCTGAGAACCAGGGCGAGGGGAGGAGGAGGCGCCTCGCTCGGCCTCCGCCCCGCCTCACGCCGGCGCTCGCGGTCCCCGGGAACCACGCCGGAGAAAAGGCCCGATGTGCAAAGTCGCCCCCCCCACCCCGTGCACGAGGGGTAGGGAAACCTCGCCCACCGGGGAGCTCGTCCGCGGGCCACCGCCTCCCCGTGCGAGGGCCCTCAGCGATGTCCTCGAAGAGGAGTCCCATCTCAGCCACCAGCCAGTGGCGGACAGGGGCTCCCTTGTCCGTCCAGCTGATCCGGACTGTCCTCGTCCAGGGCCGCAGGGACACGTGTGCACCTGCCCGCCTTGCTGCCTGCCGGGGGAGGAGTGCGGGGCCCTCTTTGGCTGGGAGAGGGAGGGGGGGCACCCCCCAGTTCTCCGGGATCCAAGGGCTGTGGGTAAGAGCGTGCCTCGGAATCGCCAGACCTGACTTCTCTCGTGGCTCCGCCGTTCACCTGGGGGGCGACTCTGCCGCTCACCTGGGGGGTGGCTCCATTGTCAGCCGGGCTGAAACTCTGTCCTTATCTGTGGGATGAAAACAGGGTCCGACCTGCCTTACCGGGTGTGGCGAGGCTGGTGGGGGACAGGGCTGGGCATGGAGCCCTCACTCCCCGAGGGACAATGACTAGAAAGGCGCCGAACGCAGATGCCCTAGGACTCAGGGGTGGGAAGAACTGCCCGGACCCCGGGTCACACAGCCCCCCCGCCCCGGCCACGAGACCTGCCCTGTGGGCACCAATGCTGACCGCCGGGCTTCCCCACGGGCTGGCGCTCCGGGGCCCGTGGGGCCACAGGCCGAGTCTGCGGGGACACAGCCTGAAGGACAAGCAGCCAGCCAGCACCTGGCTCAGATTCCGCTCCAGTGAACGAACTTTCCCACCAGCAGAGGGCAGTGTGAGCCGGGCTGTGGAATTCCACAGCTCCGGGGCCATCCCTGATCGGACCACTGTGAGCCTCCCTCTGCTCACCTGCAAAGTGGGGGTGTCATTTCATGCACAGGGTCTCCAGGAAGACGGAAGGTGGCTGGTGCCTGGTAGGACAGTGAGAGGCCAGTAAATGCTGGTCTTGAGATCCCTCATAAGGGAGTGAGTGCTCCGTCGCTGGAGGTATTTAAGTGGAGGCTCAGCATCTCTTTAGAGATGGAACCAAGGCATATCTCCTTGAATATTAGGTTTAACTAGTATAGCATTTCAATGCCTTCAGGTTGTCCCCACTTACAAGTGCTTTTTGCACTCAGACTGCTGTCGGGCATGGCGTGTGCTTGGTCCCCTGCTGTGGTGCAGGAAACGGAGGTTATGGATTTGCCTAAAGTGGCCAGCTAGTCCGTGGCACCTGCAGGCATGGAGCCGGGCCCTCCCCCGACAGCCTACCTGCTTCCCTGGGCTTCCTGTGGCGTTGCCAGCCCCTGACCGCATCCCCAGGAGATTGTGCAGGGATGGCATGGGCCTGGGGACGGCTCCGAGGTGTGGGAGAGGCAGGCACAGAGCCTTGGGAGAATGGAGGGGCTGCCTTGCAGGGAATGGAAGGGGCAGGGCCCCGGCAGCTGCGGGCACCACTCCTGTGTGTGTGCAGCAGAGGGGAGGGAGCTGCCACGGCCCATCGGCAGCTGCGTCGGAAAGTTTGTTTCAGATTTTGGAGGTTTCTGAGACCCGTCTAGGCCGGGAAGAATGAGCTTCGGAGCAGGTGGGGGGCCCAGACCTGAACACAGCTGTGTACTGGTGCCCCCTTGTGGCAGCTCTTAGGAGTGGCGGCTCCATCGGGGACCCCTCATGGAGGGAGTAGGTTCTGGGCTGGGCTGCTTGAGTCACCCCTCTTCCTGGGGAAAGAGAGGGCGGGAGGGGGGTGTCTCACCAGCTTCCACGGGCCTTCAGCAAGAGAGAGAGAAGGAGAAACGGTAGCCAATAGGATGGAGCCCCCTCACTGAACGTGCACCAGGGGCTCCCAGGCGGTCACGACTCCCCGCTGGACGGGGGAGGCACAGCGGGTCAGAGAGGTTACGTCCTTGCCGGGTGCACTGACCTTCCAAGCGTCACTGTGAAAAGCATTTCAGGTAGCAGCAAACCTTATGAAACCAACTGATACACGGGTTGTGAATTAGGACCCCTTGGGGAGGCAAAGCGGAAGGAGGAAGAGGATGAATTGGGGTGGTGCCCCAGGCAGGGGGGTAGGGGAGAAGAGACAGCCGCAGGGAGGGTCAGAGCCAGGTCAGGGCACCCCCAGAGGCAGGGAGAAGGGTGCGGAGGGTGGGGGCAGGCAGGGGGAAGCACTGGGAGGGAGGGCCCTGCCCTGCTCTCAGGCCTCAGGGAGAAGGGGGGCAGACCTGAGCCCACAAACACCTCCCCAGAGAGGTGCCTCCAGCCCCTTCAGCCTCGCCCCTGCGCACATGGGCCCTCTGTGCCACCAGACAGCCGGCACCCCTCTCCCGGAGAGGGTTCTGGGACGCGGCCTTTTCCCAGGTGTCCTCTGCACTCCCTGCCAGCGCCCTCCCTGTCCACTCTGCGGGCTTCCAGGCCGGCCAGCGCTCCACTTCTGTGGCTACACGTCCACTGACCCCTGTCCCTGCAGGCCTGCCCTCTTGGGTCTCCCACCCACTCTGCTGGTCCCCGCGCCCCCTTCCCCGCCTCGCCCAGTGGCCTTCTCCTGCCCCGCGGGCCAGCAGCCCTGCCTTCCTGCCGGCTCCCCCCACCCCCGGCTCCCGGAACTGCAGTCTGAGCGGCCCCGCACCCCCACCCTGTTTCGCACCTCTCCCCCAGTCTGTCACCCACCCGCTCTTCCCGAGAATCACCGTGACACCACGCGGGCGGCTTCGCACGCACTCGCTCCGTCTCCCCACGACAGCTGGAAACGTGACAAACCGTGGGACGCGGGGAGACACGACATCAGCGGCGCATGTCGTGAGAGGCGAGCCGAGCCGCTGTTTGTATGAACCCGCTCGCCGCGCCCCCGCGGAGACGCGGAGCGCAGAGCGGGGGCGAGGCCACAGCTCTCCTGCGCCAGCTCCTGCGCCCCCCCCCACCCCCGCAGGGCGGTGTGCCGGCCCCCCCTCAGCCTCCTGCAGGTGGCTGCTGGCCAAGGGGCCTGTGGCTGCTGCCTGGGCCTCGGGAAGCCTGCAGAGCGGACTGAGCAGGGATCTGAGCAGATCACCCGCCCCCACCCCCTGTGCAGGGCCGGACAGGGCCGCTGTGGCAGAAGCGTGGCTGCCCCGCACCAGGGCCTCTGGGTGCTGTGGGCAGGAGGTGCTGGGCTAGGGACCAGCCGCAGCCTCTCCTGACGGGGAACTCCCACGGGGGGGCTCCCTGACTGCCTGCCACTCAGACGGCCCTTGGGGTGCTGCCAGGAGACACGTCACAGTCTCTCCTTCCTTCGTGGCTCCGTACAGAGACCCCACCTGGTACCCTCTTAGGTGTGAACGGGGCAGGCGTGGCCTCACCTTCTCGGTGGTTCAGAGTCTAGTGGGCCGGAGGAACCAACCCAAAGGCGCACGACAAGGAAGGAAGAGGGGTGCCGTGAGGGAGGGGACCGACTTTGGACCGGGGGGCCCTTGTGATGAAGTGACACTTTGCTGAGATCTGCAGGAAGGGCCCGTGTGGGCCGTTCTGCGGGGAGGTCGTCCAGGTGGGGCTGAGGGGCACAGGAGGGGCGGTGCGGCAGGACCAAAGGGCACGGCGCCGCCCCGCTCCTGTTTAACTTATTTGGAGATCATTTCAAATGTACAAAAAGATGCAAAAACAAGAAAGAGTCCCAAGAACGGTACATACTCCTTAACTCCGGAAGAGTTGTTTCCTCTCCTTCTTTCTACACATCAGTGCAAACACACACTCTTTTTCTTCTGGACCATTTGAGGGTCAGATATACATCACAGCTCAGGAGCCTTAATTACTCCCGTATATATATATATTTTTAAAGATTTTATTTATTTAGTTTTTAGAGAGGAGAAGGGAGGGAGAAGGAGAGGAAAAGAAACATCTATGTGTGGTTGCCTCTCATGCGCCCCGTACTGGGGACCCTGCCAGCAACCCAGGCACGTGCCCTGACTGGGAATCGAACCAGCGACTCTTTGGTTTGCAGGCCGGAACTCAATCCACTGAGCCACACCAGCCACGGCAAAACTCACGTCTATTTCCTACCAGTAGCGGTATTCCGTTCCGAAACCACACGAATCAGGCTCATACATTTGCATTGGACAATACAATCCAATCTTCTGTTTCCATCTCATTTTGCCAGTCACGACCTTTCTCTCCGCCAAATCCGGGATCCAGTCTGGCGCTGGGCATCGACGGTGGCTGGCAGGTCCCTTTCGCTTCTTTTACCCTGGGCCAAGTCTTGCTTTGGGCTCTGGGACTCGGAGGTTCCCACAGCACGCGCCGTACCCCTCTCCAACGGCGCATTCCTCCATCTGTCCGTGCCCGCCACCTCGTGAGCGGGGTGGGGCTGTGCTTCCTCAGCCCGAACGCCACCTGGGTGGAATGTCCTCTTCAGAGGGTCGCCTCTGGGGATGCACAGTGTGCACCCGCCCTTCATTGGCGATGCTAATGTTGACCGCCCACTCCAGATGCAGCCCACTCTCTCCACAGTCTTGTTACTGGGTTGTTGTCAGTTTTTTTTTCTTCTCTCCCTTGCGACTCCTCAGCGCTCTGTGGAGAGGCCCCTTAAGTCCGTGCAAATGTCCTGCTCTGCATCAGCGTTGCTCCCTGCACTTAGCTCCCTCC